AACCCTAACCCTACCCTGGTGCACACCCCTAACCCTAATAGAGGGCTCAAGTTCTATTGAAAAGAGGGCAATTTTGAAAAAGCCTTCCCTGAGTAGCTTTTTCTGCGCAGCTCATCATTTCTGCCCATTCTAAACACATTCCAACCATCAAAACCATGTCTGGACACCTCGTTTTCCTAACCCCAACCCTACCCTGGTGCACACCCTAACCCTAATATAGGGGTATACTTCCCCTAGTAAGAGGGCGATTTTGAAAAAGCCTTCCTTGAGTAGCTTTTTCTGCACAGCTCATCATTCCTGCCCATTCTAAACACAATAAAAACTGAAAACTGAGCTATATACCCATCCATCCTTGGCAGAGCACTGACTAGCCATGCAAAAGCTTGGACGAGTCGCAGCTCATGAGTCGTGGCTCGTGATGTCATTGCCTGGCGCCGCTACTCCTTTCCAAGCATGCGCATGGCCCGTGTGCACTGTTATTCGATGCTCGGCTGCTGGGGCAATGCTGGGGCGACCTGGCTCATGTGCCGACAGAGAGGGCTCTGGGTGCCCGCCGTGGCACGCGTGCCGCAGGTTTGCCACCACTGGCCTAGAGTGCCTTGCAGAGTTCCAGGGGTGATCTTTGGGTTGGCGCAAGTCGTCCCAAGGATTTGGAGCCATGCCTGCGCCCTCAAAGCCACACAGGAACTTCAGGGCTGCTTTGGTCCCTCTCCCAACCGGCACTAGCTTTAACAAGGCACTTATCGCGTGGCTCCCGGCCCATGCGGTCCCTGGGCCCATCCTCGGCAGCTCAGATATAAATACCTGTCACCGCGCTGCACAACACTTCCAATAAACCTTCACCTCTTGCTGTCCAGCTCATGCTGAGGCACAGAGGGAAAGAGACGGCTTTTTAGAAGTTCAATTAGAGGATTCTCTCCCCCGCAAACACACGGGTCTGAACCTGAGGCCGATGCACAGGAAGAACTGTGACATCTAGTGTTACAAGGGGGAAATGGCCACAAATTCGAGTGACCTGTGGATGGGTCCCGGGAACGTGGAAGGACAGGAGAAGCCCTTCAGGGGAAAGCAAGGAGGGGAATTTCCTTGCAAAGCAAACACGCCCCCATTCTGCATCACAGCCTTCCCAGTAGCGTTACCTCCACATGTTTTGGATTACAGCCCCCAGCATCTCTGGGCTGCAGCTTGAAAATTTAGCATTTAGGGTTGTTATTTATCAGTAAGGGCTGTTTTCCATCTTCAGCCCCAGGAAGTCACACCAGGGTGAATCACAGAAGACCACCAGGAAACAGAGAGCACCAGCATTGTCGACTGATTTGAGGTTGATTGGTTACTGTTGTCGATCAGTCATCTGCCTCTGAAATCAATCCAACATATTTGAAGTAGCAAAGCACCACATTCACGAGGACTTGCTGCATCTGGAGGCAGTGTGGTGTAGTGGTTAGAGCCTGGCATCCTGAACTGGAACGCTCCAGCCGGCAATGTTTTATTGAATAGTTTGCATCTTGTGGAAGCTATACTGCTTGTGGGGATCCTCAGGGCCTCTCTTTGGCCTGCAAAGCAAGGTTCTGCTGATCTCCTTACCCTCCCTCCTGAAACAAGCTTGATTGTGGTAGCCCAGTCCCAAAGGAGACATCGTGTTATAAAGGCGGTCTCTCTTGGCCTCGTACAAAGTGCATTCTCAGCAACATCTGGAGGACCATTACTTCCCCAACTGGATAAGCACCTTCTTGATGGCCACTCCCAGGATCTAGAACTTACTGCCAAGGCAAACAAAGTTTTTTTATTACTATTCTTCAGACAAGCCTCAGGCATAGAAGCTAGTCTGTTGGCAATTTTTCAAAAACTGATTGGTGCTACTTATGCCTGTACTGTTGCGTCTACATTTCTTTGGCTTCAGTGTCATGCTTTGACCCAGATGTTGCCGGCCACCATTCTGGGCAGGACAGAAATACTAGCCAACCACACAAAGTCCCTCCCCATACCCTGTTCTTGCGGCTCCTTTCCATTCCCGGCCTGCAGACCTCCGGGTTACGTTTCATAAGAGTGGATTGTTGGGTGCAGGCCCAACCTTAGCACCTTTACAGCACCACTGGCAGGATTGTGATGCTCAACCTGGTACCGAAGGGAATCTTGGAATCTAGTATCTTTTTTAAGAGTACGGTTTAAAACGCAAATCTTGAACGTGCCCGTGTTTGTGAGCATGCTCATCAGACAGATACCTTTTCCGCAGAGCTGGAATTAGCAGCCACTGTCCGTTGAGCGTACAGCTAAGCGACACCTGCTCCCACAACCAAGCATCCAGACAGGAGCAATTTCTAAGAGGCTTGCCAGGCTGCTGAAGTAAAGCAGCACTCCAGGCCTCACTGCTTCCAAAAAGGCAGCCAGGTATCAAGCCCGTCCCACCCCACTTTCCTGAATGCTCAGGAGAACGCGCGTGACGTTCTGCATTTTGGCGCGGCTGCAAGTGGCGTCCAAGGCGTGAGTGGAAGCAGGCAAATGCCTGGCACAGTGACAACAACACCCCACTGAGTGGCGAGCTGGGGGCACACCTGGGAGCCCCACACCATACCCACTTTGCCCCAGCAAGCTCCCAAAAGCCACGGCCAAGAACACGGCCCAACTTTGACAGTACAGCATCCCGAAACCGAAAATGAGAACAAGTTCTTACAGGAAACCGAGTAACATGCATTTCATCCCATCATTTCTTCAAAGCACAGCCGATATACTCACTCATGCACACAATAGCAGCAGCTTCCTAGGACTGCGGGCTCTGGCCTTACCCAGCAGCCAAGGAAGCCCGGGGCCCTGGGAGGCCGCGGCTCCCAGGAAGAGCATTTCAGCTGGAGAAGGCGCTACCGCGGGAGCCTGTTCCTCCCTTTCCTGCCAGAACGAACACCTCCACAAGCGCTGCCGGAGGGACCGCTTCCTGCCCGCTCGTCCCCCAGTCCCGCGTCCTTTTGCATTCAGGTTGCATGCCTAAGCATGGGAGCTGTCTCATTACTAATCTTTGCTAGCTGATAGGGAGCATTTCTCCCCAGGAGAACTGGGGTAAAACAAACATTTTCTCTTGTCAATAGAGCAGCAGGTTTTGCAACAAAGTGCCGGAACGTGGAATGTTACTGTGAAGGGCCTCCGACCGACCGACCAGGCCTTTTCCAAGGGAGCCCAAATCCAGACCGCATGGAGCCTTCTTGTAGAAGGGATGATTTTTGAAAGATCTGGAGGGTGGGAGGGAGGTCCAAAAACAGTGGGGATTCTGCAGCCTAATACCCCCCCCCCCCACATGCAGGTAGGCAGGTGTTTCTGTTTTGGTTGTGAATGTGTGAAGAATCTTGGGGGGGGGGGGGGCACAGCCAAGCAGACTGGCCTAGCTTGGCTCCCCAGATTCTGGCCATCAACCCAGCGCTGGCACCAATTTGCTCGGATCCAAGCCGAGGCAGCACACAGCCTTCCGCCTTTAAAGCAGGCTACGACTGGCATATCTGTCTTTTAAAATCCCGGGGGGAAATGTGCAACTGGCTGCTGAAATGATCAGACACTTCTTTGGCTTGAAAAATGAAATATGCAAACCATGGCTCACTTTAAAAACGGAAGCAAAAAACCCCCCAGACCTTTGGGGGCACTTTTGGTGCTTGGGTGGTGAAGTGCCGAAACGTCACAAAACAGAAACGGGCCAAGTTTCTCAGCCTCACCCATCCCAAGTTTGGGCCAGATGGACTCCTCCGAGAAACTCTGCTTGTGGCTTGATAGACAAGACGAGCGATGCCCCATTCCATACCCTTTTGGGGACACAGAGATGACTGGCTTTCAGCCAAGGTACACAGACAGTCTTCCAGGGGTTAAGTATGCGGGAGCGACAGGGAGTGAGAGCGAGCGAGCGTGAGCACTAGGTCTTTGGGTACCTGGCCCCATATAATAAGACTATTTGTATTCATACTGGCAAAGTCAACACTACATGTTCTTGGCCTGGTAGCTCCGTGCTAGTAATTTCAGCCAGAACACAGCTCGGTCCCTTGGGACCTTTGCTTCTCTCCTGGCCTCCAACCATTCCAAATGCAGAGTGAGCGCAGAGGTACGGAGACGGAAAAAGCCTGGTCTTGGTTGTAAGGAGAAAATGTGAAATTTTAAAACGTGTCACCATCTTGGCACGGGGAAGGTGTGTATTAAAACCTACCTTTCCCTTCCAGTTAACAGCGGCAAGAATATTTTATCAACCTTCTGACTCTGTTTGCCAATCAGATTCAATAGGCATCACTTCTGAGACAAATATTGCTAAAACAGACCCACTGCTGGGGAATTGATCCTCACAGTGGGGTTTTTCCATTTTTGACTGGGGATTCAGGCTCCTCCCCTCCTCTTGTGTTTAGGAAAACATACCCTTTGGACACTGTTTTTGCTATCCAAAGCGCTCCATCAGGAATTGGCCAGAGAGAGGGCCTTTCTGACTGGAATGACTGTGATACATTTCAGCCCCCAGCAGAGACATTCTATACCCCAATATATTCCAGCATATCGTATCTACTGGTTTTAACGACGGGGATTATCTGCCCTAGCGGGTGATTACAGCAATGTTGATTTTTCCTGTGTTTTTGTATTAACTAGGATGATTTGCCCTTCCCTGCCAGAACTGGCACCTGTGTTGGTTTTTATTTTCCTCCTCCCTCCAATCTCTTTTCCTTTTGTGTCATGTCTTTTATGATGGTATGGACGGCCTTATTAATCTTTGTAAGATGCCCTGTTGCTGTTACATGCCATCAAGTCACCCCCCACTTATGGGGAGCCTGTGAATGCAGGTCCTGTTCTTGACGGCTCTGCTCAGCTCTTGTCAGCAAAAAGCTGAGGGAAAAAGCTGGCAGAGCCGGGGGCTAAAAATGCTGTTAATGCATCAATAAACAAAAGTATGTTTATGTTTACTTCTTTAAAATAATATTTAGAACGCAGGAGGCTTCCTTCTACAGCTCAGTCCATCTAGCCTGGTAGTGACAACACTGGCTGGCAGCCGCTGCCCAGGGTTTCAGACAAGACTTTTTCCCGGCCCTTCCTGGAGACACTGGGGATCACACCTGGACCGTCTGCATGCAAAAGGTCCCTTCCGTGATCTTTCTTTGCATCCTGCCCTAATAGCTTTACTGGGGGTTAGCCTAGAATTCTTCCAAACAGATAAAGAAACAAGCCTTAGTCGTAACGGACATTTACGTCATGCATTTCAAGCACCCAAGGTAAAACGAACCCCAGCTATGCTGAAGGGCACTTAGAGCAGTGCCAGCTCTGGGTTTTGGGGCACCCGTGGGCGAAGCATCCTCCACTTCTTCAGGGGGCCAACCTTCTCACCGCCGCTGCCAGAGCTGCCCTCTCCCCGCTTTCTCTCTCATCACTGCCGCCACTGGCTTGCCTGACAGAGGCCTCCAGTTCTCCTTCTTACTGACTCTGTTATGAGGGCCAGAGAGAGGGGCTGGCAATCAAGCGAGCTGCAATGGCGAGGAAGACGAGCAAGCGCGGGGGGCCCTGTAGGGTCACGGGCTGTCGGCACTCGCCCAACCAACCAAGCCTACTCTTGATGCCAAGCCTGCGTCGCAGGGAAGGCCCTCCGCTGTGTCCAAAAAAAGCACAACTTGCAGGCCGGCGGAGGAAAGATGCTGCAGAAGATCTTAACACGCGTCTCTACCCGGCCTGTTTATCACTGAAAAGCTTATTGGACTGAGCTTGGACCAGAAGCCAGTGGCACTGCTGCTGTGAAAGGACAACATACTCCTCAGAAAAGGCTCACTGCAAAAGGATCAGAGAGAAGCTGGTCATTAAACAAAGCCGAGCAACTCACCTCGTTTCCCCCGGGCAGCCGGTTCATATGCACCAGCTGGCCTTGGTCGTCCAGCACCAGCTCTGTGTACGTCAGCATGTCGGAAGGCAACGGCGGAGCGGGCAGGGTGGCGAGCTCCTTCATGGAGTCCCACAATTTAATCAAGGACTGTGGGGATTTCGAAGGGGAGCGAAGAGACAAAACACGCCTTCGTTATTGATTCCTAACAACTCGTCTTGCTTGCAGCGACTGGGTTTAGATGCAACAGGAAACTATGGCTTTCCACGACCACAATGGGCTGTGACAGGCCTAAGGATCCCATTGGACCACACTTGGCTTCTGCACATGCGAAGGGAAAGTCAAACTCTGCCAAGGCCGGTTTCAATGGAACGATAGTTCCCTGCAACGGCTGAACTGAGGAAACTGGGGTTTGTTTAAACTAGGAGCAGGGAACCTTGTTCAGCACGAAGGCCAAACTCAGTCTGAGAGAAGCCCTCGGGGGGCCCTGGTCAGTGGCTGCTGGGGTCAAAGGAAAGGGACAGAGTCAAAGGCAAAAGGAGCTGAGCCAAAGGAAGAAACTTAGGAGAGCTATCGCAACCATTCAGAGAGAAAAGCTTCAGGGATGGCGGGGAATCACCACCCAATCAGTTGCTGTTGTTATTTTTCTTCATTTCTATACCACCCTGTAGCAGAAGCTCTCTGGGTGGTTTACAATGTATAAAAGGGAGCAATAAAATCCAATACAAATAACATAAACCAACCCTGTTAAAAGAATTTAAAATTAATTTGAAAAGCTTAAAAATACATTAAAAGAGACCATAAAAGAGACGCTAGAAAGAGCCACCGAGAATAAAGCAGTGGGGTCAAGGAAAGGCGGTGTGGCTCTCTGGGCAAGCTAGAGAGGGAGACTGGGAACGGGCCAGGTAAATCGTTTAAAGTTCAGCAGGACAGCTCTTACCTGCCGGAACATTTCAGGGATGTCGTAGACATAGGTTGTCCCCAAGGACTGAGCCTGGAATCGCTTTGACTGGAGCAAGTCCTTGGTCACATACGGTGTGTTGATCAACATTCCGTGCAGAGGCCCCTGTTTATCACCATACGCCTGGAACATAATCTGGACGAGGAAATAACATGCTCATGGTTAAGGAAAATGCAGCAACGAGTTCCCCAAGCTTAGCCAGTGCGGCACAGTGGTCAGCGGCTGTGCTGGGACTCGGGAGACCCAGGTCCCAGTCTCCACTGGGCCATGAAACCCACTGACTGACCTGGGATTGCTCCCAGTGCTGAATTCCACTTCAAAGGAGGAAATACGTGCAGAGAACGTTTTTCCCAAAGAGGGAATTCCACAGCGGCACGAAAGCACGCCTGTACCTGGGCAGTTCTGGGGTCCGTGACTTCCTTGTATAAGCTGATATCGAGGTAATATCCAGACTCGTTGGTCAGGAAGAGGCGGATGGGTATGGCTTTGCCAGTAGGTGTCAGCCGAATATTTATTTTGAGCTCTGCTTGGAGGACCCGAAGTTTCCATAAGCGGCTGCCATAGCGCATCACCATACTCCGGACGGACTCCTCGATCTGGACGATGCAGAGGGAAAGAATATCTGGGGTGTACACAGGATCGGATTGACTGCAACAGTAAGAACCTTACAGGGCAGACTCCAAGCCAGATTCAGGCTCCTCCTGTGGCTGAGTTATCTGGGTGGAGTTCCAAGCTTTGGGTTTGGGCTTTACATTCTGCAGTTCGGCTTACACTGCTTAATCTTTGTGCTGAATAGAGAGATACTCCAGCTATTCTCCACCTACGTCAGGGACAGACAACACGAGGCCCGTGCCTTTTTTGCGATCCTCACTGCATCCACACAGACCTTATGCTGCCAAGTTGCTGCTGAAAAAAGCCACATTTCCCGTTTGGATAAAGACATATGCGCCTTATTTTAATGCAAAGCCACCCTCCCACAGGGCTTTGCAAATCTAATTCTGTATGCAGGTAGGCACAATGATATCATCATTTGAGGGCCACCTCTGACAGTCTCCTCTGAGGGAGGTTCCAACGATCCCAAGGAGGGAGGGAGGTGCCTTAGAGGCAGCACCCCAAGGAGATGGCTTGACTCCAACATGGTCAGCTACCCAGTGCCGGGCTGAGACTACGCTCAAGCATTTGACAAGGCAGAAGGCTTTTAATCGGTCCTGGTGCTTTCACTGTGGATTGTGTGGGAGAGTTTTATATGTTCATAGGTGCATAGTTTCATATTATGTTATCATGAGGCACTTTTTGGATTGGATCTCTGTGGGCTACCCAGAAGGCAATGGCAAGTGGGTGGTAGAGAAAAGCAATAAATAAAGTGACAACGTGGCTTTTTCCCCATCACTGAACCGTTACCAAAATTCAGCAGCCATTTCGTGGCAGCAATTCCAGAGCTGACGGGCAGCCCTCGGTGGATTCCAGGGTCCCCCAGACCCTCCAGAGTTGTCCAACTTTGACCCACCCCGATCCATTTCTCTCACATTCTTGTGACTGCTCAGTGGCAAGGGGTGGAAGCGGCAAAGCACAGGGAGGGCTTGTTGCCATTTCCCTTCCCCAAAGCACAAGGATCTTGATATTCTAAGAAAGCAAAGAGCAACATTAAGAGCAAAATCCTCCGCAAACATTTTAAAGCAGCATTTATGCACCCCGTGTTTCACTGCAGCTACGATGCCTTAAATCAACAAAGCAATTACTGCTCTGAGGCCTGTTCCTCTGCTGTTTTATTAAACTTTCTAATATACTGCTGTTTGGTAAATAGTGCATATTAAAAGCAAGGCAATAGGAAGGCAGGTCTTAATGTTCTCTCTCAAACTACCTCTTTTCTCGAGGCCCCTCTGGGGCACTCTTTCCAAAGCGTCTGTAAAATGGCGTTCAAGCGAGCCACACTGGGGCCTGACACACCTGGTGAGCTGAGCAGCTAGGCGACTGGTTCAAAGCTTTTCTCAAATCACGAGGCTCTGGACCGGTGGAGCGGAAGCTTGTGGCACACCTGGCCCGGAGCAGGAAGGTCACTGTGGCCTTCCGATGGGAAAACCAGGCTGGCAAAACTTGCACTTGTGAATTCAACATACTTGGGAGTTGTCTATCAAACACCTCCTGGAAGTGGAAGGCAAGTGAACTCTCCAGGACAAGGGCAATCAAGTCGTATAAGGAAAGGCTGAAGGAACTGGGGACATGTGGAAGGCCGAGGGGGAACATAGCAGCCCGTTTCAAATACGGGAAGGATTGCCGAACGGCAGAGGATGAAGACTTGTTCTTCGCCAGCTCTGCCCAAACTGTCTTGCTGCTCAAGGAGAGAGCACTCGTGCCCCTCTCTGCCAGCACCACCTCACACCCTTTACTGCCTGGAGGGCTCTTGGGGGACCTTGGCTAGCCAGCAAAAGCAAGCCCTCCTGGTCGGCAGGGTGCAATCTGCCAGCCCTCTCACTCTGCTACCGTTTGTCTCTTGACCAGCCCAAACACACTTAGTTTGCAGGAGAGGAACATTCAGAGAAATGGCTGAACATTCAAAGAAACTTCTTGATAGCGAAGGGCAGTTTGACAATGAAACAAATTAACTGGAGGAATGCCTTCCCCGAAGGTCTCCAAGCACAAGCTAGAGCATCGTCTTTCAGGAAGGTGAAGCTCTGGGTTTCCCGCACTAGGCAAGGGGTTGGTCTGGAAGACACACCAGGCCCCCAGCTCTAAGATTTTGCAAACCTCTCTGTTTTGCAGAGGATTCTGGGAAGTGCTTTCACCTCTATTCCTAGATACGGTTCTGGGTGAGTCTAATCTCTAACATGCACTGAGTCTAGGTCTCCACATGCAACAGAACAAGGTGGCAAAATGAATTTCACTGCTTCAGACTGTTTGATGACACTTAGGAATGCATTCCTACACTGACTCTGGAACCCCTGAGCTCTCTTCCCAAAAGTAGTTCCTTCCTCTTTTCCATGACTAACAGGAGCACAACTAACTATATTTGTAGGGTATATACAAAGTCACTTCAATTCACAAATTCCACCCCACAAATTTTCCTTTCATTTCATCTATTACATTTCTATGCCATCTGATAGCCAAAGCTCTCTGGGCAGTTTACTAGATGACAGACGTCATTAAGTTTGCTCTAAAAACCATATACGTACAAAAATGCAAAGTACAAGAGAGTTCAGGCACTTTTTTCATTTCTTCCTCTGCGCAATTTGTGCTAGTGCAGGATTTTGCTTCCGACTCCTCTCCCGTGGAAAGCAAGGTACACAACCCTCTGGGATACAAGCTTCTCTTCTGAGGTGAGGGACCAACATACCTTTGAAGGGTCCATAATAACCGTCGGGACAAAGTTGAGGAATATGTGGTTACAGTCAGTCCGCACATTCGTGTTGTTGAAAGCGACTTCCAGCTCGTCCATGGCTTCTAAGAGCAGGCGCTCCCCCTCGTTCTGCAGATACTCAAAGGACGCCTCCTGCAGAAAGAGCGCCCTTGCGTTCTTCACTGCCCCCTGAGCACAGGCCCAACAGGGTGCAAGGTCAGCGCCAGGAGACGGCTGACGACGAGTCCGGAGGTTGCGTCTCTCACCTCCTTTCTCCGCACCACCAGCAAGACTGCAAAGAGGCGGCTTGTGGAGAGCCCTGTGGCAGCCAAAGGGATTTGTCCACTGGCCACTTCAAGTGGCAGTGCCTTGGCCGGCCACGATGCCTGGGCCTTGAGAAAGACTGGGACTGTTCACACATAGGGTTGTTGGAGAAATCCACAACGGACTTGTTAGTGTGAATTTCTAAGTATCAGACCCACACATTCCATGCCAGACTGGCTTTTCCCAAGTCACACAGATTCCATTACAGTCCAGTTTTGTTTACTTTGGATAATCTTATGTAAATTGGGGGGGAGTCATTCAAAAACTGTGCATTTCCCCAATAGGCTAAAGTGTGAAAATGTACATTTTGGAAGACTGCGCATTTGGGGAGGGTCGGCAAAGCTGCGCAAAATCTGATTCTGGCAATGAATGGATGGTGGGTTGAAGAGCACCTCATGATCAACAAAACAGACAAGCACATTTTATCATGCCCATACGATACAACAGCCCACGGTGCCTAAACTTACCCCTGACAGCCATCACGCCATGGATGGGAATAAAATAAAAATAAAACCCACCTTAGTCACCAAATCTGAGTGACGGATGATGGCCCGAACAAAGAATCTGTAGTCAGTGACCTCGGCTCCTGCCTCAACTTTTGCGGCACCCAGGTAAAGGTGCATCTTGTGATTGGCACACGGGATAGCGGTCAGGTCGAAGTTGCGCATCCGATTGAGCTCCAGTTGGAAAGCCAACGCCGGCTCCAAGTGCCGGTAGATTCTGTCTTCTTCAAACTTGAGAGAAACCCAGCCATGTACCATTTAATGGTGGACAAAAATGGGAAACAAGATTTTTAGTATCATTTATTCATTGAGCAGAACAACCTAGAAGTGCAGAGCCTCACATCTGGGGATCAAATCCAGGCTACCCCGGGGTACCCATTTAGTTTTCTGCAATTCCCCTTCCCCAACACAACCCCTTTGTACTCAACCCTGAGAAGTTCAGTGGCTTCCTGGTGCTGGTGTGATCCCTCCCCCGCACAAAAAAAAATTTTAATGGTTGAAATATCTCTCCTGAGCCTCATCCTATGTTATAATAATGTTATAATAATAATGTTATAATAATATATATTATTATAATAATAATCACATATAATAATGTTATAATAATAATAATCCTGTGTCAGGAAGAGGCTTAGGCTAAAATAGGTATTTCTGGTATTTTGGCCACATCGCTGTTTGCCTCCAGGCCTCCTGGAGCACAACCCTCAAGAGCTTCTCTGAAGTGGAATTCAGGCTGAAGAAGGTTCTGTAACATCTGCTGTATCTGAATTAATCCAGCTCTGGGGCCATTGGATGCAACAGAAACACATTTGCTTGTGGGCAGAAGAACATCCGGTAAGAAGCTAAGTGCCTCCCACCCCGCCCCCCCGGACAAAAATTCCCAGTCTTCCCTATCCAATAGGCTCAGAAATTGGGAGAAGGGCCCCTCTGGAAGGTCAAGACTTGGGCAGATTCACATGGCCATCAGCCATGACTAACAATAATGATCCAAAGGCTACAGGCAACTTTTGTTAAACAAAAACCTTTTTGAAAGTCTCTGGTTTTTGAGACTTCTGAAAGACACCCTGTCAACGCAATCATTCAACACATTTTGGGACCACAACAGATGGTGTGCACCACTAATTTAACAACCCAAAGGCAGAAACAGTTTTCAAAGGGGGGGGGGGGGGGGGTAGTGCTTACCTTATCCCTTGCACGGAATGTAAAAAATTTGGGAAATTCCCTCTGTTTGGAAAAGAGAAAGATTAAATTAGCTATCAGCTTCAGCAAATACCATGCACCATTAATTTCTTCTACCACAGGGCACTTGGTTGAAAATTTGATGACTTCCATCTCAAAATCTGGTTCATCTACGATGGGAGGCATTCTAAACATAAGTCAACAAAGTGAAAAGCCAATATACATTTGATTTTTGTGTAGCATGTACTATTTTGAATTGCAAATCTACAACTAGCTGTAAGACACCCTGAAAGTTGCTCTGCAACACCAAAGCAGGCTATAATTGTTTCAAAAATTAATTAATTAATCAATTAATTAATTCACATTTTAGATTCTTGTGAGGGCCAGGGGAAGATGCACCTTTTTTTAAAAAAAGAATGTTGCTGATTGTTTTATGGAGGTCTAATGTCATCACTTAATGGCTGCGTTCACAAGTAACTAAAGGATGGCCTGGGCACCATCTCTTGTACGCCTCCCCTGCTGTAGGGATGCAGGGTGGAGCCTCGTGGCAGAGGATGGTACAATCAGAAGACAGTCTTTCCTCTGGTACCTCGGAGGTGGAAGCCACCCACAGCGGGACAGAACCGCAGGGCAAGCCACCGTGATCCCATCCCCTGCCTCTGCTTTTTCACCCTACCAGGTATGTTCCGCTGCAAGAACCTGGCCAGTTGGAAAAACAAAGCACATTCCAGTTCAACAGATGACTTGAGGTGCAAAAATTATACACTAGGCAAGACCCCAGGTAGAAGGCGGGCCTGGATCTTTCCAGGCGCACATGGAAGAGTTGAAACTACATTTCCCAGAATTCTTGTGGGGAAGAAGCCATGATAATTAACCAATGCACAAGGGCTACAAGTTTGCACTGAAGGGGCACCCTTATGCAGAAGGGTACTTGAGACCTGAAATTCTTGGCCACACGAAAAAGTGGTCACTGTCAGAAATGATGTCCGTCTTTTCTTGGTCCTTCTAATCCCTTTCCTCTCCTTCTTCTCTGGGTTACCACATGCTGGCAATGTCACCCACATACATACAACAGTAAACATGACTGCTTTTAATTTTCCTATTTTTTAATACTCTCCAGCTAGCATTTTTGGGCAAATATCGCAATGAAATATGCACGTGCACACAAGCAAAACCTCAGAGCTCCAACACCAAAACTCCAAAAAAAGAATTCCCCCTTCCTAGATGGAGGAATTATGCCCCTGCTGAGTTCTAATCAACCAACCATCATCAAGACAATCAGAATAATTCCCCTAAATTAGCCAATCAAGACACCCTGCAAATTGGAGAATGCAAAAAGCTACAAGAGAAAATCATCATAGCCGCTTATTATACTAATAATCGCGTTAAAAACCTAATGAGATGAGGAAATTGGAAGCTTGCTGGAGCAACTCTCTATTACCTCAACATGCTGGGAACTAATTATATAGACTGTAATTAAAACACAAAACAAACCCAAGCCAAGGCCCTTAAAGTTACACTGACAGACGGTCCGGTGACAAAATGAATTGGAGGAGGAGGACACAGTAAGACGAGTGGAAATCTCTTGCCCAGTGAGATCTCCCCGAAGCCAAGCGCAAAGCCAAAGGCGTCCTCGCCTACAGAACCCGGCTCGCTCAAGTCATCAGCTGGGCAACTGCAGAACTTCCAGCCTGTTTTCCCAGGAGTGCCCCCCAGCAAGGGCAGTCTCGTCTGGTGGCGTCAGCTGACAACCGCCTCTTGGAAAGAGGCCCACGAATTCCCCCACTCAGCTGGCTGTGGCGAGCGTCTGTGGCCACCGTGGTGAGCAGTGAAGCTGCAGTCCTTCACCCGTCCGTGGTTGGACCTGGAAGGCTGAGGACACGTCTCCCCAAAGTTCTGCTGTACTTCTGAGGCACTCCAGTGCAACACGACTCCCGAGATAACCTCTCACGGGGCAGTGCTAGGGAGCACCCCAAATCTTTAGTTTAGAGTTCCAAATCTCTGGCAAGCTGTCTGCCCTGCCCCACAGCTGTCTGTGAGCACATACTGGAATCCAGCTCTATGGCCACGGAGCATCTCCATCGCATCTGGTGCCCCTGGATTTGCTGGCTTTTGACCTCCAGGTGCCTCACCTCCTGCTCTTTCCCATCCTTGAATTTTTCTGCCTGCGGTTTTTCCCTGAAATCAAATGCTCTCTTCTTCCCAATGGAAGACTGTCCTTATAAATATCAGTGTCCTTAGAAAACAGGGTCCTTTTGAAACACGCACAAAATGCCTTTAGAGTACATGCAAATTAGCCAGTGTTGTGTGCGTGTGTTTCTCATGTGGATCTGAACCCGGGATCTCTTCAGTGCCTGGCATCACCCCAATTCCTCGTCCTCCCGCTGCAGGAGGGCAGGAAACTGGCTCCAAGCGCTTCCAAAGTTCAACACCTAGGCAGAGGTGACGAGCCATCAAGAAACCCGATTCCCACCTCACCAAAAATGGCACTGACACAGGAGCGCTGGACTTCTCCAACAGAGCCTGAAGACAGAGGCAGTGCTCCGTCTCTTAACACACACAAACACACCCCTCCTTTCATAACTGAGCTTTGATCAAATCCACTCCTCCTTCCAAAACCAAAACCTGAAACTATAGAGAGTCCCTGCCAGTCTTCACCGACAATATGGAAGCAGAAGGGCTGGTTCGGTATTAAGGAAGGGACTCAGTGTTAAGGAAACGTCTTTTGTTCCTAATCCCTTTGTTAAGAGGTAGGTCATCCACAGAAATAATCCATTTTGTTCCCCCCGGCAAGAATGCTGCCCTTTCTCTCCTTTGCCTTAATGTGGCTGCCTATGGGTAAAGCCAAGCTACGACATCAAGACAAAACACGCAGATTTTTCCAAAGGCACTAAATGTTCCCCAACCCTGCTTCCTTCAAACCTCCCAGATTTCCCCTCGATTTTTTCATTCCGAAAGAAACCATGTTCTAGCTTAAGCTCTCTGTACTTTCCCTGCTGTCTTGTCCTAAACCTGCTGATTGATCCGTAACTGTATACACTTTTAGGTTTGCTCCCATCACTAAATCCCGGGCAAAGCCATTCCCTCTCCAATATGGCACAAAACATTCTGGAAGAGGCTGTGGGTGCTGCTGCACACACACACACACAGAAAGGAACACACTTGGTTTTCTTAGCCTATATCCTAATCTCTTACTACTTTGCAAAGCATAAAAGCATAGTTAATGGTCCTAACCCAAGATAACAAAAAGCATCCCTAGCAATTTCTATTTTTAGAGCAGAGGGAACTGAAGGGAGGGAGAGAAATTTGTGGCAAGAGGACAAAGAAAAGTCTGCAAGACACTGTAACAGCAGAGCCCCTTAAAAGAAAGTGAACAGCTTTTTAAGTTTGTTTGTTTGGTTGGTCAGTAAGTGTGTGGCAGCAGAAAGGAAGAGCAGAGGACAACTCTGCTGTTAACGCCACAAACACACCCACGGCATGTGCATCTCCTTTCATTTCACTTTGTGGTTCGACTCAGTTGAAAGGCTGGTGGTGTGGAGGGGCGGGGAGGCTGCTGGCTGACACCCCAAGGCAAAATGAAAGGCGCAGTACCAAATGGTTCTACTCACATACCACATGCCGGGTGGTGGAGAGATTTTGCCAAAACATGCTCAGCTTCGTGTGTATGAGCGAAGCACAGAAACCAGAAAGAAGCAGTTGCATCTTTAAGAAATGGGGAACCCCAAGGACAGCCCAGCCATGGCGCCAGTGCAAGGCGAACCCCTCAGGCCACCGAGAGCAGAAGCTCCTCCCCATCTTCATCAGTGGCGACCTGGGGCTTTGCACCTCAGGCCGCTCCAACCTTCCGCTGGAGAGAGAGAGTTTCAGCCACAGAGCCACCTCAAGAACATCATGGGAGTTGTGAAGTGGCTTTTTGCAGAGCGGGACCCTTGATCCGCCTGGAAAGGCCTTCCACAACCTGGAACGCTCCACAAGTCGTTGGCTACCGGTCCCAGCATAGCTTAGCCACTATTGGCTGGCAGGGCACCCAGGCCCCGCGCAGCTGTGAAGCTCGCGGGGTGACTCTGGTCCAGTCACAGACTCGCAACCTAGCCTACCATGCAGGGTTGTTGTTAGAGAACCTTGAAATGGAGGAGGATTGTGCAAGCTGCCCTGGGGTCCTTGCAAAAAGAAACAAGGAGGGACAGGCGTGGAATAACATGTGGAACATAAATAAGAGCTGCCCAGGGCTGATAAGAGGCGGCAGTCCACCATCCTCTTCAGGGTTGCATGTGTCATTAACTGAACAAAAAGAAGCACCCCCTCTCCCCCGCCCAAGACAAAACTTCTACTTACATGAAACCTCTGGTCTACTTCACAGTTGACCTGTTTCCTGAAATCCTTGTAAGCGGAAGAGAGAGGCAGACAGGTGGACAGACAGACACGGAAAGGGAGGGGAGGATTGATAAAATGGGGAGGGAGAAGCAGAAGAGAGCTACAAATTACTGCATAAATTAAAAATGAATTAAGACAAAAATCACAAGCAGCTCAATAGTGCCATCAATTCCAATTCCCAATTAATTTTCTAAGGAGAACTTATTGAAAAAAACATTGCACAGTTGGGGATGAACAAATAAACTAAAAAGCAATTGTGAAGTCTTTTTCTCTCTCATTAAAAATACCATTTAAAGCATGGTGGAAAAAAACAACATTCACAAGCACAGTCCTACCAAGAGAGTGGGATGTTAAAATACCTTTTGTGCCACTAGAAAAGTCAGCCGCCGAATTCCATGGTCAATCAGAACAGATTTCTAAAATGAAAAAAGAAGGTTACAATTAGAGAAAGTGTACAGACAAATCAACTGGCAAAACAAAACGTGTCAGAAAAGCTGCCCTGAGACATTGTGAAGGGTGGGATATAAAAGCCTTAAATGAAAAATAAAAATAAAGTTGAATAGATTGTTACTGCACTCTTCAAATAAAGTTTATCAGAGCATTTCACGATAATGAAAATTATAATACAAGGCAATAATATGTAATGTTAAAAAGTGACCACAAGCAGAAAAATTAAGTGCAGCAGATCAAAGCAGGATAAAAACCAATTAGTGCAAAGGAAGCAACATCTTTGAAAATGCCTCGCTCTGGCCCTCCAAGGCACCTGGAGAGCATCCCTGTGGGGGGCATTCCATATTTGGGGTACCAACACTAAGCGGAGATGGCTGAAAAGCCCGGCCCTGGGCCCCAGGGCTTCTTTCAGCCTGGGGGGGAAACCCATCTCTGTGAAACAGAGCAGAACAGCAGCCAAATTCCACTGATGGGTAAAGCGTAAAGCAAGTGGGTCAAGACACCTCTTCTCCCCGCCTCCCCCACGTTATCTCTTAAACCTCTTACTACCAGAAACTAGCTCTTAGGAGAGGTATTAGGGAAAAGCAGCACCAAACCGTCCCGAATGGTCAGGTGGCGGAGGGAAAGCAGCTGGCCAGGGAACGGGTGCATGGCCCTGCTGGTCACCCTGGGGTCCAGTCATGGCCTCTAGCCTAGGCACACTGCCCCCCCGGGCTCAGACTATGGGCTATTTGAGCCAGATTTGTCTGGAATTTGCTGCTGCTTCTAACGTGTGCTTCAGATTCGGCTGCTTGCGGCAGGCCGCCCTTCAGCTTGGGCCAATTTGATCCATATGCAGGATTCTGGTTTTCCAAGTCTGGGGACTGGACATTCAGGTGCCTGGGAGACATCTAGTCCAGAGCTGTCAGTGGCCTGAACTTGGATCACGGAACAGACGTTGGGTTTTCTTTTAGTCTCCACACATGAACCCCAACAGTGACAGCAACTTGGCAAAGACAACCGGATGCATTCAAATGAAATAGGGAGGGTCAAATCCAGGGACAATTTGGTCATGACAGGGGCAAATATCCCTCAAGACCATTCCTACTGCCTGTGGGCTTGGCTAATAGCAGCTTCTGTCTTTTCAGCAGCACCCTTTCCCCCTCCTTCTGCCAGGCTCGAAATAAGAAATGAAAATGGCGTTCAATAGAAACAGAGGACGTGCGCAGGCGCTCTAAGCCGCCGCATCAGGACCAAGACCGCCCCCTTCCAGCGCAGACTGCAATGTTTTACTAAGGTTAAGCCCCCTTTGAAAATGAGCATCCAATAGTCATAGGAAAAAGGAAGAAAATAACTTTAATAATAATGCTGTGATTTAAAAAAATTGTTATTGCTTTTAAAATTCCACAAGTGTCAGACAATAAGTGTATAGCAACGGGATTCTGATTACATTGTAATAATGCAGACCTCCCAGCGACTTCACAGCTATTATAGCGCTATTAGGTATCAGCACCTGGAGGAACTCCATTTCCGCTGTCTGTTTCAATCTCCTCCACAAGTCATTTACAAGCATACGATCCTAATTTCTATAAAAAGGGGGGGACCCCTGTTCATGCGACATGCTGGGACTGGAAAATTATTTGGACAATTTGGATCAAGCTATTTGCCAGCTTAATGCATAACACCTCCTCCCCTCTTCCCGTTATATACACACACAACACATACATATACACACCCCTCAAGGATGTTCATGCAAATGAAAAACACAAACTAGTTTAGCCCTTAGTTTATGAACAGGGAGAGGGAAAATTCTGATTGGGAAGAAAAATGTGTGGCGGGGGAATAGGGAGTAATCAAATCTTTCCACGAGCTTGTCATGCTTTCTGAACAAGATTGCTGGCTTTGTCTGAGTCTCAGGTGGTCTAGGTTTGGCATCCGACCCGTCATGCGCCACCCAAAAAGTTGAACCACTTGTGGTGGTGGAGGAAACAGCTCAACAGAACTGAAGTCTGATATCTGAAGGGATATACTATGACTTGCCTGATTGCCAAGCTAACCATGGTTAGAAGTGGGCTTACAAACCAGAATTTGTGCTAACCCTGGTTTGTGCTAACCATGCCTGAGCCGAACAAAAGATAGCCGTTCTATAAAGGGTCCTACATAGGACCACCGGAATGGTTTATAACTTTTAAAAATAAGAATAATACAAAATTTTGGGAGGCTAGGCTCCCAGGGTGCTGAGGCGATGAAAAATTAAGGCAAAGAGCCGGCTCTCCGCCACTGAATTTAGAACTTTGATCACAGCTTGTTTTCGCAGCCATGCCACAATACCCCTCGGTGACTTCCGCAGCCACATACAAATCGCTCAGATGGGACAGCTGCTCCCTGACAGACTCTGGAAGGGGTAAATATTTGTATGATCCTTTCCTATAGCACTAACCCATAGCCATGGGGCTCTGCACAACAGCAGAACAGCTGCCTCCCCCAGAGAATTTATAATCTAGAACTTGACACAGGAGTGCCAGCAGCAGATAAGGTGGGAAGGAGATGCCGCGGTGAACGGGGAAGGAGTACGTGCTGCATGCTTGGTTTCGGCAGCAAGATGGACGCCAAGCTCACCTTGCTCTGCGTGAACTCTCGGAACATGGCCGCTAGTCCCTCGTCGTCGATGTCACAATCCGTCTTAATGGCGATGTTCAGGATGTGGATGGGCTCATCCCTGGCACTCTGGAGGTCAAAAGACACCCGTGGGAGGGGAGGAGGAAAGGGACGCGTTGCCTTATACCAGGCGTTGAATCTCTTCGACTGCGAGGGTGGTCAAATCCACGTCTGGAGGAGCTCCCAGGGGAGCACATTCCAGAGGTGGGTGGGGGCCAGAGGCAAAAGGGGCAGGGCCAAGGCACCAAGCGTGCCAAAAATACCCATGCACTTCAGCTTACAGCTCTTACCGAGCATTACCAAGTCTTAGGAAAGTCATTTCAAATCTTTTAGAATGGAGGGGGAAATTGCACAAGAGCCAGGAAACCACCGAAAAACTGGAAATTGGAACAATTTGTGTGGCCCTCTCAGAAACACCCCTGCCTTACAATATACAATGTTGGGATGGATGTGTCCACTTTTGAGTGGCACAGAAGAAAGATGGGCTTAGTGGCACTGCATACTAGTATTTACAACTACTTCCTGCAGCAAATTCTGGAGAAAACAGTAAAAAAGAGGCAAGGATCCAGATCCAGTTCATATGACTTTGCAGAAGGACAACGTTAAATGTGACCCCTCCCACGTCCCACCAGCAAGTGATTTCAGTTCAGCAAGACCTTCCTGCAGACTTGCCCCAAATAAACTGCTCTGGATGCTCCTGATCTATGGAGCAAAGTATCACTGTTTTGATTCTGGCCTGGTCTGCACAAGCAATAGAAGCTGAGGCATCATTTTCATGTGATTGTTTATGATTTGAGACTGTTGGGGACGCCTACATTTAAAAAAAAATCTTCTCCTTTCAAGGACCACACCAAAATAAAATTAAGACACTGGAAAAAGGGCTGCACTTGGAATCTTGTTTCCTAAATGCTAATTTCCTACTTTGAAGGGCTTTTTTAATGTACGGAAACAATCATAAACATGACTCTCCCTTAGCAGTCTGAAATAGTATAATCCTACCATTTCAGGGTTTTTTACCCCCTTATTGTGCAGAAGTTTGGGCTTCTCTTGTTCGAAGTCCTTCTCCAAAGAATTCCCACAAGGAAGCCTGCCAGCAGGACATGAAAGCAGGAGCACCGCCCCCCCGCCCCGGCCCAGGCTCTTCGGCACCCTGCTGCCGATCTCGGAGGTACGATTCAGCCCCCAGAACGCATCGCCCTCGAAAGCTGGGACACGGTACCTTATCTTCATCGTACAGGGACGGGTGGCCCGCTTCTGGGAAAGTGGGGCTTTGAGGAGGGGAGTCGCAGAAGCATCCCATGACCTCGTCGAAGAGCCTGGAACAAAAGCAAGAGGGCGAACTCGCTGGAGAGGGGAAAGCAGGCTCCTCCAGACGGCCCGGCAAGGCTCGTCCCACCGCGATCTCCTTCTTGACAATCCGCAGGAAAACTCTTCTTTTCCCACCCCCACCCTCCTCTTTTTCTCCCTTCCTAATGGCGGCCTTCCCTCCACTCACCTGTTCGTCTCACTGTTCCCCCACCCACCGAGCCTCCAAGCTTGCTCTTTCTCTCTCCTCTGCCCCTTTCTCTTCATGCATTCTCTTGAGGTCTACATAACAGCTTATGAACAGCAGGTTCTGAAACGAGGAGGAGAACCTGATACACTAATATGCTTCTTTTATTTATTTAATCCCTGTTTTAAGAGGGCAGGGAATGAAAAGCTTTGCTGGGACCATGCTGGACCCCTGTCCCATCCCAACTCGAGCAATGCATGAAAGACTGCGCTGGCTCACACCCATCCCCTGTCACCCTTGGCGGGAGGCTCTGGCTCAGTGGTAAGGCCCCTGCTGGACTGACAGCAGGTCCCAGATTCTCCAAGGAGGGCAGGGGAAAAACCTTGCCTGCAAACCTGGGGAACTGCTGCTGCCGGCCAGTTTTGGCGTTACGAGGCTAGCTGGAGCAAGGGTCCAACCCAGTACAAGACAGCTTCTAATTTCCCTTGCTGCCTTTCCCCGAGCTCCTTCCACTGCAGTGATAATAAGCCACTTTTCGCCCAAGGCTAAATGGTATTTTGGAGATGCTCTTGACAGCATCCGTCCAGCAGTGGGCACGACCAAGATACCAGCCTCGGGTACCTTAAAGCGCTCACTGCTCGCAATCCAGTGTTAGAAGATGTCCCACAAATTTTGGAGCAGGAGCAGGGTGCAAGACAGGCTGGGCAGCCGCCATTTGAGCGGTGGCCAGGAAAAAGGGGTGGGGCTGGGGAAGGGGAAGGGGGGGACCACGGGAGGATTGGGCTGCACTCCTGGATTACACACCCCAGGCCAGGTGAAGTTACCGGGCGCAGGAGAGAGCCAAGGAAGGAAAGGGGGAGCGAGCAAGCAGGGGGATCAAGAAAGCCCCCCCACCAACACGCACTCTGCCCCCCCGCTTACCGGACGAACTCGTCGAAGGTCCGGAAGGAGACCATGGCGCCCATGCGCTGGCAGGGCGGCGTGAAGGAGTTGTCCAAGAGAACGTCGCTCACGCTGGCCACGTGGACCATCCCGTAGTGGTTGAGGTTGGAGGAGAAGGACATTCTAAACCGCAGGGCCAAACCAAAGCGAGCGTTAGAAACGGGGGAGAGGCCGCCGGGCATCAGCCAGACAGAAAGGGGTGGGGGGGGGAGTGGGAGGTGGTCTGAAGACGCCTAATATTGCTGCCCTTTGCAGGTCTGGAAAGAAAAGAGGCGCACAGAGAGAGTGCTGCCTACGCCCCAAACTGGCTTGGCTGTCAGAACCGAGCCGGAGTGGATCTGGCTTCTAGCCTGGGCCATGCGACCCTCTGCACAGAAGCCCCTCTGGGCTCCAGCAGGCTTGCTCCTAGGAAATCCAAGCATCCAGCCATTGCTCAGGGGTTCCCATGGCTGAACACGCCCCAACATGCGGCCATCCTTGGGGTGCTTTTCCACACTTGGGGCCCATTAATTACCATTAAGTGGAGGGTGACGCTGGGGTGGAGGTGGCATGAGATTAATCAGAGCACTCTCGAGAAGGAGCGGGAAGCGACGCTATAGTGCCATCCAGGGACGTGAAATAACAATGCACTTCAGTGCACTGAAGTGCTATTCAGCTAGTTCCAATACACTCAGACTTAAGTCAGATTAAAGCTATTTGCTAACTAGGTATGAAGAGAGCTCTGGCTAGAAGCGAAAATGTGTACCGAAGAAACTTTTATGGGCACGACATTTCAGAAGGGAGCCGAACAAGGAGTGAAAACACATTTCATATAATTGGAATGACTGTTCCATTCTACAGAGCCATTTTTTAATGGAAAACAAGAAGCCAGGGGTGTTATTTTCACCAGAACGACAAGTTGTCAGTTTATGGCCCCCTAAGAACACAGAACGAGTCACAGTAAATAAATAAATAAACAAACAAGGGCCTGCCAGGCAGCATCCCGATGCTGACCGGTCGCCGCCAGGGTCCTTGTTAACACCGGAGCAGCTCCAGGATACCCTCTCGGCGTGTTTTGTTGGGCTGTGCACATTTCTATTACAAATGGCTTGTGGATGTAATTTGAGTAGCCCCCGTGAAAGCCGGGCTGCCGGCAGCACGTTTGGCTTGTCCAGAGGTGGAGGCAGACGTCAGAGGCCGGCAAGCAGCTAGCCAGTTTCTCAGCCACAACTCGCAGCTGACCTCAGAAGCATATGGAGGAAGCGGGGAGGGTGCCACATGGGTGCTGACTGGTGGGAGCGGGCCAAGGGCAGCTGCTCACCACTGCGCAGCATAAACTATGGGGCACACGTCCACAGGATGCCACTGCTGTGGACAACTTCAAAGGAGGCTGGACGAATCAAGAGAAGAGGGGTACTGATCCTGGCCGGCTATGCACTGCCTTCCCAACAGGGCGGCACAGCGGGGAAAGCGACCACCGGCTGCTGGTCCCAGTGGCTATTTGCCTGCGTGCACCAGTTCCTGGGGAACGTGGGCAGAAGGGAGGTGCCCCAGTGCTGGACTGGACGGACCCCTCCTGACCCAGCAGGGCTCCTGTGGAAGTGCCCTGGCTTCACCCGGGGTCCCATGCAAGCTGTTGCCTCCGGTCGCACACATGGATTCCAATGCGCGCCACGCGAGCGAAGGCATCGCACTTGCCCTCAAACGTGTGGGGATGCGCCGTGGGCGTGGCAACGGCGGTCCAGGCGCGCAGGGGCTTTGTGGCTCAGCCAGAACCCGCTTCCTTGGGCTGCATTGCGCTTCTCGCTGCTGCCACAGGATGGGAGGCTATCCCAGCTTGCAACAGTCGGTGACTTCCAGAGGTGTTGGGTTGTGACCCCATCATTCCCAACCCGAATGGGCAACGGCCATTTGGAGCCCAACACACCTGCACGGAAGCCTTTTACTATTTCTTCACTCAATTAAAAATCCCTGAATCTTTCCCCGTGGGTTTTCTTTTGGGGACAGGGGGATGGAGCTGAAGCTACTCTTTTTATTTTATTATATATCGATCACACTTTTTTCCTCTTGCAAGGAACCCAAGGCGGCTCAGACACTCCTCCTCTCCATTTTATCCTGACAACAACCCTGTGAGGTAGGTTAGGTTGAAAGCTAGTGACTGGCCCCCGGTCACCTGGTCAGCTTCAGGACCAGGGGGAGACGGCAACCCAGGTCTCTCAGGCCCAGTCCAACCATGACAGCACATGGGCACAAGTTGCCATCAACACTGTAGGACCTATTTGTGGCAGGGAAAACCTCTGAGCAGTAACACAAGTTCCACTGAACGTGGGCAATTTATGAGCAAGAAAGAGTCTTGCGTCTCAGATTTCCTGGTTTCTGGTTTCCCTTGAGATGTTCCGGACTGAAACGCACAGGATTCTTAAGCATGGGCCACCCAGGTTGAGACTGATGAGAATGTTGCCCCAGCTTGCAATTGCCATCCAGAAGGCAAACTGCATTGGGCATAATTAGGAATGGAGTAGGAACTAGAACTCCCAAGATCATACTCCCCTTATGCAAATCTGTGGTGGAGCCACACTTAGAATATTGTGTGCCGTTCTGATTGCCTTACCTGGAAAGGACATTACTGAGTTGGGAAAAGCACCCAGAAAGGCAAATGAAAATGTTCGAGGGTCTGCAGCGACTCCCCTATGAGGGGCACCTACAACTGGGACTGTTTAGCTTAGGAAAAAAGGCAAGTAAGAGGAAACATGATTAAAATAATCATGGAAAAAGTAGAGACCCCACAGGGGTCATCCCATGAAGCTGATTAGTGGGAGGCTTCAGACAGATCAAAGGAAGTCCTTCTTCACACAACATGTAAATCATGGAATTCACCACCACAGAAAGTAGTGATCTTTCAGAGAAATCTTTCAGGCACTTGCAACTCCAATTTCTACAACTTTCCAAACCTACTTACATTCATTTTCCCCTCTCTCCATCTTTTCTCCTAACCCTGTTTGCAAAATAGCATTTTTCCCCTACTTGCACATTCTGGAAAAAAGCTATTTTCTCTTTCAAGTGGCAGCTTGTACATCTCTCTTGACAAACGTCTCTATAATGAATCACTCTCTTAGCCAATCAGCATTCCCCGTACCTCCCTCACATCAGAGCACTAACTATTAGTTGGCATGACTCTAGACAGACAGACGGACAGACGGACTGACAGAGGTACAATCCTGTTAAAGTTTAGAAAGAAACAGGTTTACTGCTCCTAGCGTGCCCCAGTCGGCTGTCTAAACTCGCATAGGATTGTGCCCTGACAACACCAGCAGGGACAAAGGCGGTCTCAGCCACAGTGCTTTTGAGGTACAAATGAATGGAAGACACCATCACCGGACTGCAGACAGACACAAAAGCAGCAGGAAACCAAAAGCCACCACCAGAAACCCAAATTGCTCTGGACCACCAACACCTTGCAAATCGTATTCACAAGGGATGCTCTGTATGCTTTCTTGTCCGCAACAGGCCAGGACAGCATTTGAACTTTTGGATATAATAATGTATCCTTGCAAATCAACAGGGGACCTCTTTGAATGAGCCCTGGGAGCAACTCTCTTTGCCTCCGTCCGGCTGATCCGAGACGGTGACTCAAGAGCAAATTCTGCATCCCAAGGAACCTCGCAAGTCAAGTTTCTGTTCTTCAGTAGGACTTGCAGGACATCTCCCTTCGCCAATCTTGGGTCCTCGAGGTGTGGTGGAAGACTACAGCTCCAGTTATCCTCAGCCAGCCTGATGGGAATTGTCGATCACCACATCTGGAGAGTGCCAGTTGGAAAAGGCTGTTCTAGATGCTGTTTGTGAGCAAAACTTCCTGCTTTTGTTTTTACTGTTTTACTTTTTGCTTTAAACTTCACCCGTGACATTTGCTTCTCTCCACACAGTGTGGCAGTGATGCAGCCTTTGGGTTGCTGGTTTTCTGAAAGGAGACTTGGTGATAAGGCCAAAAAGGTAATGGCCTTGTAACCTTTGTAGGATCTGGGCTAAACTCAAATGGGACTTCCACAGTTCAGTTCGTTGCTTCGCCTTGCAGTGAGGAGAGCCTGCTGCTGATCTTCTCTCCAGACAGAATTCAGGATAAAGGAGAGACGAGAGAAAGGACTCCGTTTTATTTGCTCAGCCCCTCTGAGCTGGAAAATGTGACACTCAAGCATACACAATATGGGTGAATACCCATGAAGCTCAAATTACCGTTTTAGCATCTCTCGTGAAAATGGACTGGAACGAGCTGCCCACTGAACTACAAATTTCTGTTGGAGGATGGCCAGCTGACACCCACCTTGCTACAGGACGAAGAAAGCAAAAAGCGGATAAAGCAAGCAGAGCTACTTTTCAAATTCTTTTGCTTCCAGGGTCGGGAGCTACTTTGCAAAGCAGGAAAGCCAAGCCTGCGAGTGAATCATGTGGTGTTACTTTTTATAGCATGAAGAGAAAAGGTGAAGTGGAGTACGTTCAGGGGTGGGGGGGATTTTTTTTAAAGACCACAAAAGGAGGAGGAGATTGTTGTTATGGTTCTGAGTGAGGACAGGGATTCCAAAAAACAAAACCAGGTTATAGTGTTAAAGCCCCAAACTAAAAAGGTGCTAAAGATACACATCTTTCTAGCTATCATTGGTCTCAGGTCTAAAAACGAGGAGAATTACTGTACCTGTTGAGCGTGGGTATGTTCCCTCTGTAATTAAACAACCACAGTTAGTTACATATTGGTTAGTGAAAGCCATCATTAAAATGAATCAATCAATCATTAAAATTGGAACTGTCATTCGAGCTGGTGTATGAAGCAGAAGCCAGAAGATTGTATTCATGGAAGCCAGCAATTTTGAAATGCCTATTTCAGGCAGGGCGAAGGAAAGCCCGGGCCTCACCAACCTAATGCCACCCATCAAGAGGAAATTGATCCAAAAAGATGCTGCAGAATGTTGCCTGCCCTTTTAAAAAACCTGGCCCATCATAAAGCAATAAAACGCTCCCACAGAGGTGCCACAACACAAAGATGGAACACACAGGGCCAATTCCAGAGAAAACTAGTTGCACTTAGAAGTTTCAGGCCAGCGCAAACTAGCTGCACGCGTTAAGAGCGCAACAGAACAATCTGGCTGCAGATAATTCACAGTTAAATTCAGCCCGGCTTTGGCACAACTAATGTTCTCCGGCTGGGGGCCGCACGTTGTCACAGCAATGCATTTATTGTATTTCAATGTATTTTATCATGTTGTAAGCCGCCCCGAGGTTTCAGCAAAGGGCGGCATAGAAATGTTATAATAATAATAAAAATAATAATAATAATATTGCTTTACACCATGCGCACTGAGCACACAAAGAGACACACGGCAGCAGAACCTGTATGAGCTGATGCGGTTGCAGAACGTCAGAGGCACGTGAATTCAGGCAGCCCTCCTATGACCGCTTCCCTGAATTTCGGGGAATTCAGTGAGGTGTACTTCAGAATAAACATGCATAGGATTGAATGGAGGACAGCCCGCCCTTGCGCAGCATGATCCAGCATGGCTGCCCAGACCACTCTGAATGTGAAAGATTCGGACATCCAAGGGGGGTGCGAGGGTCACGGAGGTGGAGACTCCCTCTGTGGTGACTCTGCTCCCCGAAACACTTGCATGGGTGACTTCCCCCTCCCTCCTGCCACCCGGGCAGAAAGAACCTGCCAGTGGTGAGGACGGGAGGAAGGGACATTGAAGCCAGAGTCCCGGCTTCAAGGTTGGAGCTGAGACCCTGACTTTTCTTAGGGCTGTATAGACAGAAGATGGTGGTAACAGGGTGGTACCTTCAGTTACGTTTCTTTTGAAGAACAGGCATGAAGTAACAGAACAGTATAAACCAACTCTTGAAAAGCAGCAGCAAGACATTCAGCTCCACGCAACATTATCACTGTGTGCAGATTGTAAAATACATGGCATCAAACATGAGGACTCTCTGGGTACATGACAACGTGGAGGTTTATTTTTAATGCGGCACCCTTGGGGACACGTGCATTCAAACCCCAACAGCATCTTTGGATCCAAATCCTCTTGGTTGTGCCACGCAGCTCAAAAAGTATAATCTGACTAGGTTACTGACCAACAATTTTTCTTAGGTTGAGTAAGGCAGACGGGCTTTATGATCATTAATTTCCATATCCCATTTTAAAGCATGAAAATCCAAAAAAGTGAGAGAAGTATAGAAAGCAGACTGCATCGATAAATTAATGGCACGGACTTTCCAAATTTTATCATTAGATTATCTCAAGGTGTTTTTCACACATATAAATAACAGCCATTATTACACAAGCAGTGCACCCATTTTACAGCCGGGGTAAGCTGAAGCTTAGACCAGTTAGGCGGTGGGAGATGACACACCAGTTTCTGCAAGTTGGTGGCAGAATTGCTCAAGAGCTTAGATTAAGGGGAGTTTTGGGAGATGGCAGTAAGGGAAAGAAACGTAAATACTGGGCTTGATTTGGGGGCTCTACTATCCTCTTAATAAGCCATTAGAATGGATTGGATAATGCCCCACACACTGGGATATCAATGGGGAGGCAAGAGATGCAGCCAGAATGAAATGAAGGGGCACTTGCTAGTTACATTTAACTACTTTCAAGCTCCATTGGGGAAGGTTAAGTGTTTGACAGTACGGTTCTACCCATGTCTACTTGGAAGTAAGTTCCATCAAATGCTCCCAGCTGAGTGGGTCTAGGGTTACAGCCCAAATCTCTCCCATCAATATCAACATGGCTCAAAAAGTGTCCATACGCAGCTGGTTCATATACATGAACGCAATCAACCGAAATGGCAACACGGTTTGAGCCGAGCTGATTTCAATTATCTATCACATAAATTGATTTCAATTATATACATGACCTAGCAGCCTTCCCCAACGTGGTGTCCTCCAGGTAAGCGGTCGTCCAACTCACGTGGGGAACACCGGGTTGGCCAAGGCTGCCACGTAGGGGCTGTGCATGGATGTACGGTCAAACGAAGGTCCGTTTGCGCGTCTGCTTGCTGGGTGCAGGCAGCCTGGGCTGGCGAGGGCTGGCGACGTGCTCCCAGGGCGTAGCGTAACTTGTTCCAAACTCAACTTGCTGTTTTATGAAGACGTGGCGAGGGGTGCAATAAAATTTCACTGGGCCCACGTATACCAATAGGACCTCTCCGGATTAGGCCTGGAATAAATCAATGCATGAGCCAGGCTGCAGAGCTAAAGAGGAGATGCAGGCACTCGTGTGTGTGTGTGTGTGTGTGTGTATGTGCACATGGCAAGGGGAATGTGGGAAGATACACAATTTTCAGGTGTTTTCCTTTGCAACCATAAAGGCTAAAAGCTGACTTTAAAAAACTGGGTGGGTGGTGGCTGGAAGCTCCCACTGGGCGTGTGGCTTAGACGCTGTGCCCACACACTGGTTGACCCCTGGTGGACACTCTTTTAAAAACGGTGGCAGTGCAGGATCCGTACCCGCAGCAGTCCTTTTCGTGAACGGGTGCAACACGCACCACAAAAGCTGCTCAGGACAAATAGCTCCGCCCCTCTGGCTTTGCTGTGCTAATTGGGGCAGCCGGCTCTTCTCTTGGCCGAGCCCTAAATAAAGCTCTCGAAGTGCGTATTCTGTCCTGGTTCAGCAGTTTCACACTGGAGTCTCCCTTGGACATTCCTTAGGCTGGAAAAAGGCCATTTTCAGCTCAGTGTTAGTTAGCATGTCCTCTGAAGCTGAGTTTTTCTTCCACTGCTGGACTTGGGGGCATGTGAGGGAGATGTTTCTAGACTGCTTGCATTTCACAACCACCTGGATTCGCTGTTTAGGGCTGCCGTTCCCAGTCTAATCTTCTCTGGACTAGGTCAGCCAAGAGCTAGCCGGGAATCATGGGAGCTGCAGTCCAACACAATTACAGCATGCTTGCTTGGGAACGGCTGGGTTCCACTCTCTATCTCTCGCCTTACACATATAATGCTTATAGAGACACACATACAAAGAGAGACAAACAACACACCTCCCAGCTGAAGGGAAGACTTCATGCAATGGATGAGATGGACTGTAGCTCACAAAAGCACCAACAAGGCCCCTAAATCTGAACTACATCAAAATCTAAACACAGGCCACCCAAACGGAAACGGAAACCACAACTGGGGCTGAAGCCTGTTTGCCAAGGGAACCCCTCGCTCAAGACAGGTCGTGGGTTCTGAGTGATTTGTCCTCTGCCCCAACAAGCCGCCCGCACTGGCTTTGAGCCGGCTTGTGTGGGGACAGCCAACAGGACATCATGGCACATGAGCCATCTTTGTCTCTTGCAGGCCTGGCCAGTGCTGACATCTCTGGCCTAACGGGCCCATGGAATTCCTCAGTACAAGGCCGCATCCTATGCTCCCTTTCCGATCATCCCTTTATCCAAAGCCATGAGGACTAGAGTCCTACTTTATTTGAAGGGAAGATTCATCAGCTCTCCAGTTCAAAGTCTGACATCTCTGGGGAGGGCCAGGAAGGGATCTTGCCTGAAATGGGGGCGGGGGGGGGGGGGGACACACGCTGGCATCAGGCAAGTCTGCCTGCTTTGTGTGCCCAGGACACAAAAGCCCCACCAAGCCAGCCCGGGAAACGTTTGCTTCGGTACCCCTCCCCGCTCAAATCCGCCAACACATCCGATTTGCATCCCATTACCCTGGCTCCATTCTGCCGGCTGCCCCTTTCAGCAGCCCCTTTCTTTGCTCAGCAGGACGACTCTGCCCTCTCTCAGACAGGCAAGCCAAGGGAGCGGCGGGCAAATTGCCGCTTCCCGCTGCTTAATTCACATGAAGCCCACAGCGCAAAACTACCGGGATTTGCCCGTGTCCCGGCAGCACACGCCTCCCCGCATCCCCCGATGCTCTCCCCGTGACGGCCCACGGGCAGCGGAGAGCAGGGACCCCCCGGGCCCTAATGATACGGCCCGAGGGTCCTCCACTCGCCCCTCTGGGATGTGCTGCGGCTCGGGAGCCAGGAGGCACGATGGCTGCTTTCCCGTCTGAAGCAAAGTGACTGATGGGCGAGAGGCCGCTGCATTAGCAAGTCCGCCGAGGGCATCCATTTCTCTGGACGCTTGGCTCTTACGGGCAGGTGCGGCAGGACAGCCAGAATGGGTGCAGGGGGCTTTCCTCCCTCTCCTTTCGGGAAGGAAATAATCCACGCCTACATTTGTATATCACAGTCCGCTCTAACTCTGATAGGAGGCAGATTCTCCTTCCGGCTGCCATAAAAAGCACCGCCTCACTAGAATTAGATCGTGCGCTCTTCATTTCCTCTGTTGCTCAGTTTGACTTGGGGCATATAAATCCAGCCTCCCGAGGATTGTGGGATTCATCTCACTTGTAAAGTAAATTATGCAGGTTTCTAGACCTTATGGCTGCAAAGGAGGATTTGGAAAAAGGTAGGCATTTCAGAACCTGGAGAGGGGGAACGACTGGATTTCCATGCACCAGTGGGAAGGGTGTCAGGACCCTGAGCCAGTTCCTCCACAAACCACCACTGGTTTGCAATCACCAGCAAAAACTTGTACACGTGCCATTTAGTAGCACATGCTTAAACGAGTGAATTTATTTCATGCAAAGGCCACCAATATAAGTCATGGCAACTTATTTAGAAGGCTTCAAAGGGGGACAAGTCCTGTAAAAATGATGACATTCATGGAGGAAAAGGGTATCAGTGGCTACTCGCCCTGAGAACTATATGCCACCTCTTGTCTCAGATGCTGGGGAACATGGGTAGATGGATCCAGCACGGCTCTCGTGCTCTTAAATGTATGCAAATGTGATTAATTTAGGGTGCAATCCTATGTATGTTTAGATCAAAAAAAGTCCTAAAGTGCCCCAAGTTCCTCACTCAGCATGGGACTGAACTCTAACTTAAGCAAATTGCAGAAAGCAGCTGGGCATCAAGATGGGATTTTATTTTTTTAAGAATAGCAGTGTCCTCAGGTGATCGATCAATCGAGCGAGCGATCTGATTTCTATCCTGCCCTTTCGTTTAGTCTCATCCATCTACCTTCCGAGAAATCTAGAGTGCTGCGATCAGACGTGCCTGACATGGCGGTCCTCGTAGGAATGGGCACTTCCCCAGCAGCCGTTTGGCGAGCGCACCCACGACACACTGTCAAGATTCCAGAGGCTGGAGCCCCCGCTCTGCCTCCTCGCACTGCGCTTTGGGTCTGTGCCCACTTCTGACAGTCTGCAGAGCAGCTGCTTGAGATGAAGGAAGTTCCTAGCTCAATCCTTGGCGTAACCAGATAGGTCTGGAAAAGCACCTGGCCTGAAACTTGTGGGAACAGCTGGGGCCAGTCAGTGTCAGCTATACTGGGCTAGATGGACCCACCGCATGACCGCTTGCTATGTTCCCAAGCCCCGGAGAATTAAAACAATGCCAGATGACAGGCTACTGTCGAGTAGCACACCCTGGCCAAGAGAAGTTTTGATCCAATCCAGCCCCACTGCACTAGTCTGGATTCAGGCATACAACAGATCCCAAGCCGGAGCCTGAAGAACGTCAGGTTGGGACTTCCGCTATACCATCTCTGGTAGGAAGAAGAACGTAGAGCAGATTCTGTACAGGCGATGATTCCAAGGGAGGGCAAAAATGCACCCCACATGGTAATGGGCCCAGATTGTTGACTTTCTGAACTACTCCGTGTGTGTGTGTGTGTGTGTGTGTGTGTGTGTGCGCGCGCGCGCGCGCGCGCGAGAGAGAGAGAGAGAGAGAGAGAGAGAGAGAGAGAGACAGAGAGACAGAGAGACACGGGGGTGATATTTCAAGCAAGTTTCTGGTCTTTATGATTGCAAAGATGTGAAATGAATGATAGCACAAAGTCTGGTAAAAGCTCAGGCAGCCCGGCACAATCTAACACTTCCAACCTCTGAGGGCGGGCTCTCGAATCTCAAATCCCCTTTGCCCTGGCAGCTAGCAAAACCAAAATTACGCAGAGTAAGAGATGTTGTTCACATCTGCCCTGTTCGCAGCAATCCAACTCTTCCTCCGAATTATCTAACATTTTTTTTAAAAAATTATTATTCCAAGAATTGTAGGTGCAAGCTAATGGATAAACCAGTCAGAGTGGAAAAAAAAAAGCTTCCTGACCAAAGCACTTTTTCTACTATTATAGAAAGCTCCCAGGTCAGGGTCCACGTGTTTCCTGTACGAGGGCTGCTCTACATAGGGCCCCACCACCAGCCAGCCATTTGGCAAGGGGTGGATCTGACCCCTGCCATTGCAGCCAAGAGATACTAATGCTTCGAGCCTAGTTTGTCCAGCCATATACTGAGCACCATTAAAAGCTGGTTTCCACAACCAGGCTGGGGAGGGCTGCTTTAAGGCCACACGGCAAGCCAAGGGATGGGGATTAACCGAGAAAGAGGGATGATCTCGTTGGGAGATAAGAGGAGGAAATGAAGACTAAATAGCTAAGGTTTTGGGGAAAAGATACAGGATTATACACGCGTGCGCCGCACACTCTCATGGACCTCCAAAATAGCATGCAATTATTTGCAAATATTGTTGAGATGAAAAGAACAGATGAGACCAAATTCAATGGCCCATTTATATCACTGCAGAGAGATCTTTGTGCAGCTGGGCTTGGAGGACTCATCCATTTTGAGCAAAACCAGATTTTGAAGAGAGAGAAAGAGGGTGGCGGTGTGAGCAGGCGGGGGGGGGGGAGCTACGTTTCATGAGATGTACTGATGGGTTTTCAATGAACCGAGACTGGGCCTCATCGGCCAATCCCGCCAAACACAAAACAAGGAGGAGTATGATATAAAAGGCAATGGATAGGTGGGAGACAAAGGAAGAAGAAAATAGCACACCCCCCCCCACCCCAAAACGGCTGGCAGGTTCCTGTGCTTTTATTTTGTGACTCGGTGGTTATGGATCAACAGTGCCACCTAGTGGCTGAAGGCAGGCAAGGCAGCTGTTATGCTTCCAATCTACCATGCTTCCAGCCCAAAACCACTCAAGCTTTCTCAGTTGGCACCATATTGCTTCCCAGTCTTCCAGGGGGAAAAAATGTAACCTCAGTGTTTTTTTTAGTGATGTAGCAGAAGCTTTTGCATCCCCAAAGAGGCTTAGAGGGCGATGGAGAGTAACACCTTCTGTATGGGAGCGTTCACCCCCTGGATTCCTTCATAAGCTCCTGCCACTGTTCAGAGGGTGAAAAGTAGAAACGCTGGGAAATGATTCACAAAGGCGCTCCAGCAGATTGCCCTGGTGCAGTACAGACGGGGCCTGCGGGGACGTGGCTCTGACACCTTTTTAAGCGGCAGGGACTCCGACGTCATCTGCCACCCACCTCAGACTACTCATTTTGAGCCTGGCGACATTCCTCACCATAGCTGGGGGGAAATGAATCCTCCCAGCAAGCATCGATCGCTTCGTGCTGCAGTCCACAGCACCTTGGGCTGGACTGGCCCGGGACCGTGTGAACCAAGATGCATGAGCCCCCGGTGGAGCTGAAAAGTGCTAAAGAGGTTTGTTGAGACGGATCGATGCAGCAGCCTGCATTTTTTTGCAGGCTCCCACGTGTGTGTTTGGGCAGCTACAGAGACGAAGCCTGCCATTCAAAACCATCCGCTGTGCCACTGCCACCGATTCTCTCCGATCCGGCAACTGACAAACCACACAATTCAACTGCCATCTACGCAAATGCAGAGCAAAATCACACGACCCCCAGTGGAAGGCAGGTCTGTAGCTGCAGTGGCGGGGGATATGGATCGGTGGAGGGGAATTGCCCTGTTTTACCATGCTTACTTATGCAAAACCGTCACCTCAGGAAAAGGGCTAGGCTAGTAGCTCTGCCTTCAGCGTGCCCATTTTTGACATGGGGGGAGCTTTCAGAAATGGCTCATATTTGCCCCTGACAGTGTGAAGTGGTACAGTCCAAATATGGTGTACCAGAGTGCCTAAATATATAGTTAAGTATTAAGTATTGCTTTTCAAAGAAATAAACAGGGGCCAATTGTTTTATCAGATTTGGAATGAGAAACACAACTCTCCTCCTTGCCATTAACAGCCTACATCACTACCAAAAAAAATAAATCTTCAGTTAAGATGTGGAGTTTTTTCTTTTCTCTAAAGACTTGTCAGCTTTTTCCTTCCTTCCTGGGCATTTTACAGCAACCTAGCGCCCTACTTTTGTAGACAGAGGTTTTCCTAGAAACTTTTTGGGCTCAGATGTCCAGCAGAACCATGTGTGATTCACTGGCACGCAGGCATGTCCTTAAAGCTGCATAGCAGGGAGGATGCCAAAATTGCAGTGCCATTTGGGAATGCTCTAGACGCCCTGCTGTTTTATTGCTTCAGCCATCACCAGGTGTAGGCATTCAGGGGTAGGACCAGAGAATATGCCACAGTTTTGCACACCCTGGAAGAGGGCCCCCAACATCCGAACAAGATGCTAGGCTCCCACTGCAGCTTGAGAATTAAGGGTGACTGTTGTTCACAATGAGTATCATTTCTCTCTCCATCCCAGAGTGAACAGGGGGGGCTTGGCTAGGATTCTTGTACATACTGGAAGAGGCCTCAAGACTTCCAAGAACATGGCTGAAGAAGGAAAGCTTGAATGAACGCCAGCTACAAGCTTGAGCAGCCTGGATATTTCTTACAGCTGCTTATAGAGTCTGGCCTCCGTCACAAGCCTGCCACTCTTGGAGGGATGCGGGGAAAGATAAACAGCCCCTTGCTTGAAACAATTTAGAAACACCCCACATGGGGTGGCCATTCATGTATGCACTGGCACCAACTCTTGGAGTAACCGAGTGAACAAAGTCACACGCATTCTGTGGCATTACCAGCCAAGATTTCCCAGAATGTCACGGAGCAGACAAGTATAAAACCCCCGGTTCGCCCGCTCTACATACGCTCCTGTCCTCCCGCCTCCTCCAGGTTGGCTCAGTGCTACCTGCATTTCGGCCTAACCTGTTTGGATGTGAAGTGGGCAGCATGAACTGGAACTCCACCACGCAAGTGTTGTCCTTCAGCTGGCGATGCTGGACGCTGTTCAGCTCGTAGGCAATGTATGCCCTTCGAACATACACCTGGGAGTTTAAAGCAGCACACATACAAAAGAAAAGAACCGGCACTGAGAAATATGTTCACACAGCCGTCCTAAACGGAATTCCTGCATACCTGATGGAGGCACAAATCCAACTCGAGTTTTATCCATGCGCTATGTGGAAGGAGGCAGCAGAACTTTGCTGCTTCAGAACACAGAGGGAGGGCTAGTTAATATATTCCCCCTTCCCCATATACAGTGATCGATGTATGCAGGAATCCCAAAATATTAAGACCATATTGCTGTTTGAAGCGATGTGGTCCAGAATTCTTCCACCTCATTGTGCACAGTGGTTTCTCCATCATTTTTCACCTGAGAAAAATACAAAGTGGCTAAACTGAACTTCCCAAACCTGTTCCATTTTTCTTTCTTTTTTCCTAAATCGCCTCCAAGGCAAAGCAGATATGCTCAAAACACATCGTGCATAATAATGGGAAATGTGTGTGCTTTTAGAAACAAATCAAATGATTTTCTTCAGCATGTTGAGGAGAAAAAAGTTCCTCTTGCTCATTGTCTAAGGGGAAGAGAGACAGGTAACGCCAGCAAGTCATTTTATGTTAAAAAAAAAAAAAAAAGACTCTCTATTATAGCTGCGCACTAACAATATAGAGTGAACCTGTCTCCAGTCAGGACCAGCTGCCACAATCATGCACAGTGAATTTATACATTTAGCTTTTTGTAATGATCAGTAACAGAAAATGTCACAGCAGGAAACATTACTTTAAAAAAGCAGGCCAGATCCTTCAAAAAGAGAAAACTTTCTGGTACTTTTTCTTCATGGTTATTCTTGACCTGAGCTTCCTTTTAGGACATCAGGTTTTAAAATATCTGCCTCCAGTCAGAATTCTGACCTTCTTGACAGAGGTTTATTTTATATATTTCTCTTGTCCCTCTCTAACAGAATTGACCCTTGCTCAGCTGGACCAGAACAAAGGCTTCTTTTGGAATCCAGCCTCTGAACCGGGAAGGCACAGCTAGCCACCGTGCCTGGAAGCCATTTCCCTCTGTGAATTCATCCAACCCCCTTTTAAAGCCAAGGGGAACCATCACTACAACGTCTGATAACCAATTCCACAGCTCACTTTGTGTTGCGTGCACACATGCAAAGACGCCAAGTATTTCTTCGCACAGTACATTGTGGCACTTGCTACCACAAGACACGCGTCAACAGCTGAGCGCTAACGTGTGGAGACAAAGCTGATGATGAGAGCAAAGAAGCCGGGATTGGGAGAGCAAGCTTCTGGCCTTTATATCCTTCTGTAACAGGTGAGTAGAACATAGATTTCCAGGCATTTGGAAATTCAGCTCCCAGAATTACTGACCCTTGGCTGTGGGGGCAGGAGCATCCGAGAGTTAAATGTCCAAAACTTCTGGAGACCTCTCTTATACCCACCCAGTTCTATAATAGACTTGAACTTCTGTACAGTTCAGGTCCCTTTTTAAATTTTGGAATTTAATGCTGGCCTGGACAAATGTCTTCAACCCCATGCAGTTTTTCTCGTATCCGTCTTATCCTTATTGAGCTGCTTTTAATACCATATTGGGTTGTTTTTTTGTTTTTTTTTGTGGGGGGGCGGTATTGCTGTATGCCTCCTTGGAAAGGCGTCTGCTCTGAAAAGCAGCCAAGAAATACTTTAAATAAATTATTAGAGATTGCCCTGCCCCATGGCTCTGTGGAGAAGGTGAGGTTTGAACGCCCTTCTTCAAAGCAACCATTGAAACGGCTGAGCACACCATGGGCTTTTTAATTTTTTAATTTTTTGCTTTTCATAACCTGGAAAATCACAACCTGTGAATATTTCACGGTTGCAGGATGGAACTGGACAAGCAACAGGCATTGGAGAATGCAGCATCTTAGGGACTTCTGGCTGCTGCATCATTTAAAAAATACTCATGCTGCTTGCCCTTATGGCTAGAAAGTATCAGGGCAATGTTTCCGTGAGATCTCAGAAGCTGGAGTTCCACTGGATCCCCAGAGACAGCCTCTGATCCTGGAAGTACTACCCAGTCATCATGTCCAATCCCCCTTTAAAGCTGAAGACTTAAAAAAAAGATTTCCTGGGGTTGAAGCTTTTGCAGTGCTGTCCCCCTTTAACTGAGTACAGAAAAACAAGTTATGTAAGATTAGGAATTATGTGCACAATTTCTTCCAACTGTACGTGTCACAGAGTGCGGAATGAATTCACAGTATGTAACCAGTCGGAGCAGAGGCCGGTGCGAACTTTAATTTTTTAGAGCTCAGAGTAGACTCTGTCTCTATGAAATCTTTGAAAAGCTGACTGTGTTAGATGCCTGCAAAGGAGGGGAAGGGGGAGAAAGGTGATGAGAGAAGGTGGGCACCTCAGAAGCAAGAGAATGTTTGCTGAGATGCTTTTCAGGTGAAAGGAACCCTACCTCCAGAGCTGCCATCCGTACCACTTGGTTGCTGTGATAGAAGAAGTTTGGGAGCACGTCGAAGATGGATGTCTCCGAAAGAATCAGTTTCTAGAGAGGGGAGGGAACAGGAGAGGTTATTTTTAAAACCACAGAATTCTCTTTGGGAATGAACCATTCTGATACACACAGTTTCCTTCCTCCTCTCCTTCCATGTTTGGCTTAAGGTACAATCCAATGTGTGTTTGGACAGAAAAATCTTGTAACTCCCAGCATCTGCATACCAAGTTGAACAAATCATCAGAAGCTCCGTCGACCTGAAGTATCCAAGCACAGGAGAGCTGCTTACTGTGCTTCTGTGTGATGCCTCGGTCTGGCCCAGGGTCCCGCCCAGTCAGACTTCACGGAGCATTTCTACCATGTGCGTTATCAGCAGGGATGTATTGGGATATTGAAAATGGTTTTAAGAAAATTCAAAACAATTTTTAAAGCAATACAGATTAAAAACTATACCTGGAGATTCTCAATGCAGAACTGGTGGCCATACATGTCAATGGCTGAAAGGAAGATGGATTCCACTTGGTTGTGACGCAGTTCATATGATGGTAAGTGGGAAGCTATGAGGACCTGGGGAGGACAAACATGGTTCACAGGGGTATGTTGCGAGGCTGCTAAGGAAGCTAGAAAACCAAACTTTAAAGTGGGGAGGTATGAAAAATCTGGCTGGAGAACTGGAACTGGGCAGAATGGCCTAATCTGCCCCCCAGCCACCCCCTCCCCGACTGCAGTCCCTCCCCTCATGTGAGTTGAGCCAGCAAGCACGCTTCCACTTCTGAAGCAGGCTATAATTTGTGGGTTTGATTTCTTTCCCTTGTTTAAAATTGTGGCTGGGATTTGCATAATGTGTATACTTGCAAGCTGCAATTTGGGGGGAAAAAGAAGACTGATGCAGCAGCTAGAATTTATACAAATTTTCCTAATTTAAAAAATAAAATTGTGGTCTGCTTTAAAAGTAACAGCTATGGCACCCTTCCCCAACAACTTGTCCTGTTTGCAGATCTTGCACTGGTGACGTGCTGAAAACGCTCCGCTCAAGTGGGTCGATTCGCTCAGTGCTGCCCATCTCTACTTAAACAGAGATTTAAGGACCTACACAGTTACGAATTAGAAGGGAATCTTAAGGAAAAGCAGCACCTTGGCTTCCTCATCTGCACCATCACATACCTCCAAAGGGAATCGTTTTGATAGTGAAGAAGATGGCAATAATGAGTAATATGGAGAGAAAAGGAGAGAAGATGGTGGAGGTTGAGTAAAAGATTAAGAAAAGAAGACACAGAGGAAAAAAGAACAGGGGCTTTTTGTAGCTCAGTTTCCTCATCTCTAAAATATATCCAAAACATCGCCTACTTCAAAAAGGAGGCAGCGAAGGACATCATCGTCTCCTTTTTGACGGTGAAGGAGATGATGATGAGAAGAGCAGGTAGCGGAGGGAAAAAAGGAAGAGAAGAAAAGAATAGTGCATTCAGGAAAAGTTAATTAGATAGCTGGTAGGTGAGTGGAGCGGAAGGTAGATTAAGACCTCTGGTTGATAGATGCAAGTTTCACAAGGGTGTAAAGAGCTCCCGTTTTTGCAGACAATAGAAACCAAAAAGGCTTCAACAGTAACAGCAACAATTGTGTGCTAAGTCAAAGAAAGTCCAGGATGGGGGAAAACAAAAACGATTTTTTTACATCAGGAGGCCGGTGAGCTGTGAGCTCGGAAGTGGAAAAAGGAGATTCTCACTGTGTGAAGGATAGTGCATTGGTTAAGGAGGCAAATGCGTGGTTTGCAGAAAGTCTCCATGAAATGCCAACTCTTACGTTTCGAGAGACAGCATGGCATGGTTGTCAGAGTACTGAACTGGGACTTCCAAGTCTGGCCTCTAGACTGGATGACTTTGAGCCGGTCGCAGGCTCTCAGCCTAACCTACCTCACATGGCTGTTGTGAGGATAAAATGGAGCGGAGGGGGATTTTTTTAATAGTTTCCTTGCAGAAAAAAAGGCAGGCGATGGATCTAATGAATACATATTTGGAAAGCAAGCCCTTTATCCTCGCCACCAGCGCAAAAAATCCAGAGCCAGTGGGAAGGAAGGCGAGAGAAGAGGCTACCATGGTGCCAAGAGCAGCTGGATAAAGACATCCGCGGCAGCCCCAGCATGCCGCTGAGAGGTTCAGTAACTCTGAATAGTTCAAGGGCACCGATAGCAATTCGGCAGAAGACAGAAAAGGTCAGTGAGCGGCTTCAAACGCCTGGTTGTTTTCAATGCTCATGCACTGGAATTAAAAAAAAAAGGCAGCAATTGCCACCCCCCCCCCCCCAGCCTCCACTCAGCTGCCCACTGCAGTCTCTCTGCTATAAGACTTTTAGAATGGAAATTAGGGGAGTGTGGAGGAGGGTAGAAAAAGGGGACGTACTGCGGGGAGGGAGAAAAGACAAGCTTCCAGGGGTGTGGAATTATTGTGAGACAATTAGATCCTTCTCTGTCTTTTTGTTCCCCCACTACTTTAATTATATAGGCGAGCCACCCGCCATGGAGGCAGGCGTCAGGAGAGAAGGGTGCTTCCCAGGTGAGCTGTGCATGTGTTATTTAAATTGGAATCCAAGATGGGTAACCTTGTTTGCAGGGAGGGAGGGAGGACACAGATTAAGCTTTTATTTCAAGTCCCTTGTGGCGGGGGGGGGGGGAGTATCTCCATCAGCCCCCAGGGAGCCGCAAACTGATATCCCTGCCTCCTCCTCAGAAGCGGCAAAGAATTCTCCCCACTGAATGCCACGCCATGTGCTTTGCTTCCTTCCAAGGATTCCAGGTTCGCTGTAGCTGGACCGATGTTAAGGGTCCACTGTTTTTGCTCTGCCTCTCAGGGTTCCGGTCTTCAGCTCGGTTCAGCCCAAAATTAGAGGGGTTTTGTTTAAGTCGGTATGAATATCTGTATGGACTTCTGCATGGAGGTTTCCTTGCCTGTGCAGTCTGCTAGTGCACAGAGGGGCAGCCAGACTGGTAACAGAGACCAAAAGCTCCAATTCTGGCTTTCCGCAAGGACTGGACCCTCGACCTTTCATTTGGGGCTCCACATTTCTGCAACACAACCTGTCCCAGCACCCGGCTGTCCATGCCGAGGCAAAGCGAGCTAATCCCGAGCAGAGCGGTGCAGCTGCTCACACAGCCCATCGTGCTGTAGGCCAGGCCCGATTCAAAGTGCGGAGATTCACGACAAGGCCCTAAATGGCCTGTGGCCGGGATTCCTGGGGGAAGACCTGTCTGCATGTATCCTGCCAGACCACTAAGACCTTCATCAGAGCTCCTCCTCCGAAAGCCAACCCCCAATGAAGTGGGGGGGGGGATGGCCAGGAGAAGGGCCTTCCCCATGCCTGTGACCCACTCACAGAATGCCCACCCTAAGGAAGTGTGCTTGGCGCCATCGCTGCTCACCTTTCAGCCCCAAGTAAAAACTTTAGGGCTACTGTTGCGCTTATTCTCTTGCTCATTATTTTATTGCTCATTTTATCGCTGCTTGCTCATTATGCTTCTCTGCCATGAATATCATATATTTTTAACTGGATTTTACCGTATCTGTTCTACAGTTTTAATTTTACTGCTATCTGTTCACGCTTTTCTTGGCAGCTACATGGAGAGCCCTTGGGCCATAGGGCAGCATATAAATATAACAGGTAGGCAGGCAGGCAGGCTGGGGCCCCGATGCGCTGTCCCCGGGCGAGCAGTCTTTTGGGCCCTGTGTGCTTCACCCCGTGCTGCCCCCTCCCCACCTTCAAGTCTTTTATTCTGAAATCCAATGCCTTCCTCCCCTTTGTTCGTAACTCCCTTGTGACAAACGGGTGTCCTTAGGAGACGGCATCTTCTAAAGTCACACACACAGGGACCTGGAGCAAATAGATCTGCTGCTCCTGCTGCTGCTCTTTGCCCTTTCTCGTCTCGCGGGCCCTGAGCCCTGGGTCTTCTCGGTACCGAGCGCCATCCCTCTCGCTCATGCATTTCCAAGCAGAGCCTTACAGGGCCTGCAACCAAATTACCTGGCAGGCATGCCTTTGGCCAGGTAATGCAAATGTACCCGTGTGCTATGATCAACATCTGAGGCCTTCCCCCGAGAGCTTCTTCTAAGATGGTGTTTTCCTCCCAGGCATTTCAAGGCATATGGTGGGCTTTCCATGTAAGTTGTTTTGGTCATGGTCTGTTTTTGCTGGAATGCTATTATTTGTTAATATATTTTTCATGTTTTAATATAAATTAAAACTTAGGCTTCGCTAAGGCTTAGTGTCAAGAGGTAAGCTAAACTTTAAGGTAAAAAATGCCGGTATTTTGGCCCCGAGTCCTTTTGCTTTGCCTCTGCCCAGCAAATGTGGACCCCAGGAGCTTTTCTGAAGCTGAATTCATCCCCTGGGCTACAAGAGTAGTTCCTGCTTTATGCAGTGGAACTATTTCCCCTCTTTGCAGACCAACAAGCTTTTAATGCGTAAGGACTCACTGAACATTCTTTTGGATCACACAAGTATGGAAAAGACATCAGTCCAGAAATCTACTCACGGCTTTGCACTGTGGCCTCGCTAGAAAAAATGACCGAAGAGCAAACAGCCTTGGCCAGTCATGCAATCCGTGATGGTTTTTACACATGCAAGTAAACTGAATTTATTTAGCCAACCAGAGTGATGCCCGGGGACAGGGGGCTGGAACTTCCAAAATAAAAATTAACATCTGGAAAGACCTAATTCATCCAATTGCAATTGGTAGACCTCAGGAGGAAGTTTGGCTTTACAGTTTTACACATCTGTATTGCTCTATCCAGGTCACTGTCATTGCTGATAGGTTATTTCATGCTTGATGTCAGTTATGTTTTCGTGTTGTGTTGTTTGTTGATGAAATAATATTGTTTTGTTAAAAAAAAACCCCACCACTTTATAGGTAAGTAGCTACACCTTGAATTGAGTTCTGAAATGGAATGGCAGGCAATCAATTCTATTTATTTTTGCAAGCTTTGCTTTAAACATGTTCACAAGAAGCTATCTTGCAGAGCTTCAACAATTATTTATTATCTATACAGCACCATCAGTGGGGCTAGGGCTTAGATAGAACAGGTCTCTGCCGTGAAGGAGCTTACAATCTATAATTTGTCTCAGGGAAACAGTGGAGGGGGAGGGAAAATGGAGACCCCATGAATGCAGAGGGAAGCACTCCTTGATTGCTTCTGCTCAAGAAGGCAGGGTCGAAATAAGCTACACTAATAAGAAACCAGAAAGACCCCTCTCCAGATCCCCCGGCATCAGAGGCAAGGCAGATGGTGGCTAAGGAGGGGGCAGTTTTGGTAGCGAGCACCACGGTTGATCATTTATTTCTGCAAAGTATTTTTTATCTCGTTCATCAGCCCAAAGGGCTTAAGTCCAATGAGTAAAATAAGACAGCTTTCGCATGAAGACACAACACATGAGGGAAAGGAATACAGGACAAAAATGTACAGGGAGCTATGGAACCCACTCACTGAGGAAGGACACCCTAGGCAAAACGGTCTACCTTCCCAGGCATGTCAGGTGTTTTTACATACATCTCACACTGGCTTGAGGTCGGCTACTCTCCCTTCTGTTTTCAAGAATTAGTTTTTCCATTCTTTATGATCTTTAGTTCGTTGTGATTAAAAAAACCTTTGTGCATTTAGTTTGTTTATTTTAAGCTGCTTTTTAGGACACTACCCCAAAAGATAACTTGTATTACAAAAACCTATGAATTACAATTAAACACACAGAGGCGCAGTTATGGCAGCTTAATGGTTCATAGGTACCGATCTCAGACTGAAATAGACGGGTCTTCAGGCTAGTATGTTCAGTAACATACAGGCACCAGATGCCACTGATGGCCATAATTCAACAAGAATTTGCCTAATCCCCATTTGGTGAAGTGGCCAAATTTGGCCCAGGCTCTCTGATGAAGGATTTCTTTTATTCTGAGCGTGAGCCACCTTTTGATCTTGGCTGTACAACTGGTGCCCATTGCGGTTAACCATTCCACATTCACTATTGGGAATTTCTGATTTTATTGCCCACTTTAACTGATTCAGCTGGTTTTACCTATGCAACTCTGGAAGACCAGGTCACTCCAGCCCAACTCCGACCTTAAAAAAAATCTCTAGGCAGAGGTGGGGTGGGGGCTGCACCCTATCGCCAGATGAAGAGCAGAAAGAACACAAATAATTGCTCTCAAACAGAAACTGCTAACCCCTTTGCGCCCGTGTGTGCAACTGTTTCAGGGATTAAACACAGGTCCAAGTCCTACACCGTCCAGACTTCCTTCCAGGGTGTGGAATGGGCTTCCTTGGGAGGTGGCTGAGGCCCCCTCGGTGCGGGTGTTCAAGGATAGGCTGGATGTCCACATGGCGGGCATGCCGTGAGCGGAGCCGGCTGGTGCCGGAGGTCAGACTGGATGGCCTGGGAGGCCCCTTCTGACTCGCTCTGTTTCTATGTTTCCTGACCAGGTGAAGCTGCCCCCAAGTGGCGAACCACCCAACTGCAAGTACCCCCATTATGTGGGGATGGGGCCAATTTCCGCTGTACCATTTCTGCTTTCTAGGGCCACTGGAACAGATTCTGACTTCGATGAGGAAGGAATGGGTGGCGTCTGCGGCTGTGGTGGCAGTGCCGGTGGACCCAGAGGAAAGCCGGGAGGTGGCTGAGAGTCACCCGGCTTCAGACACCTGGAAAAGGCAGCTGAAGCGGCAGGTGGCAGTGCAGAGCCACCCCTGCCACCCCCGTGAGCTCCGGCTTCCCTGCATCGTGAGGCGCCCCTTGAATTTCTGCACAAGCCACCACTTGGCTCCCCTGCCTCCCCGTTTTGGGGGGACACACTTGGAAGGAACGGCGGGAGTAGCTTACGCAGAGGATAAGCTCACCTTGGCAGCAGGTAGATTCCTTTTGTCCCCATCAAAATTCTTCTGGTGTATAGAAGGGCGCTGGTTTTTAACTGAAAGAACCCTCTCTTTGCATCTCCTCCCAGAAGACGGGAAAGCGATATTGCATTGGCCAGGGGGGATTTCGGGGGTTTGGGGCTGACTGTGAGCCTAGCAACCCCCTTGGCTATTTCTGGCGCCATTGTTGGTCCAGGAAAGTCTGAGGAGGGTGGCGGATGATGCCAGCATCCCGACCGACAAGCAAGGGCTGGGACCGCATCCCTGTGAGCCCTGGCTCCACTATCCATCGAGAACAGGGCAAACGTACAGCAGCCTTGCCTTGGTTTCACCTGAGGCCCACCCGTACCCAGCACCAAACGTGGGAAGAACAGCTCTTTACCTGTCGGGCTCGCAGGGCTACCTTGGCATTGGTGGTCTTACTGAGCTGCGTAAGCTCTGTCAGGATATTGATGAGCTCATCCGTCAAGGTTGGATCACGGCCACATAACTGGTCCTGAAGAGGAAGAGGAAGGCGGCGGTGGCAGCGTTAATAGTCAGAACTGGACTTTCGAACATTTTGCCCCAGTGGTGCGAAGGCAACCCAGAGCAGAGCGGTCGCTCTCTAAACAGACAAATGATGCAGCGATCCACTGAAACCAAACAGAAATCAGCCCAGCCTGTTCTGTGGCATCTTTTCCGGTGGTCGCCACGGACAACCGGCTCTCCCCAGAGCAGGATGAAGTGCAGGACTTGCGAAGTAACTTCTGTACACCCTCCTGGAGAACGGGCTCACCTTCCCACACTTCCCACAACACCTGGCCAATGGGCAGGCCGTCCACCCACAAACTGGTGCTCTCTGGATGTGCTGGCTTACGACCTGGCCATGCTGGCCTGGAGGGCACCAGGTGGACTAAGCAAGCTGAACAAGTACGTTCTGAAGCACTGAATTTTGGACTGGTTATTTATGGTGTAGGCTGAGTTTTTCAACCTGGTAATATGTTTTAAAATTAAACATGCAACTAATTTTGCAGCACCGAGTATTCCTAGCCAGCTCGCCCTAGTCCTACCCCGGGCCACCCACCCTTTGGGGGTTTGATGTCTCCCTATTAGTTTGTATGCCTGCACACCTTGGGGCTTCCCCCAAACCTCCTGGCATGTAAATAGTTTGGCTTCATAAGGATTCACATTCACCCCTGAACTTCGGAAATGAGAGGGCAGGATCGCTTTTGTGTTTGCGCTGTCATTTTCGTTTCGTATGACCTCTTCTACTGCCCCCACCCCACAACATATTCAATTGCTTTAGACTGTGATCCCCTGAGAACAGGAGCAATCATATTTAGGGGGCAAAGATGCTGTTCAGTTGCTCTGAGCCCATGGACCAGAGTAGGATATAGGTCAAATAAATAATATAGTATAAATAAAGGTGACAAGGGACGAAAGTGACCTTAAGCTTTGTTTCTGCTGGAGAGGATATTATCAGGTGTGCGGGGGCGGGAGGGAAGTTAAGCTAACAACCTTCCCGAATAGGTAGTCATTTCTTTAAAATGCTGAGCTGCGGTTTTAAAGGGTCTTAAAGAGCTTCTGCGCCTCCTAAGTGCCTGGGACCCTCCTGATATTGTGACCTACAACTCCCATCAACCCCACTGAGCGTATCGCATGACCAGGAGCTATGGGGCTGTGTTCCAACCCGCACAGGTTAGATCCAGGATGGAGAAGCCTGCTCTGCACTAACAGCAAGCTAGTTTGGCGTATGGACCCTCGTGCAGCCAGAGCGCCCTGTCCGCAGTCAGAAAGGAGGGATCAGCAGGCCAGGGTGGCGGAAGATTGCCAAAATAAGATGAAAAGGGGGAAAAAAAGATTTACAAGCGGGGAGAAATGGCAAAGCAGACTAAGGAATCCTCCTTCAGCACAAGATGCTTCAGGGATTCCTGCAGGTGGGGGGACCCGGAGGAGGGAGAATGGCCCAGAACAGCATGCAATGGAGCGTTCTGGGACCGGGAGCGGCTCCTGGGGGCAGCCTGCGCAGACAGAGCCAATGCTGCCGCCCTTTCCCTCTCGCTGCCAGATGCAGTGGACAGCCAGGATGGGCAGGGAGCTCTCCTCAGGCCTGGGTGGACGTGGCCAAGGACCCGCCGAGCCCCGCTTCACGGCAGGAGACCAAACAAGCAAAGGGCAGGGAGGAAGAGGAGCAAGAGCAGCCAAGGACTCAGCTAGGCAAGTGCTGGGAAAGGACGCTGCCCTGCAGCTCCATGTGCCGAGGCTGACCTCCCTCCGTCTCTTGCCCGAAGGGCAAGCTCAGGCTTCGGTATCCCAGAGAGCACCTGCCACCTGGCACAGCCCCTCCAGCCAGCGGGAACAGGGGCTTCACAGGGGCTGGTTTCCTTTGGCTTAATCAGGGCCGGCACCCCGAGCGGGCCTTGCTGGCACCCGCGAGGGCCCAGATCTCGGCACGGAGCCGCTGGCAAGACCCCCGACTGTGCTCCCCCACCACTGCCAACGCAGCCCACTCGCCTGCCTGCCCCTCGCTGCGGCCCAGGCAATGGTGGGGGCGAACGGAAGAGCGGTGGCGCCTACCAGGCGCTGCTCGCTGGCCCCTGCCTGTAGGGGGCATGGGGGGTGGGGGGGGGGCAAGAGCACCTGGCGACACCGGCAGTGAGAAAGAAGGTTTGCTGGTGGGGTGGCCCCACAAGGAGCGCCTCTCCCAAGGGGTCTCAAAATGCTGGAGCGAGACCTCCCAAAGACGCCTCGCTGGACCGCCACCGGAAGGAGCCGGGGGGGACGGCGGGGCGCTCCTTCCCATCCAGGCTGCTTGGGTGGGCCAAGTCCCCTCCCCAAGGAGGGAAGGGCCGGCCAAATGCCTTCTTGCCTGGAAATGGGTCCACGAGCTGCACAGGTGAGACCCCCTCCCCGCGGAGGAAGAGGAGGGAAGGCGCTCAAAGCCCCATCCTCACACGAAGACCCCATCAAACCGGCACACGAAAACAAAGCCGGTCGGCCAGGCGCCACTGGCCCGGGCCTGCCCAATTGGCAAGCGGCGCCTCAAACGGCGTCTTTGACAAGGCCTAACGCCTCCCCGGCACCCCCATGTAATTACACACTTGAGTGACTGGACTCTGAAGAAAATTGAAGGCCTGGGCCGCGAACAGCTGCCATTTTCTCTCTCCATCATGCCGGCATGATTGCTTGAGAAATGAACAGCCCCGGCTCAAAGCTACTCCAGAATTCTCAGAGGAAATATGGCTCTGTGTTCAAATAATGAGATTCTTAAGGCAAGCGTTACTTACAATCACACTGCCAAAAAAGAAAAGGAAGGAAAAAGGGGGAAGAGCGAGGCGAAAGGGAGGGGACGGGAGGAAACAAGGTCCTTATACCGTACAAATTAGTATTTAAGGAAGCGGTTGGCAGTTTGGGTACCTTCCTTGTCAGCTGCTCTTAAGAGTTTTGTTTTTAATTTTTGGTTTAGCAATCAGTTCTTGGTAATAAGAAACTACACCCTTTAGCAAAGAAAAAGAAAAAAGAAAAGGCGAGATGGTCTAGCAGCTTGGGATGCCCAACTCCATTAATTAGCATCTTCAAAGGCATGACACAGACAATGAATGATGCCATCAATCTCGGCATTAACATTCCCACGTGCTGTATAAAAAGATTCCCCCCCACTTCATTCAAGTATCATTTTAAATTAGTCAAATTTCTTCCCCTTTTAGAATGGGGGGGAGGGGAGTGAACTGCATCACCATTTTTCAGAGCCCCAAACTCATTTTTAAGTGAAAGAGGTTCTCGGAGAAGGCAAAGGTTTCTAGCCAGCACTGAGTTTGGAGGGTGACGATTTTTACTTCGCTGGAACAGAGCAAAACGTGTCGTGACTGCAGCTTTGGCGTTAGAGGCGATATTTGCAAGGGTCGGGCTGCATAGCAGGCAAAGATTTCAGCTGGTTGCTGAAACTGTCATGTGCGTTACCAGCTTCAAAACTGCCATGGGCAGCCAGAACACACAATGAATGGAGCAAAGTCCTATGCACAGGCCGGAGTTCATAAAAACCGCAACTGGGGTCAGCACAAAAGGCCGCGTGGCACGTGCCTTCGCGCACACGTTCTGAACGGCGACTCCCAGAATGCCTGACCACTGGCCCTGCTGGCCAGTTCCAAAGATTCGGAGGGTGCCTGGGTGGTCGAGATGGAGCACAACCAGCTGTGCCGCACCCGTGGACCGGCAGGCGTCAACGTTTCCGGACCAGAAACAGGTCAGATGGACCGACGGAGAGCTTGCGAAGGAGCTACACTGACAACCGCAGACAACCGCAGCACACCCCGTGGGCGCGCGCAGGGCCGTCCCAGAGCCAGTGGGGGCGCTCCCACGGGCGCACGCCTTCCTTCTTGGACTGGTCCCATGCAGCTGAAATGCTCCCGCCAGCAAAGTGGGCACCTGCTCAGCCCGTGGCTCGAGTGGCAATGGGTGCCAATGGGCAAAGCAAGGCTCCAATCACAGCAGCAGCCACCAAGGGGTTGCCCTGGAGACCGTGGCCCGTCCAATGGGGGGAGCTGCCAGGATCTGGACAGCTCCAGGACTCCTCCTGCTGGCCAAGGGTGGAATCACAGCCCTGGTAGGTGCAGCGTTAGGCTCAGGTACCGCCTGAGCACCACCTGGGAGTCCTGAAGGGAGAGCTGTGCAAGAACTGGCTCTTCCCTCCAGAGCTGCCTTCGCGGCACTGCTCCACGGTGGGCTGCAGCTCGCTGCTGTGTTTGGAGCGGCTCCTGGCCCTGATCCTGGTTGTATCGGTCCATCGGTTCCTGACATCTGCCCTGCTCTGACCACGCTCTTGCTGATTAAGCTGCACTTGGTCTTGCTCCTCTGCTCACTCCCAGCTCCGACCTTGGCTTGTTTTGGGTTACAACCCGGACTTGGTGACTGGCTGCTGGTCTCAGTGTCTGGTTCCCGCTGCCCAAGTCCCAGGCCATTACGCACGGCCCTCCAGCACGCTCAGCTAAGCAGCTTTCATTCTGCCTGACCTGCTCTGCCCGGCTTGCGAGGTGAAAGCAAAGGCGACAGAGTGAGTGCCTGTCCGTAGGGGGACGCTTGCTCCCGCAAGGGGCCCGTTTCCAAAAGACAGTCTTTGAGGCCATACACCTCCAGGGCTAGCAAGCCATCTAAGATCACCAACCAGTTTAGCAAGGAAAAAAGGGAAATGAAGAGCTGAAATAAGGAATTTAAAATCTCAGCCGAGAAGACTAGAACCTCCTCTGTAAAGCCGGGCAGACGACTTTCATGTGTCAAGGTTACGGAGTGAAGACACTCACAGAATGAGTCTGAGACGCAGCCCATCTTGCAAAAGGAGGGAGACATTTCAGAACTGGGTAGGGCAATTCCTGGACCCGGTAAGGAAGTGACAGGGGAAGTGAGTGGACAGTCAAGGATTGCCTGATGCTCCCGCCTTCAAGCAACGGGGGCTGCCCTGAGGATGGGGCCACCATCTTTCTGCGAGGGGGGGAACGAGGGGAGATTCCAGTCTGCACCTGAATCTCCGCAGGGGCAGATGCTGCTCCCACAGCTCAAAGAAATGGCTACTGTGATCGAGGCTGCATGCACCCTGTGGCGCTCCATTAGGAACTGTGTTGCTAAGGTTTTGCGTAAGTCTACGGAAGATGGGCGGGAAAGGGAAGAGACCTGCTCACCACAGAGGGTGCTGCTGGACTCAGGTCCTGCTTGTGGGTGTCCCTCCGGAGCAGCTGCTTCCCCACGGTTTATTATGATGATGATGATGATGATGATGATGATGATGATGATGCTCCTAATGCTGAGATTGGAGCGCCCGATTTCAACACTGCTCAACAAACAACAAGCAACTGAACAAAACCGTAACAGACTCTTGCAAGCCTGACTTACAATCAGCATCGTCACAAGGAGGTTCTTCTTGGTGACCTGAGCATGAGAGAAAATGTAGTTCAGGACGGTGTTCATGTCGCTTTTGTTCTCTTCTCGAAGGGCAAAGACACATTTATCGTAGTGACCTGTGAACCGAAAGCAAACCACGTCATCCAATTAGTCTGTTACAGCAAGGGCCAAATTCAAGCCACCTGGGCTTCCCCCAGGGGCAACCCCCCCCTTCTCTTGGCCTCACCTGCTTTTCTCCCAGCTTTTGCGCTCTCTCCCTGCCTCCCACAGATTCTAACAGATTGAAATGCCTCTCCTGAAGTTGTTACCAGCTTTAAGAACTCACACTGAACTTGCTGGCAAGTTTGGCCCTGCTTGCTTCACCTCGGACCCCACCTGCCGATGGAAAGAGGCCCCGAGAGGAATTGAACTCAGTCCTTGGGCTGAAAGGGGCACAATCCTGTACAGTACACCTTACATCAGAAAGAACAGCAAGGGCTTCTTCCCACCCCCTGGAGCGACCCAAGGCAGCTCTGGGGGCCAGAACTCCCACTTCCCAGCTGCCTATTAGCCACAGAGCCATGGTCAAAGTGACATTATTGTCATATAATCCCCAGACAACTAGGAGAACTAGCAGCCTACCTTCCTCTGTGTTTCCCAGCCATTTCTAATGAGAGCAAAGAAGGCCTTGCCGGTCGTTCCAAAATGAACAGAATGCCACAACGTGGCCGTTCGAGGGCGGCTCTGCTGCCCACCCTTTGGAAAACGGTCCCTCGCATAATCTGGGAAGCCACGAAACAATCTTCTTCACTCCAGCTTTCCCTGGCTCATAGTTAAATTAATTATGCCGCTTCCACACTGTTCTATATTACTGCCACTAATGTACATGAAATTGTTTTTAAAACGGCATTGTAATATTGGTATGTAAACCACGGTGAGATTTCATCCTATTCAGAAATGCATAAATGCGATAAATGAAGGAAATACGATAGGAATTACCGCTGAGAGTCTAAGCAGCGTTCAGAGGGATCAGCACGAGCGCCCACCTCACACAGTAGCCAACCAGCTCACACGGTAGCCAACCAGCCCCCAGTGGGATCCCACAAGCTGGACAGAACCCGCTGACCCATGTTCCCAGCAGCTGGTGCGCACAAGCACACTGCCTCTCCTGTGTGAGGCAGCAGACAGCCATTGGGCCTCGCCGAGACCAGCAGGCGTCTCCTCCACGACTTCGTCCAGCCTTCTCTAAAGCTGCCTACTCGGCTGGCCATTGCTGCATCTCGTGGGGCTCAGCCAAGGACCCATCAGCACGGGGAGCCGGCGGGACAAGAGCGAGTCTGTCTTGCCGCCCACACTGTCCAGCACACCCTCTTCCTCCAGGCTTCCCCCGATACCAAAATCCTTTTGGCTGAAGACCACGGTTGGGACCTTCTGCACAGAAGGCTCCCGCTGCAATAGGCTAACACACGCCTGCCCAGATTCTCATATTTTTAAGGGACGCTGCAAGGCCTACCTGTTCTTTGCCCTGTCCCCAACACCCCCAGCCAGTGCTTTTTTTTGTCATAGAACGCACCGGAACGGAGTTCCGGCACCTTTTTTCGGTGGATTTTCCAAGTTTTAAAAGTAACTTTTGAAAATTTGAGGTTTGGTCCACGTGGATTTGAGCATAGCAGGTCGGTGGCAAAAGCATTAAAACGGTGCATGCGGGCTGCTTGTGTGTTGAGTCCGATGCATGCGCACTTCGTCCGCACTAGTTGTGCTGGCGCTGCTCGGCTTGTGCTTGGTTGTGTGGTTGTGCGCTGAGTGCTTACTGCGGGTGGCGACCATTATGTTTCGTTACACAACTGACGTGTGTGGGTGTGTGTACAGTGATTGACTACGTGCGAAAGGTAAATAATTTCTTTAAGAAAAAGTTGGTGAATTGAACATCTTTTTTTAATTTTTAGTGTAAAAGTGTGACCCCAAATTTAAAAATGAAAAAATTACTAAATACTTCTCAACCACCAGTCCTGCTAATAAAAAGGCCAGAATATTAACAGACACAATGACAGAACACATAGATACTAACAGCAGGGAAAGGAGTGGAGAAGATTTGTCGGATGAGAATTGGACAAAGCTTTGGAATTTACTGTGAACATTTGCCTTAAATACAATAAATTATATTTACATTAAGAACTGAATATATATTTTTTAAAATAAAAGATTAACAAGATGTGAGTTCCAGCACCCTTTTTCTTTCAAAAAAAGCACTGCCCCCAACTATATTCCTGGGGTTCTTTGGGAATCTATCTTAATGGAGCAGGGTAGTTTTGGCAGGCAAGGTTCTCCAAAAGGCAACTCAGTCAGAATCCACCTTTCCCCACAATGCCAACTAGGGAAGGTTGAGAGACTCGTTTGCATTCCTGATGGATGTTCTTGGAGCCGCAAGAAGCCAAGGGATGAAGCCAGGAGTCAGAAGCTGGCTTTTTCTTTTGGGAAAACTCGGGTCTTCCAGAGAACCAAATCCAGTCCTCCGAGGAGATGCTCACACCCTCTTCCCTTGGCGTCAGCCCATTTCCCTCAACCACCAAACATCTGGCGGTTTCGCAGCATTTCAGCAATTGTCCCCCCTCATTTTAAAAGGATGAAGCTTTGAACCAACAAGTCCTTGCAGCTTTGGGGTTCAGGGTATTTTGGAGGGGGCCCTTTGGTTGTCCCCCCTGCCCATCCCTGGAATATAGAACGTCTCCAAAACTAAACTCAGCCTACAAGCTGAATACTGGCACCACCTCACCGCTGGCCTAGGCAAAGACCCAAGCTGAGCTGGAGACCTCTCCCTGTTCGTGAGGAAGTGGGCAGCTCAGCATACTTGTGGTGAGCAGACAGATCGGGAAATTCTCCATTTTAGTCCGAGCAGCTCTGGGCAGCCACCTTCAGAACAGCCACTAAGCCCTGCAACAGAGCACAGAGCACCTCTTGCACACAAAGGCTTGTGGGAAGTGTGCCTGGGGGGGAGAGGAGAGAACCCAGACAAACTGCCTATCTCACTCTGCAGCCTGGCTCCTAACAATCATGGTTCCTTAAGAGTCCCACTATGCAAGATTTTCCATTACAAGGTCATCTATAGCAGTGAAATAGGAGTGGAAATTGCTCTCCCAGTTTGAGAGAGAGAGAGAGACAGAGAGAGAGAGAGAGAGAGAGACAGAGACAGAGACAGAGACAGAGAGAGAGAGAGAGAGAGAGAGAGAGAGAGAGAGAGAGGTTTGCAAGGTGTGCCAGAAAGCAAAGGTATTTTCTACAAACAGAAAATGTCAAGCTGAGCTGTGGTGCATTACTGCCATCTGGTGGCTAACTATGGCATGGAACGATTAAAATTTTTAATTTTTTTTTAAATCAAGGATTTTCTGAAGTTTTCCCTCCAATTTATTTTTTTTAATAGAAACAAGTGATGGATTTGAAGCCACGGGCATGTTACCTGTTCCCACACAGTCTTAATGGGCATGGCTTTATCTGCAATACCCTGAGGGAGAGAAGGCACCCTGGGAGGAACCGGAGGGGTAGTGAAGCCAAGCCTCATGGGGGCACAGCACCAACTCTTCCCCACCCCCCGCCCCCACCAGGGACTTTTCCAAGCTTAGTAAAAATCGCCACAGTGGCTAAGGAGATGGAGAGAACGAATTCTCCCAGCAGAAACAGCTTGCGCCCTGTTGCAGTGAGACGCGCTTTAGGGTTGCTCGGTCTTGAACGTGCAATCGAAGCTTTCTGAAAGAAGTGCTCCGAGTGGCGATGAGATTGCTACAACTGACTTGCTGACTGGATCCAGGAGAGCAGTCTACATGTTTGGACTGCCCTTGGCAGAGGCATGGTGGCTGGGGCCGTCCAGCAAAACCTCTGCATTTCAGCCTTTCCCAAAACGCCCCTGGAAGGGACTGGAGCTCGGTGGCCGAGCGCATGCCCTGCAAGCATGGAAGGCCAGGTTCCAACCCAGACGCTCGGGGTGGGAAACTGCCTGAAAACGAGGGACACCCTTGTTGTTGTTAGTTGCGAAGTCGTGTCCGACCCATCGCAACCCCATGGACAACACTCCTCCAGGCCTTCCTGTCCTCCACCATCCCCTGGAGTCCACCCAGGCTCACACCAACTGCTTCAATGACTCCATCCAGCCACCTCATCCTCTGCCGTCCTCTTCTTCTTTTGCCATCTATTGTTCCCAGCATTAGACTCTTCTCTAGGGAGTCCTTTCTTCTCATTAGGTGGCCAAGGTATTTGAGTTTCATCTTCAGTGTCTGGCCTTCTAAAGAGCAGTCAGGGTTGATCTCCTCTAGAACTGTTATGATCGCCTTGCTGTCCAAGGGACACGCAGGGGTCTCCTCCAGCACCACAATTCAAAGGCCTCAATCCTTTTGCTCTCAGCCTTCCTTACGGTCCAGCTTTCACAGCCATACATCGCAACTGGGAAAACCATAGTCTTGACTATACGCGCTTTTGTTGGCAGGGTGATGTCTCTGCTTTTTAGTATGCTGCCTAGACTTGCCATAGCTTTCCTCCCCAGGAGCAAGCGTCTTTTAATTTCTTGGCTGCAGTCCCCGCCTGCAGTGATCTTGGAGCCCAGGGACCAAATCAGAATAAACGGGGGGGTGCAAAAGTGCCCCACGGAGATTCCGTGTTGCCCACATGGGGCTGGCAGCCCTCCTAAGAGGGAGCCTCTTCCACTTCCTCTTGGCAGCCACATGGGCTCGGACACCCTTTCCCCTCCCATCATTGCCCAGCTCTGCCTTGGGTGTTGAGCAAGAGAGGACCGTCTCTACAAAAAAAGGTGGCCCTTGGGCCATTCTGAGCTATCTAGGGTCTGTTCCTAGTCATTGTTCAGTTTGCTCCTACCCTGCTGGACGACCACGCATGGCCTCATTTCAGGCAGTCTGGCTGGGGAGAAAACAGAGCGTCCTGCATTCCAAAGGTTTTCTTTCCAACCCATTTGTTGCCTACACCCAGTGATATGGTGGAAGTGCAGGCAAACAACCCAACAGCCACCAGAGCTGCACACCCAGCTGGAGTCCAAACATAATGACCCATGCTGACGAGCCAATTCGAGCCGTTTTCCTCTCCTGCAGGAGTAGCTCTTTCATAAAGGTAATGGGTTTTAATTCCCCATTCAAATCCAGGACAGAACACTAGACTAGACAAGTGTCTGAATCGATCCAACAGGACTCTTGTGTCCTTGCAAACATGGCTGAGCTGGAGAAGCCTGCGCTTTGCATGCAGAGAGTACATAAGAAGAGTCATACCAGGCCAGAATGAAGGTGCGTCTTGCCCAGCTTCCTGTACAACCAATTACTCCCAGGAAATCCAGAAGCAGAACATGTGTGCAACAGCATCTCCCACCCACATCTCCCAGCAGCTGGTTTACCCAGGCACACGGCCTCTGGTATCTGAGGCAGTATATAACCATCAAGAATTACAGTAAGAATAGCTTTCTCCTCCATGAATTGGCCAATCCCCCTTTAAAGGCGTCCGGCTTGGTTATCGCTACTGTGGCACATAATTCTACCACTGTGCAAAAGAAATATTTTTATCTTTCCTGAACTGCCTACCGATAGGCTTCATGGAATGACCCCTCTGGGATTTGGTATCACAAAAGCAGAAGAAAAAGTTACTCCAACCACACCATGCATAAGCTATTTAGAACAAAAGTATTTAGCACCATGAGGACTGGAATCTTTAGATTTTTGGAGAACATGGCTTAATGGCAGAGCTTTGCAGGCAAAAGGTCCCAAGTTTAACCCCAGAGTCATCTCTGGTTAAAAAAAACTCGGGTGAGATATCACCACCTAAGCCCTGGAAAGTCACTGCAAGTAAAGGAAGATAAATCTATGGCTGACCTGATAGAATGCTGTTTATGTTCCGGTGTGTGAATATAACCAAAGTGGGAGGGAAACCCCTAACCAGCTAAAATGCCAAAGAGGAGAAAGATGATACACCTGGAAGCTTGGGGCTCATCCTGCCAGAGCCCAGTAGCAACAGGTAGACCAGACATCAATGCACGGCCTGATCAGAATCCTTCCAGGAGAGGAGTAAAAGGAACCCTGCCTGATGCCGTGTGAACTAATGGAAGTGGTCTCTTGTTTCATTCCAGGTGAGAGATTAACGCTTGTCTAAACCCAGCATCCCATCAGTTCTTACAGCAGGAACCGCCAAAGAAGGATTGTGAAGGCTGTCAAATTCCCACCTGGAAAGAAGACTGGCTTTGGCTTAAGGTATTAGCAAAATGCTGCCATCTGGTGGCCAGGCTGTTGCAACAACGCCACGCGACCGTGTTGGCCAACGTGGTGCCTCCACGCGTGCTCAGCTTCAATATGAGTCAACCGTGTGGTGCGGCTGCAGAAAGGGCAAAGGCCATTTTAAGCCGTATTAATAGGAGAAGTACTTGCAAACCCTGTGAAGTCCTAGTTGCCCTTTACTCAGCACCACTTAGGCCTCATTTGGAGCTCTGTGTCCAATTCTGGGCACCAAGGTTGCAGACAAGCTGGAAAGGGTTCAGAGAAGGGCAACAAGGATGATCCAGGGACTGGAAACAAGCCTTGACAGGAGAGACTGAAAGAACTGGGCATGTTTAGCCTCAAGAAGAGAAGACAAGAGAAGACGAGAGAGATATGGTAGCATTCTTCGAGTGTTTGAAAAGCTGTCACAGAGAGAAAGGACAGGATCTCTTCTCGATCATGCCAGAGTGCAGGCCATGGAATAACAGGCTCAGAACACAGGCTGAACATCAGGAAGAGCAGAATGAGAATGGAGTCAATGACCTCCCAACTAGAGGCATTCGGGATGCAACTGGACAGCCATCTGGGAGGGATGGTTTAACTGGGAGTCCTGCAATGAGCAGGGACTGGACCCAATGGCCCCTTCCAACTCTATGATTCTAGGCTTCCCTCCATGCCCAGCCAGACTGTCTAATGGGAATTGCAATCCCCCACACCTGGAAGCACCAGGCTGGGGGAAACTGCCGTTAAACAAATAGCGCCGCTGTGCTTGTTTCACACACACTGGAAAACCTCCCTACCCCGGCAAGCCCCTCCAGAACCACCCAGAAATTCAGATCCTGAAATTGCATGTCACTCACCATGCTGGAATTGAGTTTCCACCTTCAGGTACTGCCGAAGCAAATCCATCACCACGGCCTTCATGTGCCCTCGGATGCCGCTACGATACCTGCAAGGCAAACCCCTGGTGAGAGTGGAGAAGCTGCTAGGGCTCTGCTACAGCTGGTTCTGCTATAACACACACACACACACACTCTCTCTCTCTCCCTCTCTGCCAAATTCTTTTTTAAATCAGGCTTTTTTTTGGCACTAGGCCAATCTGCATCGCACAAGCTTCTTAACAATGGTGGCTTCTTAACGATGGTGCAACCAGTCCTGGGTGGCTTGTCTCCCAGTTACTCTCACCAAATTCAGACATCATTGTAATTTGGTCACACACATATGCAGAGGGGCTAACAAGCCACTATTACTTATTAACCATCTCTGTGTTGTGCAAACCAGCTCAGGGTCTTTCCTGCAGTGAGAAAGGCTAAAATAATTTTATGACAGAGTAGATGTCCTAGAAATCAAACATTTCCGCTGGATTTTGCAACAGATGTCACCACACTGTTTCATAATATCTTTGCAACTCTCCCCTTCTGCGCATTGACTTTTAAGGCTTGGATCCTAAAGCAAAAAATACACTGCAGTCTGCAGATGCCAGTTTTGGTAGCCTTGGCTTCTGCTTCAGTAACCCCTCACACTCGGCACGTCTGATGCAAGAGTCACCTCTGTACCAGCTGCACGATACTCTGCGTGTTCATGAAGAAGACCTCACGCTCCGATTTGCGATTCAGGGTGGCTGCATGACTGTCCAAGATGTTGGCAATCTATGGGATGAAAGAGAGCAACAGAGAAGGCTGCAGTGACCGAACCAGAGGTGGGAGTATGTGCCAAGGGCGGGATTCCATGCAAACAGCATCCAAAATGCAAAGCTTGCAGGGCTCTGGGAATCCTGTAACTAGGCACAGAATTTCATACTGTGTCTAAATATTCAGCAGCCCATGGCTTTTATGTTTGCTTTTTGATGTGTGACCTTCCAGGTCTTGAAGCTTGCAAAGATGGGTGTCAGGCCTTGCTTCAATGAGTATTTAAAAATGTTTACTGAGGCATTCATTCATTCCGCAGATTTATATCCAGACTTTTTCTTTAAAAAAAGAAACACAAGGCAGCCTCTATCCTTCGCCTCCTCCTGCTCTCCATCCTATCCCCACAACAACAACCCTGTGAGGTAGGCTGGGCTGAGAGTCTGTGACTGGCCCAAACTCACCCAGTGGGCTCCATGGTTGAGAGAAGACTAGAACTCAGGCCGCCTGAGTCCCAGCCCCGCACTCTAAACCAGCACACCACATCACATCACACCACAACACAACACTTTTGAATTATTTACCTGCTTCATGAAAATTAATTGTATAGACGCCATTTTCAAAGAATAACTGCTTATGTGGGCATTTGTTCTGCTTTTGCTGAAGCCAATTACTATAAAGTTGCATGCATTTCCTATGTATTAAGTGTTATAGATATATACAAATCTATGTATGCCTATTATAAATGAAGGAAGGAAGGAAGAAGGGAAGTTTAGTGGGTGCCCACAAGTACCATCTTAACAACCCTGCCATGGGCACCAATGGAGGTGACTACAAGTGCCATGGCTGACAATCTCTGCCTTAGCCAACCATGTCTAAGACCAGGAAGGGGAGGGTCTTCTACCCAAAATGAATGCTTAACTGCAGAAACGTTTCCTGATTCTAGGCTCAGTGCAGGCACAGAGTCCGTATGTGTGATGCACAGAGACCTTGAAGAAGAACCAGGCAGGTTCTTCAAGGAGGTGGTGACCTCCAAGGAACATAAACCAATGGGAGAAGTCAGACCTCTTTCCTGCAGCATCTGGTTTCCTTTGGTGGCGTTCTGGCAAAGGGCATTTGCAGCATGAGGAATTTGCTGCCTCAGACATCATCTTCTCATCTTGAGGCAAGTCACATCCCACTAACAATCCCCAGCTAGCAAAACTTCCATTTTCTGCAGGTGACCCAAGGAGAAAAGCAACCCTACCTGTTGGCTAGGGAATTGGCACAGGACAGACGTGATGTTGCTGGCATACTGCGCCATCTCCTTTTTGATGGATTTTTCCACATTGGGAGGGATCCGCCCAGAGACGCTTGTCATGATGTCCTGAAGTTCCAGAAGAGGCAAGGATGGATCCCGCAGGGTCTTCATTAACCGCTCAACCCAGTCCTTCACCTGTGTGGGGCGAAAAAGCAAATCAAAAAAAGAACAAAGTTGACTTATACTGAGGTAGGCGATTGGCAGTGCCCCTCAAGGTCTTTGGGCTGGATTCATTTCCTGCACTACCAAAGTTTTCAGGAATCAAACCAGAGACCACCAGCATACAAAGCTCGTATTGTACCACTAAACTACTGCCTTTCCCAGATACAAGAATAAAGGATTCTGCCTTATATTGTGTCAGACCACCAGGAATACACTGCATTGGACATTGGAAAATTAATAACAGGCGTAATATAATATGGTTCATGCACTGGCCTGCTGATATATAAATTCAAAAAACACATTGTCTCTGGATCAATCCACTGTTAGGACAGCGATTGGTCTTCCATTCAATCCACCGAGGGCACGGTGTTTGTGTGTTTTGCACAGGAACACTGGCGATTGCCCTTCTGCTGCGTCAAGGAGTGCATCCCTCTGGCCTTGGGGCGTCAACACCTGACCGGCAGCAGGATGTGAAGCAGGATTCCTTCCTACCCATACTTGGAGAAACTGGGGCGAAACTAAGATCTTCTGCATGCCAAGCATGTGCTCTGCCACTACAGCTCCATCAGCATTCTAGTCCTCACGGTCCTAAATGCACGGCTAACTTACCGTATTTTTCGCTCTGTAAGACGCACTTTTTTCTCCCTCAAAAGTAAGGGGAAATGTCTGTGCATCTTATAGAGCGAATGTGTGTGTGCCCGGCGCCCGGGACGCTGCCGGCCGCCTGCACCATGTGGCACCACCTGGCCGGCACGCGCTCGGCGCGCCCTGCTCCGTCCCCCTCCGCCCCGGCACAGGTGAGAGCTGTGCCACTCAGGGGGAGGCGTGCGGAGGAGGAGGAGCCGCGGCCTGTAACCCGCCAGCCACACCGAGAGACGGACTGCTCACCCCCACCGCCTGGGAAGACCTGCCGCTGCCGCCACCGCCGTGCCACCCGGAAAACCATCGCCGGCATGCTGCCGGCCGCCTGCACCACGTGGCACCACCTGGCCGGCACGCACTCGGCGCGCCCTGCTCCATCCCCCTCCACCCCGGCACAGGTGAGAGCTGTGCCGCTCAGGGGGAGAGGTGCAGAGGAGGAGGAGCCGCGGGCTTTAACCCGCCGGCCGCACCGAGAGGCGGACTGCTCACCCCCACCGCCCGGGAACTGCTCACCCCCACTGCCTGGGAAGACCTGCCGCCACTGCGCAGCCCGGAAGACCACCGCCGGCACGCTGCCGGCCCCATGTGGCACCACCTGCTCTGGCCCTGCTCCGCCCCCCTCCTCCGGCGCAGGTGAGAGCTGTTAATCACAGGTCGGTGTGTGTTTTCAAATGGCAACCCGTCTTTTAATGAAGCCCATGGGGAAGTGATGGGGAATGTGCCTGTGATTATCAGGAAGCTTTCCATGGATCAGTTATCTGTTAGTTGATCAGACACATTTTTGTTAGGATCAGTGGATATTTGAACAGCATTACCTTCGTGTATGAAGTTTATTCTTCAAAGGCTACTTAGTCCGCTGTGTGTTTGATTTACCGTACAATATCTCATTTTTTGTCAGAAGTTTTTTTCTATTATTTACTAATAGGGCAGCGTGGACATTACTGGCTTTTTTAGATTTGCTATTGAATTGTCTGCAGCAGCTCTTGTATAACTGGCGCAGATTGTGGATTCCTTCAATAATTCCACTACTGACTAAGAAAGTGATGTCAGTGATTGTGAGCAACAGATCTTCATAAATTCTGACTCTAGTGATGATGAGTTCTATGGGTTCAACGAAAACTAGAAGAGTACTCGAACTTTAAAGTCTCTCTTTTGTTAACGACAGTGATGATGGTTCTTAATGCCACTGTTGACTGCTGTTCACTTTACAAGGTTGAAATACGGTATTACTGTAATCTGTTATAGTTTATTAAATAGTTTAGTAAACCATTTGATTCAGAATATTTTTTTTCTTGTTTTCCTCCTCTAAAAACTAGGTGCGTCTTATGGTCAGGTGCGTCTTATCAAGCGAAAAATACGGTAAATACCAACGTAGCAAGTGACTTATTTACACCAGAATGGACCACTGGTCCATCCAGTCTAATACTGAAGACACGGATTGAGTGCTTCTCAAGACTTAAGGTAGGAGTCTTTTCTTCCTGCCTTGCCTGGAGATGCCCGAGCTGGAACTTGGAGTCTTCGCCCACTAAGCGATGACCTCTTCATCAAGGCGGAGTAAAGAAGATGACATTTCAACCCTTCAGACTATGTGTTCATTGCTAATCAGAACTGTTTCCAAAACCTGGTTAACCACCACAGTTCACAAAGACAAAGCACCCTGATGATTATGTACAAACAGAGCAGTAGATATACCATAAGAATAGAGGCATCTCAAGGACTGTTCTCAGCACTCACAAAAACCTTAGCCTGCCCACCCAATTCTGCAAAAAGCCCATGAGACACGAAGCAAGATAGGCAACATGTATTCCAACGCAAGTTTGAAATGGAGGTGGGGGAGTTGAGAAGAGGCAGGGGCTCAGCCACAAAGTTTTAGAGCCGCCCTTCACTCGATAACAAAAGGGGAAAGCGGCTGGTGGTACCTTGCTATTAAAGAAGGGCTCCGGCAGGCAGTATCCGTTCATCACATTCACCAGGTTGTCAAGGACGTAATGGAAGACGCGATGGAGCTTCTCGCCTCGGAGCGCCGTGCTTTGGATCTTCGGCAAGGCACCCGTGTGCAGTTCAGCCTCGGGGAGACCAAGAGAGGACATACTTATGCCAAGGAAGGGAGAAATAAGGATAGAAGGCCGATTCCAGGGCCTGACCTTTAACATCTCACACTGGGACCGGACCCCAGCGTGTCAAATCACTGTCACAGTGAGTGTCTAGCCTGCCAGCAACCTCAAGTACAGGGGCGCTCCAGGGTGTCAAAGGTTTCCTAGCCCTGCTTATAAAGGGGAGAAAGTGACGTGCAAGTTGGCAAACCACGGAAGAGCTGGCGGCTGGGTAGAAGGAGCGGGCCATGGCCTCCTGAGGTTCCCAGTTCGGACACTGAGCCTGAGGTTCCACCTGGCTGGATCATGCCCAGAAACGCACCTGCTGAACCCGGCTCGGGTCATCCAGCTGCAGCTTGGCAATCACGCAGCCTGGGTCAAGGGCGGCGCCAGGACGCTTCACGTAGTGGATGCAGCCCGACTCGGCCGCGGTGAGCGTCATCACCATCTTCATGACCTGGAAGCAAGAGCAGAAGATGAGGCCCAGAACGAGGCCCACCCTCTGGGCCGCTCAACGGGAATCGCGCCGCCCGCCGTCACTCGGCTCGCCCACTCATGTAATGTTTATTAACGGGGGAAAATCACAATTTGCTCTTGTGTGGAATGGAAAATACCTCAGTGTTTTCCATTATAAAATCAGTAACATAGAAATAAAACAACGAACACATAATCGTTTCCATAAAGGACACTCAAAATAAAATTTGTCGTAATTTCCAAACTTGTGCAAAAGATCATGGCCTTGCACAGTTGATATCCACCTTGTTTGCAAAATAAATGAAAGGTTGCCATGTTGTACAAAGCGCCTTTGTTTTCATTGTTCTTTCAGTAGTCTGAGCTGATATACAAGCTTTTCCACTACTGTTAAACGCAAGATCTTTTGAAACAAAACCTCCAGCAACACCGAAGTATTGATCATCCAGGATTTTGGGTTTTTTTTGTTTTTTTTTTTTTAAGAACTTGGATCAGGATGTTTACTGGTTCCCCCACCGCCACCCCAGGACTATCTTTTTTAGTAACTTAAAACACAGCGATCAAACCAATCCACCGAGTGTGTTCGGTTCCTTGAGAAGACGTCTATTGAGAAGGTCTCAAACTGGCTCTTGCTCACACAGGGTCCCCTCCTGAAGGGGCACCTCCGATGAGGCAAGAAGCATTTACCTCTATCTCCGCAAAGCACTGGCCCGCAAAGACGTGCCCTCCGTCTTCCACCACGTACTGGATGAGCTTCCCCGCAGAAGGCGATCGCAGAATGGACGGGTCGTTCTCCTTCTCAAACACACAAGTCTTGTTGCCGATGGTGATGCGATACCTAAGGGGAGGGAACAGCCAGCCGGCATGTAGGTATGGAGAGGAGAGAGGTGGGTGACCGCAAGCAGTGTGGTGTAGTGGTTAGGACCAGTGTGGTATAGTGGTTAAGAGCATGGGACTGGGACTCAGACAACCTGGGTTCTAGTCCCCACTCAGCCATGGAGCCAACTGGGTGACTTTGGGCCAGTCACAGACTCTCAGCCCAGCCTACCTCACAGGGTTGTTGTTGTGGGGATAAGATGGAGGAGGAGAGATGATATAAGCTGCCTTGAGCCCTTTGTAGGAAAAAGGCAGGATATAGATGGAAAAATAAATAAATAAAGCAGGTCCTTGGGAGCAACATGGGGACAATCGCCATCGCTAGAAACGGGGCGCTGGGGTAGCTTGCCAGGATGCGGCAACCTTCAGCTCTGGCTACTGGTGGCAGAGAAGTGTAATAAAGAATAAGAATACAAAACCCCTTGCCTCTCCCCGTGGCTAGCAAGGGCAGGAAAACAATCAAATAAAGGCAACAGATACAGAATAGTGCATTAATTTGCACACCCCGCGCAATTCGAGTCGAAGCAGGTGCTTGGCATGCTGAAGGTCCCTGTTCTATCCCAAGCACCGCCAGGGAGGGATGGAAAAATCCATGCCTGAAGCCCTGGAGGGCAGCTCCCAATCTATTATTCAGTTCAGGCAACATGGCAACCAAGACTCCAACACTAAAAGGTTCCTTGCGACCTGTCATGGAACCATGGATTGTTGCTGGAACATGAACTAACCTGTTGTCTGAACCCAAGTAAGATAACACATCATGGCTTGTTAACCATCAACAACTTGTGAAAGGAACCCATGGCTGGTTGTCGGGTTGCAGACTGTGTGTCGCTCCTCGCGGTTTGCTGTCTCATTTGGGTATGGACATCACAATAACCCATGTTTCAACAACAACCACCGTTTAACAACTCACACTCAACCCTTGAAGAGGAGTTCTTGTCTGATGGCTCCAACGTCAGTGAGGTTCATTCCCTGCTCCGGAGTGGATACAGAGTCATCAGCCTCTACTAGTTATTGTGTTGTCTGAACCCAATCGGTGTTGACAACACTGGCCTAAAGAAACCATGTGCCTGACTCTGAATGAGACACCCTCCCCTGCCCCTAAATTTTCTCAGGGCAAAATCTTATTTTCCACAGACACACGTGCTTCCCTGATGGTGCTCAAGCGGCGCTGGAAATGGCAAAGGCTACCTGTCCACCTCTTCTTTCATGTATGTAGTGTAGCTACTGCCATCGTAGGATAAAAGGAGCCCTCCGTCGCTCAGCCGATGAACATCCACTTCCACGCAGGAGCCGCTCATGATGACGACATAGGAATTGGGTGACTGCCGGGTCACCTGCAAAGGCAGGGAAGCCAAGGTCAGGGAGGAGGCGAGCGAAAGCTACCAGGGCGCCTCAGCCTCCTCTTCTCTTCAGGCCTGTCTTGCAGGAATCGCAGCGAGCGGCGATGGCACTGGCACACTTAGGGTTAAACTCCGCTCCTAGCCCAGCTGCATCTTTTCCAAGAACTGCCACAGCCACTGGGGCTACTGCTGAAGAGAAGCAGCGTTTCAGGACTTCGGAGTAAAAATTCAGGGAGTCCTTCCTTGGCATCTACCAGTAGGGATTTGTGAGGAACCCGGGGGGGGGGTGTTAAAACCAAGCAGACTTGTACAGTTTTCTCGCACCCCAGATGCTGCCCCATCTACCCAGCACTGCCACTAATCCAATTCTAAGTGAGCTAAGCCAGCACCTGGTCTTCCACAACTTGTTTTAAAGAAAGCTGGAAATTTTGCAGAAAATGTGGCCATAAACTGTAGTTCACTTGAAAAGCAGAAGCGGCCAAAAACACCTAACACCCCAACTCTTGGACTGCAAGTTGCTGAGGTCCACCAAAGTCCAGCAAGCACAAGCGAATTTATTTCTTCAGTGTTGCCCATCTCTCCCCAGCAGGCTGTCTGCCCCTCTTGATTTTTATTTAAGATTTTTAAAAATTAATTGGGGGGTTGGATTTATTTCCCCCGTTTTCCCTCTTGCAAGGAACCCAAGGCAGTGTGTGTGACCTTCCTCCTCCCCATGTTACCCTCACAACAACCCCATAAAGTAGGCTAGGGCTAGGAGTCAGCAACTGGCCAAAAGCCACCTTGGGCACTCCATGGCTGAAGGGGGCTAGAAACCAGGTCCCCTGAGCCCCACCCTGACACCTGGCTACTTTACCCACTGAGTCTCCCAGCAGCATATCACGGCCATTTGGCTTATGGCCTATTTTAAGCTCCCAAACTGTTGACAGATCTGGGATAGGGAATCTGCAATCCTCCAGATGCTGCTGGATTGCAAAACACATTCTCCCCCTCACCGGCTAGGCTTGCCGCAGATGGGAACTGCAGTTCAGCAACACACGGCGGCTGAACTGCAGAGATGAGCAATTTGTGCCCGCCAGGCGTTTTGGTCTGCATCGCCCATCATCCCTGACGATGCCGGCTAGGGCCAATAGGAGCTGCAGGTCCAACATCTGTAGAATCACATATTGCTTGCCCCAGCCACAGTCCCTGAACACTTCTCCCATGATAAATCTATCGGTCTTTTAAGCGTCTTGTGCTGTTTTTCTTGCAACAGACTGGCATCCTGGGGCACGTCTGTCGAAATGCACTCAAGCCGTGCAACAAGGAGGTGGCCTTTGTTGCTTCCCTCTTGGCCTCTTGGTCTCCACTTCTGCACGATACGGGATAATACCACTAGCCTGCCTTGCAGGATCCTCAGGGCTCCTGGCCCACCTTGCAGGGCTTTCAGGACCACGTAGAAAACACTTTCCCCTCTCCCCAAAGCACCACAGCACTTCTGTCACCGCATCATTGCAAGACACAATACCTTCAACACGTATTTCCTCCCTTCATAGATAAGTTCTACATCCACTGTGTTCAGCAACGTATGAGCAGGTAAGACTTGGCCTCTAAATAGGTGGAGAGAGAAACCAAGGAACTGTCACGGGAGCAATCGTCAGTCACAAGCGACATCCAGAAACAGAGCCCCTAACAGGGAAGAGGCGTTACAGGAGGGGCCGTGGCAGGATGGCCTTTTTGGTACAGCTGAAGACCTATTTTCCCAGGCTTTGTGTCCCGTGTGTTGCTCACCTTGTAGATCTTTACACTGCTATGGTTTTTACTCTGGTTTCTTACTCCAGGTTTACTCTATTTCGAATGTGTTTTTATTTTAGCATGCTGTACCTTGGAGTTTTTAACTTTTGAAAGCACAGACACCCAGGGAGCTGTGGGACAGTATGGAAACACAGAAAATGAACTGATTGTTAAGACCTTTGGAGATGTTAGTAATGAAGGGCACCCACGATTTTCAAATAGGGGAGAGGATTAATTAACCATTCCTCAGCTGTATCAGTTGTTTTGAGCACCCCCGGCCATAAAAGGCTGGTTGGGGGAGGGGCAGAGAAGGGAGGGGGAACCAACCATCTGTTCACCCCTGAAAGGCTTTGGGGCATTTAAGAAGGCCCCTCTTCCCGATCTGTATGTCTATGTTGAGGCAGAATTGCTGGGGAGTAAAGCAAACATGCTTTTTCTTTTTTAAAGTTGCAAACTGTTGATGTCTGGGCTTTAATGGTTTAAAGCCTTGTCTTACCTCTCCAGCGAGTGGAGGAAGTTGGAGACGCTGTTCCGAAAGCTCACATCAGCCACATGGAGGGCCCCACACACGACTCCCAGCATGGTGTCTGGCCTCTCTGCCTGGAAGAGAAGGACAGGAGGACACGGGAAATGGAGAAACCAGCTATTATGTACCCTGGCCTTTCCACAGCTCCCCAAAGAGCTCACAGCTCTTCAGGATGCATGAGCAGGAAGTGGGGGGAAGCACAGTTGTCCCTTCTACCTGCTCACAGTCGAGGATTTAGTTCTCGGTACCTCTGTCTGGAGCTGCAGGGGATTTGGGGGCAGGCTGATCAGAAAGCACAGTCAGACTTTTGGTCCATCTAGCCCAGTATAGTTAACAGCTCCCAGCAGCAGTGGCTCTTCAGAGTTTCAGGCAAGAGCCGAATCAACCTCTTTCCTCAGCCCCATGGAGCTCAATTGTACTTGGGCATTTTCACCAGGAAGTAGGAATTATTACACACTTCATGGTTTGTAATTCCTGGCAAATACATTTGGGAGAGCGCCGTGAAGAAGCCGTTTGGCTCGGGAAATGTGTGGCTCCAGTGGGGACCTGAACTCGGGATACCTGGCTGCGGATGCACTTCCCACTGAAGCTGAGAGAGCCAAGCGAGTTACCTCACTGGCTAGAAATGCTGCTGCATTGCTCATACTGAGGTTCATCCAGGCTACGAAAAGCTAGCCGTGGACGCACACAGCCAAGGAAAAGAGAAATAGGATGATGAGGGCGCCGTCATTCTTGTCTTTTTTAAAAGCACCCATGTCCTAAGTTTCCCTTTTATTTCCATCAAGAGTTTGATCCATTACCTGGTTCCACTGTAATCGAATCCTACATCTGGACCAGAGGCTCTGGGCAGCCAGCAAAGGGCTTCCCCCACAGTCTGTGTTTTAAGGTACACACAGACACATCTAGTGCAAATGCAGGTGCTTAGAGGACAGGGAGGCAAGAACTGTTTCTGCCGCTCCTCCTCCACGCTGCCTTCAGCCTGGCAGGCCACAGGAAACCTGCAAGCCCTGTTTGGGGAGCTTCGCAAGGTTCATACGGCACAAGACTGTTGCCAGAGGCTTCATCACCATCAGCAGAAAAGCCTCTGAGTGTATTACAGCGTAACAGCTTTCTGCAACCTGCAACCCTTCAGGTTACTGGACAACAACTCCCTGCACTGGTTGGGAGATTATGGAAGTTGCACTCCAGCACATCTGGAAGGCAACTGGTAGGGGATGACTGATAAACACGACATCCGCCAAGTGGAATGTGGTCTTTTTTCCTTGAGAGAGTGGCTTTCCCCATCACTTTAGCCCTGCAAATGTTCGAGGATTAGTTCTTAGGCGCTGGTGGTTTAAAAGAAGCCGATCAAACCAAGGAACATTCCAGAAACAGAATCCAGCTATACCTGCACTTTTTCTGCAATAAGCCGGTCCAGCCAGCCAGTATCAATGCGGTTCTGTTGAAAGCTCTCCGTCTCCAGCAGCTTAATCAAGTACTCAACCGTGGTCCGAAAGTCCCCTCGGATGGACAGCTCCTTCAGAGCCACGACCATGTTCCTGAAGGGATGAAAAATAAGCCACAGCTGCATCCCCAGGAGGGAGATATTTCCACTCGTGCTCCGATCCGTAGCCTGCTCTGCACTCGGCACTCCCACTCCAGTTCAATTACAGAACCCCTGGCGGGTAGATTTGCACAGGCTTACATGCACGCGCTGGCTTTAGTCACCACAGCCGGCACACACAAGCACGAGGCATAAAAGAAGATGCCAGGCATAAAAAGGAAAATGCTTGGGAAAGAAAGTCACCTCTCCCTGTGCCTGGCAGAGACATCTCTCTCTCCATCCACCTTTGCTAGATACAAATCTCTCTTCTGAAGGGAGAAAGTGGTCTCATGCCGATTACGATGCGTGGGGGATAGTGACTTCTCCTCCTCCTGCCCTCCTTGTCAGGACTGGCCCAAGGAAGGTCTTAATGCTGAGGAGTTGGATTCTTAATCAGGGAAGGGTCATTTAGATACCATGACGGTGCCGAAAACTGAGAAAGTACTAAGGAACCCAGTGTGGCCTTCAGCAACAGACTGTATGACACAGGAAGCGTAACTTCAGTTCTAGCCCAGCTGCAAGGGACGCCATCATGACACCTAATTTAGGAATCTCATCCAGGGAACAGGGAAGGCTGCCAGCTCCCAGGCACGAGGGATGGGGTGTCCACTCCAGGATTCAGTCCAAACTTTCAAAGGAGCAACCCATCCTGCTGCACCTTATCCCCAAACCAGGTTCAGCACAGTGGAGAACTCCTTTAAAGTTCAAAGTGAAACCCGGAGCAGATCAGCTGCTCCACTGACACGGGAGCCACCACTCCCTGTTGCCAATAGGACATCAGATCTAGGCAGAAGGCCAGCAACGCGCTACATTGATGCTCTAAAGGTTCAGGTTGGGAACTGTGCCCAAAAGTGGGGTGTTAAGTAGGCCTAGCCTAGTATTTAAAATAGCTGACAAGACGTCACAGCACTAAGCATCTTAAATATTTGAATATCTATCTAACAGGTCTAAATTCTCTTCGTAACTTTATGATTTCTTGCTTATGACAAGGTAGCATCCAGTTTAAGAATGACAGCCTTTTTCCAGGAACAACAGAGCTGAAATGATTTTAGCTTAAGAATGTCTTCCCTGAGTCAAAATGATGTCCTGCCAGCAGGTTGTGCTGGCAAGTTTAAATGCCCCAAGCGACTTCACAGACCTTGTGAACGCACTGCTTCCATGTAACCTGATCCATGAAAATAGAACCCTGAATGCAAAAAGGGCTCTTATCCCGAATGGCCTAAAGAGGCGCATAGCCAATGTTTCCCCAAAATCTTGCCAGAGAATGGTTTTTCCACTCCTCCCCCAAGAAATCTCTTACGGCTCACTCTTTCCTTGCGGAAAAAGCAAACTAAATCGTTTCATAGCAACGCTACCACCAGCAGGGAAATGGAGTGGTTTTTAAAACAATGATAGTTTCCTAAACTGTATCAGGAAACCTTAAACGCTCGGCGTAACATTGAAGCCGGGCAAGATGTTTTTGGCTAATGTACAGTCTTCCTTGCTTACGAGATGGCTTCCTCGCGGTTTTCTCCCCAGGAGAAACAGTGGCCGAACTGAGAGTCCGCAAATTCATGAAGCCCCCCAGCAGCTGCAACACTGAAGTAGCCCCAGACATTCTTGTTACTGCGGAAGTTCAGCTCCTGGACTGTTCCTGAGCTGGGCTTAAATCCCTGGAACACAAAGCAGCACAATGTTAAGACTAACCACATCCATATGCACAACCGACACTTCACACTGTATTGCACTCTATCCTCTTATTCTGTTGTAAGCCGCCCCGAGGCTTCGGCAAGGGGCGGCATAGAAATGTTCTAATAATAATAATAATCCTCACTGGGCCATTTATAAGCAGGGCAACCACTCCAAAGATGTGCTGAATTTCTGCATGGCCGTGAGGTGCTGATCCCTTTGTTCCTCCTCCACCAGCTGTGCTGGGAAAAAGGAGATCCAAACGGGGAGCCAAGCGGAGATGCCCAGCGACAAGGTCAGGGGAATTTTCTGTCCTTGCACCTAGGAATCCAAACAAACCTACTGCGATTTAGCTGCCATCCAGCAGCCCCAGGATAACACTGCTCATAAATAAGCATCTGTAGGTGAACTTTAAACCGATTTTTAAGTCTCCCATACATATACCCACGGAGAATGTAAAATTCCCCAGGCTGCTATAGTACAACTATGAATATCTATTTGATAAAAGACCGAAAAGGAAACTGAAACGATGAATGGCTTACCTCATCAGGATTCTCGCTGGTTATGCGGGCAGCTATCACATGACCACGTGGACAAGGCACATGAGCAGAATTCTCAAAGTCAATAGGACTGTCCCCCCAGGGGGAGGCCCCATACATGACTCGGATATCCTTGATCCTGTGAAGAGGAATTCCCATGGCAATCTAAAAAACAAGAGGAATATTGCTCAGTTGCTGTTTATGGAACACATATGCCATAGCCTAAGGCACCAACAAGAATAAGGACTTGTCATCTTGCTCATTTCTTCCATAAAACTATTCTTTAAACAACGCATATAGCTTAGTTTGAACTGGGATGTGGTGCTTTTGGCTGTCGTGGTATATCATCATCATCCAGCCCACCTATTCCCTGTGGAGAATATCTATTTTCTCAGCATCACAGTGCCAGAGAAAGTTCATATAACCTATTTTGTACAGATTTGGCACTGTTAGCACAAGAAATGTCAATTAACTACTATTCTGCAATTTTTCAACTTTGGCTTTTAATCTTTTGGGCAAGTGCAAGGCCTTGTATTAGCTTGAACTCTCAATCAGGTATTGAGTGCTACAGCAAGAAGTGCTGTCTGCCAGACTTGGTTTTCATGTCAAAACTGGCTTTGGCCTCCAGTGAAAAGCCCTTGCGCTTGATGGTCTTTTCTAATCCCTTCATTTCTGCCCTTTCAAGTCACAATCTTCTCATTTCTTGGCTGCAATCCTCCTCTGAAATGATTGAGCCGAGGTATGCAAAATCTTTCACAATGTCAATTTCTTCATTGTTGACATTACAATTGTGTAATTCTTCTGCAGACATGATTTTTTTTCTTAATGTTCAGCTGCAGCCTTGCTTTTGCACTTCCATCTTTCACTTCCATCAGGAGTCATTTCAGTCCATTGCTGCTCTCTCTGCAAGAAACATGGTGGACGCGTACACTCATAGAATAGTGGAGTTGGAAGGGGCCAGAGGATCATCATGCCCAAGCCCCTGCTCAGTGCAGGACTCCAGGTTAAACCATCCCTCTCTGATGACGAGCCAGTTTGCATCCTGAATGCCTCCAGTGTGGGAGGGCCCACAACCTCCCTCAGTCACAGATTCCGTTGATGTGTTTCTCTTAACAGTCAGGACAATTTTGGGGGGTGGGGTGGGGAGAGATGATCAGCCAGAAGTGAAGTTGGCTTCTTGTAACTTGAGTCCATTATTCTGTGTCCTGCACTCTGGGATGATCGAGAAGAGATCCTGGCGCTCTTCTTTGTGACAGTCTTTCAAGTGCTACCCAGTTTTGTTAATCTCTCCTCACAGGGCTTGGTTTCCAGTCCCTGGATCATCCTTGCCAACCTCTCCTGAACCCTTTCCAGTTTGTCTGCATCTTTCTTCGGCTGTGGTGCCCAGAAGAGAATACAGGACTCCAGAAGAGGCTTAACCAGTGCTGAGTAAAGGGAAACTTGTACTTTACATGATTTGGAAGTGATACTTCGATTAATGCAGCTTGAAATGGCATTTGCCCTTCTGGCATCCACATCACATTGACGACTCATATTCAGCTTGTGATCTACAATAATTCCAGGATCCTTCTCACTTGCAGTATCATTGTGCATAGTTTCAAGACGGAGATCTCTTGGCTCATTTAGTTTCTTTTTCCTAGGTACAGAACTTAGCATTTATCCCTATTGAATTTCATTCTGCTGTTTTTGGCCTGGTACTCCAAACTATCAAGCTCACCTTGAATCTTGTCTGTCTGTCTGTCTTTCGGGGCATTAGCTGTCTCAGTCAGTTTTCTGTTATTTGCATATTTGATCATAGTCCCTGCACTTGCTCGTCTGAATCATTAATAAAAACATTGAGGAGCACTGGGCCCAGGACTGAACCCTGCAGTACCCCGCTTGTTATCTCTCCCCAGCTGGAGAAGGTGCCATGGATGAGCACTCATAGAAACACAGAGAGTCCGAAGGGAACTCCCAGACCATCTAGTCTGACCCACAGCTCCAGCTGGCTCCGCTCATGACGTTCCACTCACTCTTTGGGTCCAACTCTGTAGCCAAATGTTGGATCTGTCTGATTGCTGTTCCGCTTAGCCCACTTAGTTGCTAATCAGGATATCATGTGACATTTTGCCAAAAGCTTTACTTAAGATAGTTTATGTCCACAGCATTTCCACAGTTCATCAGGGAGGTTACTCAATCAAAAAATGAAACCAGATTAGTCGGGCAGGATTTGTTCTTAACAAATCCATGTTGGCTTCTAGTAACCATTGCATCATTTTAAGGTGTTTGCAGACGTTATAATCCACTTCAGAATTTTCCCAGGAATTGATGTCAGACTGACAGGTCTGTAGCTCCCAGATACTTTTCCTTTTCCTTCCTTATAGTTAGGGACAGCATTAGCCCTTTTCCCGTCATCTGGCACGTGCCCTTTCAGCCATGATTTTTCAAAGATAAGAGTGGTTCTGAGAGTGCTTCTGCCAGTTCCTAGGATGGAATTCACTGGGCCCTGGGAACTCAATCAATCCAATTAGATAATTCTTGGCCCTTTGCCTATTGATCTTGAGCTTCCATCCTCCTCCTTCAGCTTTGTACTCCCCCTTCATCGGGAAGGTCAAAGATGCCCTTTTGGGGGAAGAGTGAGCCAAGGTAGGCATTGAGAACTTCTGCCTCTTCTCATCCTCCTGCATTTCTATGCAAATATATGTATCTTTAACATACAGTGCAACTCCGCCTCCCTTTCTGCTCCTTCTGTTCTTCTTGAACAGGTTATATCATTCCATTGTTGAATTCCAGTCATGAGAGTCATCCCACCAAGTTTTGGTTACACCTATCAAGTAGTATTCGCTGTCCTGCATTAGGAATTCGAGTTCATGCTGTATGCTTCCCATACTTTGGGCATTACACAGAAATTGAAGGCCACATGCTTTATACTCTTGCTTTCTCCCTACAATTTTTGAAAGACTATTAATGGGCACTGTCAAAGCTGCTCTCTCTGTGCATAAGCTTTTGTCTGTTGTTATGCTCAGGCAGACCTCTCCCTTCCCTGTATGATTCAGCATGCGGTGGTCAAACAAATTTGTCCCAGTCCTTGGAATGTACAAACCACCCCTAGACAGCAGTCCCTCTTCCAGGAAGTATAGCCCGTGGTCCCAGAATCCAAATCTCTCACATAAGCACCACCTTCCTAACCAGGAATTCACTTGGAGTATTTTTCTTTCCCTGTCTATGCTTCCAAGCACTGGAAGGATTGCAAAGAAAACTATCTGGACCCCAAGGTTCTTGACTTTCCTCCCTAAAGCTTCAGAGTCAGATGTCATTTCTTCAAAGCTCTGCTTGGCAGGGTCATTTGTTCCCACATGTATAAGAAAGGAGGCCAATGAGTCATTGGGCATTATGAGCCTTGGCAATCTCTCAGTTACATCACTAATCTGTCCTCCAAGGAGACAGAATCCCCAATATACATATGTTTCCATCCCACACAACAGGGAGTCTCCCACAACTAACACCAAGCCTTGGTCGCACTGGAGCTAGTTGGTTGATCTTTACCAGGTGGAATGTACCACCCGTACATCTGACAGTTTTCACTCCTTTCTCTAATCCTTGTCCAGCTCTCCTTGTGACACATTCTGTGTACAGACTGAACAGAGTGTCTCCAGATCTGTTCTAGAACTAACTTGTCCATGATTCAGCTTATGCATCATGACAATCAAGAGCTGAGGCACAGCCATCTCATCCAGAACCAGTCATGGCTTCTTGGGATCTGTCCAAGCAAAGGCTTTGCTGTAGTCTATGAAGCACAGGCTGATCTACTTCTGAAATTCTGATCTATGTAGCCAATGCATATCTGCAATGATTTCGAGTGTCTTTTCCTGTTGGGGAACTAGCCTGAACAGATTAAATAAATAGATTATAATTTAATTTACTAAATAGAGCTGCCAGGTTGCTGACGGGGACTGGGCGTTGTTCTCACATAACCCCAGTCCTCCGTCAGCTTCACTGGCTTCCCATCAAAGCCCGGGCCCAATTCAAGATCTGGTTATCACCTACAAAGCCCTCAATGGCTTGGGACCTGGTTACCTAAAGGAGCACCTGCATCCATACTTGCCCTCCCGCCCCTTGAGATCGGTGGCAGAGGCCCTCCTCCGGGAACCCTCTGTGAAAGATATTAAGAGACAGAGTACCCGGAGGAGGGCCTTCTCTGTGGTGGCGCCCCACCTACGGAATGCGCTCCCCAGAGAGGTCCGCCTGGCGCCGTCACTATTTGTTTTTCAGCACCAGGCCAAGACCTTTTTATTTAAACATTATTTTAATTATTGATTTATTTATTGGTTTTAAATTATTAAGCCAGGATGTTTCCGTTTTTATGTATTTATGTATTTGCATTGCTATTTATTTGTCGGAAGCCGCCCTGAGGTGTATGCAAATGGGGCGGCATACAAGAATTCCAAATACATACATAAATAAATAAAACAGAGCAGCTTTCATTTTGCTCTTCCTTCAAAGGAGCCTGTCATCCTTTTATCTTTTCTGCATAGTTCTTCTGTATATTGTTTCCCTTCTTTTTATTTTCTCTTGGTCAAATAGTATGTTCCCTCGTTTGTCGTTCAGCACTCATCATCTACGTTTGAATTTCCATTGGATTTCTTCTGGAAGAGCTTGTGTTTTGCCTCTTCTGTTATTCTCTTCTATTTCTTTGCACTGACCACTGTGGTAATTCTTGTTATTTCCGTATGCAAGTTGCTGAGAAGTTGCACTCAGGATTCCGATGGTATTTCTGCCATGTTTTGCTTTTGCTTCTCACCTGCATTTAACAATTACTTTCCTTCTATCATTTAGGCCATTTCATCCTTTTTGCCAGGAACTGTCGACAGTTTGGCCTTTTGGCCCCACGGTGCCCGTGGTTCCAGTCCACGCGTCTTCTGGTGTGCGGTCAACTGAGTCCACCTGCAGTGCCAGTCTGTGCATCACATGGACTTTAAATTCACCAGGAATGCTATTTAAAGTGCATTTTGGCACGAGCGCAGCTTCGCCGTCTCCTGCTTCCAATCTCCTCTTTTGCCTCAGTATTAGAATTGCTCCGATTGCACAGAGTCTGCCATTTCCAGAGTAAAACGTTTTCATGCTTGTCCTATTCCCGGCCACTTTGTTTATTCACGCTGAGTACTACAGAGTTTAACCATTTCATTTCTTATTTGGGAATTCCCAGTCTGCCTAACATTCCGTGTTCCCACTGTATGCATTGCGGCATCGACCTTCCTTTCACCTCTACCCGCCAGCCACCGGACTCCATTTCAGCTTTGATCTAGTGCTGTCATTAGCAGCCATGTGTGAAGAATCTGGTCTGGAGGTAGGAACCTGTCCTCAGCTCAGTCCTATGAACTCTGACCCACCTTCTCTCTGCCCTAAAGCTGCACTGCGCTGATTATTTGCATGTAAATGTATTTGCATTTACAGGGGTGTCAGGCAGAAACAGAGTCATGACTCCAGAATATGCACATGCCCCCCGCCACCCCCCCCGCCCCCGTTGTGCAAGCAGAATTCTTTCACAAATGTGACTCGTAGGCTTTGGGTAATTTGGTGGGTTGCACAAAGAGCTTGCTTTGCCCAAATGGGGGTCCTTTGGGCGACTTCTTTTCTTTTCTCTTCTTTTCTTTTCTTTTATAACTTCTTTTATATCTTTTATATTTTTTATTTATTTTATATTATTAATGTTAATTTTATATTGTTATTTTTGTATTGTATTGTATTTTATTGTGTTGTAAGCCACCCCGAGGCTTCGGCAAGGGGCGGCATAGAAATGTTCTAATAATAATAATAATAATAATAATAATAATAATAATAATAATAATGTTTCTCAAGCGTTCGCAGATCTGATGCTAGCTCAGCTCCTTTCCTGACCAGGAAGCCCCAGTGGGAAACCCACAAGAGGAATAGCATCCTCGGCCCCATGTTCCCCAGGAACTGGCATACAGATGCACACTGCCTCAGGTACTGAAGGCAGCAAATGCAGCCATCAAGACTAGCAGCCACTGGCCGTTTTCCCCTCCATGAATTTGCCTCATCCCCCTTTTAGAGCCATACAAATGGGTGGCCATCACAACACCGGCTGGTAAAGGATCCTATCCAATCATAGGCAGCTGTGCAAAGGTGGCCATCCTGATCATCACACCTGAATCTCTCCCCAACCAGCTTCATGGGTTGGCCCCACTGGGTTTGAGTATTACAAGAGGGGAGGAAAACAATGCTTCCCTCTACACCGTTTTCCCCACCAGACATAACTCCGAACGCCCCGTCGCATCTCCCCTTATTCACCTTGAAACCAATCCCATAAAAAGAAACCGCACACAGCCCTGAATTTCCATACTCACTTGCAGGCCCTCCCCCACACTCCAGCAATTAGCCCTTAAGCCAAATCACATGATCCTTGTGTTTGCAAAGCCAAATCTCTCTATTTCCTTCACCTTATCACCACTTAGATCTTGGCTCAGGTGCAACAGAGATCCATGAGTCATTGCTTACAACACTGGGATCAGCTATTGGCAGCTTCTCCGTGCCTGCAGCCGAGCTGGTTATTCATGCTGAGGTTCTGCCCATGAGGCCCGGGCTTTGCAACCCCACTGCAACCATCTGCAGCCTGACTCACCTGGAGCTGAGCTGAAGGCAAGTTGACATCCGCCACCATCTCTGTGCAAGGATGCTCCACCTGGAGGCGAGGGTTGAGCTCCAAGAAGTAGAAGCTGCCGTCTTGGCTGTAAAGGTATTCCACCGTTCCAGCACTCACATAACCCACCATCTTGGCGAGTTTCACTGCACACTTATAAAAGGAAAGAAAGGGAGTAAGGGAAAGGATCGACTCAACATTTAGTTCCAGGAGTTCTTACTTCTTACAACATATGTTAACTAAGAAACCTATCCGGTTCACCCAGGATGGAAACAGCTTTGAGTTAACAGCACATTTCCTATTTTCAAAACAGTAGATCAACCATTTCTCTGCTACTTTCTTCTACTAGTGGTTCTAGTAGGCCCTGAAAGTTGATACACATACATCACCTGGGAAAGCACAAACTGAATGACAACCAATCCCCAGAAGGGCAAGAGACAGAACTTCGCATCTCCCTTGACACCCAAAGCGGTAAAAGAGGAAGTAAAGACAGAGAAGAGGGCCAAACCCCAGATCATCTTAAGATAACCTGACTACAAAATTCAACCAGGTTTCCCTCTCCTATTCTGATTCCCCTTTACCTGCCCTGCTCACCCCAACCCCACTTTTTGATAGCATCTTGCCAAACAAAGCGCTTCAGGGATCTTGAAAGCTTGCATGCTTTTGTTGCATCAACAGACATTATACAGGCCAATAATTTTGCCATTTTTCTTACGGCCAACATGGCAGCCTTTAGTTTTTGTACATACTCCCATATGCAGCCATCTAGCTGTTAAGTGTACTTGTGCAAGGCCTAGCTTCCCGTCCATCCATCAGGCTAGGAAAATAAGCTCAAGAAATTGCTTTTTTTCCCCAGTGGCAGCACCAAATTTACAGAACCACACCCTGCCCCACTGGCCCCACATGCATCGAAAACAGCTGTGTTCCTAGTTTTATGCTAGCTGCCTGATCTGTTTTGGCAACTTGTTTTGACGTCTGATTTCATGTATTACTTTCTGACGTTCTGACTCACCGTTCTGCCAAAATAGCACCTCCGAGGCAACTTAAAGTTAAAAGGTGCAACAAACTTTGAAAACGTGCCAATCAAAGGCATTTCCCCCACTCTTCTAATGCACGTTAATGGAATCCAGGGGTGGGCAGCTTCGGGGGCTCTGGGGGACAGTTGTACCTCCTCCTGCTCATGGAGGTACTTTTAAAACAAACATTGCAAAACAAAAATAGCCTGTCTTCAAGCTGATTTCCAGCCTTCGGCTACTCTGCAGCAGCTTTGTTCTAAACCCACGTGCCGTGTTCTCTAATGCCTAACGGTATAAATCTCTGGTGGAACGCTAAGGTGCCGTAAGGCCTTCTTACGCTGCGAAGACTGAGATAGCTCTGTTAACATATTGTAGGACAAGACTGTTGCCCAGGTCGCTGCTGAGAAATTTATACAGCATACAGCCAACGAACAGGACGTTCAGCAAAGTGAAACAGAAACGGTTCTCCTGCATTCCTTTTAAAGTGCCGATGCCAGGAATGAAGCAGCCCGAGACCGTCTTCCCGCAAAGACGATGCTCTCCCACTGAGAGGTGCGCCCTCACCTGCTATCCCATGACCACAGTGGCCAACCAGCCCAAGGGTGACTCCTCCTGCTGGGGCTGGGACAACACCATGACTCACACGCATGGGCTCCGCAGGGGTAGGGTATGAACGGTGGGCTGTTGTTGCGACATGGGTTATAGTGCTGTTGGAACTCGGGCGTGCACAGAGATTGCGTTATCTGTTCTGCCTCCATTCTGCACAGTCTCACGTGCCTTTTGCTCCACTGTCTGGGCAGTGACAGATTGTGTGTGAATGTGTGCATACACATCTGCACGAGTTAGAGTTGCACAGACTTGTCCTCCTGTACAGAGTGCTCCCGTATGTTTTGGCCATGCCTTATGGCCATCTCTTTTGAGGAGGAGGCAATAATGCGGATAAATTTTGTGGCAGTGCATAATCGTTACTTGGATACTCAGAAACTGAAACTCTTGGCTCCACTGCAGAGTTCTCCAATTCTCCTAGTCTGCACCCACTTGTGCTAGCAAGCTATCTGTTGCAAACGGTGGGTTGTTTGTGGTTAATAAAGCATAATTTGTTAGTATAGCTGAGTTCAGACCATAAGAGAGCCATGTTTCAATTCAGTGCTTGAGTGGGTTACCACGTTTCTCTAAGCCCAGCCACGCACTGTTTTGCCGCTTCGTTAGGAAGGGGATTCTGAGTATTTCAGCTAAAAGAAGCCACGAGCGTAAACAGTACAGAATTCCCACCTACCTGTTCCATGTGCTCAAAGACGGCCAAAGTGGCGATCGAGGCCGGGGCCTCCTCGATGATCTTCTGGTGCCGACGCTGCACAGAACAGTCACGGCCAAAGAGGGAGATGGCGTTGCCGTACTGGTCTGCGAGGATCTGCACTTCCAAGTGGCGGGACTGTTTGGCAAGGCGCATGACGAAGATGGGGGACCCTGGCACTTCCGCCTGGACCTGAAAAATCAAACAAACACAGCCGGGGACACATCAAGGAGGTCTCCCACCCTCTGAATTCATCTCCAGCTTGGCTAGTTTAGCGAGTGTCCAGTCACAAGAGCAGAAGACCCACCCTGAGAGCTCAGGCCAGGGGCTCCCCGAGTCAAGCATTCTGCTGATGCGGTGGCCGGCCCGCTGCCCGCAAGCGGGATGCGAGCGTGCAGCACCACATTGCCCAAGCTCCCCAGCAACTGGCATTCATTAATTGAGCTCTACTTGGGTTTCCCACCAACCAAGTTGGTTAACCCAGAACTGGGAATCTGGAGTTAACAGCGGGACTTTACCTTTTCAAAATGGCAGGATCAACCACTGTCAGATACTTTCATGTTTCCATGGGTCCTAGCAGACAATGAACCCTGAACCCACCGATTTGAATGTTTTCAAACCCCGATTCCTCCCATCATTTTAAGACTCTGGCCCTGTAGACATCCTGCTTACAACATCCAACCTGATGGAGAGATCTGGAGATCTCGGAGGCTTTCACGTTTTGAGGGCCTAATGAAGGCAATATGCTGGATTTCAACATTCTTCTTCCTAGCCTTGTTTTCTGCCTTTTTTTCCTTTTGCAAGCAAGCCAACAAGGCTCACATGGTACTCCTCTTCTCGATTTAAGTCACACAACAACCCTGTGAGGTAGGTTAGCCTGAGAGGCAATACCTGGCCTCAAGTCATCTAGTGAGCTTCATAGTTAATGGCGGCCAGACTCTTGGATCTCTCAAGTCCCAGTCCAACACTCTAACCACTACCTCATACTGTCTCTGACTTCAAAGGCCAAACAGGAAACCAGTGTGGTGTAGTGGTTAAGAGCATGGGACTGGGACTCAGAGGATCTGGGTTGTAGTCCCTGCTCGGCCATGGAGCCAACTGGGTGACTTTGGGCCAGTCACAGACTCTCAGCCCAACCTACCTCACAGGGTTGTTGTTGTGGGGATAAGATGGGGGAGCAGAATGATGTAAGCTGCCTTGAGCCCTTTGCAGGAAAAAGGCAGAATATAAATCAAAAAATAAATAAATAATAAAAAACCCAGGAAACATCACATAAATTTGCATCATTTATACTGCATCATTTATACTGCATCATTTTTCAGCACTTTTCCTGGAGATTGTTTGTTTATTAATAATATAAAAACAATAGAATAACCACAATTATAATGGTATTATTAATTTAGCATCATTGCACGCAGAGCATTCACTACGGTTTCTTCAAACCACAGAAAGAAGCAGCAAAAGTAGCATACCTGTCTAAAAAGGTTGGGGAAATCCTCAGCATTGTTCACTTTCCTGATTCCTTTTCCTCCCCCTCCTTCGGAAGCTTTGATCATGACAGGGTATCCAACTTCTTCGGCTGCCTGAGCACAAGAAGAGTGACTTAATACTTCAAGTTGAGAAGTCTGAGAAAATCTGAAGTGCGGTGGGCAAACAATTCCGTTGCCCTCCCGTGATGCTCTCGCCAGTGGACCTCAGTGTTCTTGTTTAAAAGAAAAAGTGCAAAGAGAGTGGATCCCAGAAGCTCCAGAGCTACCCCCCTGCTCCAGGAAATCTACAGCACCCCACTTCTGAGGCACAGGTCGGACATAACCATGCTAAGAATCTGCTCTCAACTTTAGACGTATCTGCAACACTTGACCAGTTAATAGTGGAAAAAGCCATGCCACGAGCCCTCTGGAAGACATCTTCAGTTTTCCTCTTCCCTGCCTGCCCCTTTTCCTTTGCATTTCTTCCTTTATCGGACGGCAAGCAAGCCCGCATAATCTTGCTTGGCTGATTATGCAGAAGCTGCTCTGGAAGCATTTTGGCTGAGAAAAGGGGTAAAAGTACTTGCAGTCAATAAGCAGGGGGTCGGGGTCAGGATTGCAATGCCTACCCGCAGCCCATCGTCCACATCTGTCACACAGCCCTTCTCATATAATTCCTGGGGGACACTCAAGATGCGCTTTTGAAATTCATTTTCTTGCCAATGCACTTGGAGACCTAAAACACAAAGCATTATTTACATCACCTCGAATTTTAGCAAACCTCCCACAAGACAACCGTCCGTACGACACCCTCCCGCACTGATTGCCTGGTTCTGTTTTGGAATGCTAGAAAGTTCACATCTCAGCATCCCCCAACCTGGCATACGATGTCTTCTTTTAGCCCTTCAGCTAACTGGTGGGGACTATCATGCCTCGCTTGAATCTTACCTTCTCCAGGCTAACCCTTCTCAGTTCCCGCAACCGCTCCTCTTATATACTACTTTCCCACATAAGGAAACCCCCTCAAAATGTTTCTTTGCAGACTTTAGCCTATGGTGGAATGCACATATTTAGACAATGTTTCTTTACTGCCTTATGGGATTGGAGAGGTCCCATAGGGCATCTAGTCCCCCCCCCCCCCCCCCCCGGAAACTATGGCATCCCCGGCAAGTGGCTGCCCAGGCTTTATCTCAAAATTTCCAGCCAGGGATGACTCCACAGCTAACTGCCTCCTCCTACCATCAAACTGCATGGTGACACACGCGCTGGTGACTTCCCGCCTTGACTTCTGTAAGGCGCTCTAGGTGGGGCTACCCTTGAAGACGGTCCGGATACTTCAGTTGGTTCAAAATAGAGCTGCCAGGCTGCTGACGGAGATGGGGCGTTATGTTCACATGACTCCAGTCCTCCGTCAGCTTCACTGGCTTCCCATTGAAGTCCGGGCCCAATTCAAGGTGTTGGTGATGACCTATAAAGCCCGAAACGGCTTGGGTCCTGGCTACCTGAAGGAGCGCTTACGTCCATATATGCCCGCCCGCCCCTTGAGATCTGCGGGAGAGGCCCTCCTCCGGGAACCCTCCGTGAAAGAAATTAGGAGGGTAGGTACTCGGAGGAGGGCTTTCTCTGCGGTGGCACCCAATCTATGGAATGCGCTCTCCAGAGAGGTCCGCCTGGCGCCGTCATTATTTGTTTTTTGGTGCCAGGTGAAGACCTTTTTATTTAAGCGTCATTTTAATTGTTAATATTATTTGCTTATTTTATCTGGCCAGGGCGACTTTATATTGTTATTTCTTGCATTTTAATTTATGTTGTGAGCCGCCCTGAGGCTTCGGCGAATGGGGCGGCATAGAAATGTTTTAATAAATAAATATGCAACAAATCCAATTCTGTCAATGAGTGGATGACAGAAAAGATGTCTGACAATCCGTGAAACATAGACCACAGATTTTACAATCCCTGGGGAGAGTAGCTGGGAAGAAATGGATTTTCTGAGCAAGGATATCTTGCCTTTGAAGGGAAAGTTAGGGCCTATTTGCTTCACAAGACTTCTGGGGTTGGAGGAGGTGAAATCAGCTAGGACTGACTTGTTGGAGGAGATCAACAAAACGGCCAGTCAAGCTGCAGGAACAGCATCATGGCTTGCTTCCTCTCATCTTTGGCATGGATAGCAGGTTTGTTTGTTTGCTTGTTTGTTTGTCTGCTTTAGATATTTGTATGCCGTCCTTTGCGAGAGCCTCAGGACAGCTTACACAAATAAAATGCCTATACATAAAAGTATAGCATAAATAAATTAATGACCCACTCAGGCTGCAATTAAAATATGGTAATAAAATTCAATATTAAAACTTGTTAAAATATTGATTAAATAAAAAGGTCTGAACCTGGCACCGAAAAACATATAATGACGGTGCCAGGCAGACCTCTCTGGGAAGCACATTCCATAGTCGGGGTGCCACCGCAGAGAAGGCCCTCCTCCGGGTACTCTGTCTCCTAATGTCTTTCACAGAGGGTTCCCAGAGGAGGGCTTCTGCCGCTGATCTCAAGGGGCAGGAGGGCAAATAGGGAAGAAGGCTTTCCTTTAGGTATCCTGGTCCCAAGCCGTTTAGGGCTTTATAGGTAATAACCAGCACCCTGAACTGAGCCCGGACTTCAATGGGAGCTGATAGAGGATTGGGGTGATATGAGAATAACACCCAGTCCCCGACAGCATCCTGGCAGCTCTGTTTTGCACCATCTGAAGTATCCAGACTATCTTCAAGGGCAGCCCCATGCAAAGCGCATTACAGAAGTCCAGCCGGGAAGTAACCAATGCGTGTGTCACCGTTGCCAGGCAATCTTCCTCCAGGTTTTGGCTGGCCACTAAATATGCCCTCCCTAATCCTTCCCTTTGAAGGCTTTGTTCAACTGCTGGCTCAGGGACCTTTACTGGAGTTACTCTGCCGGTGTGTTTCTCCCCCACGTGAAGGAACAAGATCTAGCATGAGTGTCATTACGTACTGTACCAGCCATGTGCTCCTTGTATCTTTAGAAACAGTCAGTTTCGCTAGCTTTTTAATTGCAATCCATTATACTTCTCTTCTGCCCAATAACCCAAATTCTCTAAGTATGGCCTTGCCTTGAATGCCTATAGGAAAGAAGAGCAGAAGGCTGCAACCACCCCCCGTGAAAGTCCAGCGCGGGGCCCTGTTCTACCACTGGCGCTTTTATAATCTTACTGCTAAAGGACAACAGGCAAGGCAGAAATTGCATTTCCTCTTTCGCACAGCAACACTCCCATTGCTCAGCCAGGCTGCCATTTTTTTTCCATACAGTGGGACAGCGTTATTGATAGAATTTTCAGTGGAGGTGTTGAACCTCCGTCTGCTCAGGGGTCTGATTCAACTTTAGGGAAACTCTCAGACCAGCACATTCCAGCAGTGCTTGGGGCCAAGGTCCAAAGTCAAGGCGGGTGATGAGGCCGAGGTACGAAAATTACCACCCAAGTGTAGCTTAAGGTTTTCACTGCAAGTAACGAAGCCTTATGAGAGTCATCGCAGCTTTTTAAAATGAGGGGGAAACTGCACCGACGCCAGGAAACTACCAAACACTCAATCATTAGAGCAGGGCAAGGGGAAGTTGGTCCCCAGAGGGGCAGACTGCATCTCCAGATTCCTCTGGATTTGTTCCACAGAGCTGCAGTCAAATGCCCCCAGTTCACATGAATGCTGATGCAATGCTGCTAGGAAATACAAGAGCTGAGAGAGGAACACTGCCTAAAGCTACAAGTACGTACGAAGGCCAGTCACCCCAAGTAGCACTTTACGGGGTCAGTGCATCGTGTTTGTAACACCACCTTTAAATTGCTCTGTGCACAGAGTTTGCGCTATGCATTGCTCCAACTGGCCTAGGCTGATGAGGCCTCACGCCGCTCTTACCGCTGCCACTCCACGGAAGTGTGGGGATGCCTGCCGTTTGGGCCACTATCGAGGAGGCGATCTTATCTCCGAGCGCCCACATTGCTTGGCTTGGTGGACCTGCAGAACACAAAGAAGGAAAGGCTCACCGGAGAGGAGGCAAGACCCCAGCAAAACTGCAGGACACTGACGGCCGGTGGTCTGCCATCCAAAACAAAGGGACCTTGACGACTCGCCCATGGACTCCCCAGAAGACGCCCCCGTGCCGCTCACAATGGCTTTGTTTCCTCACCCATGAAGGCAATTCCATTCTTGTGGAGGAGCTCAGGTAGCTTGGGGTTCTCAGAGGCATGGCCCCAACCAGCCCATACTGCCTGGAGAAGGGGAGAAAGGAGGGGCATCGCTTAGCACGTGTATCAGAGAAACAAACAGCAACAAGCATACAAGACTCAGCAGTCATTTGAGGCCATTTGTCTCGATATTGTATGCAGAAATCGAACCGTTCCTGTCGAGAGGGAATTTGATTCTGAGCTAGATGATGAGGACCCAGGAGGGGTCAAACAGTGATGGCTAGAGGAGGAAGAATGGCGAGAGGGAGTCTCGGGGAGTGGCAAAGGAGCATTCGAAGAAAAGGGCATTGCTATTTGACAAAGTGATTCTGTCTGGTAATTCGTTGCTTGCAAAGTTTTTATGTTGCTTATTTCTGTGCTGCTCAATAACCAAGGGTCTCCAGGCGGCTTACACGCTGCGTTCACATGTGCATGTATACAGTGACACACTTGACTGAAAGGAAAAATTCTGGATCTAGTCCATGGCGCTTTAATCTGGAGAGCAAACCCTACGCTTATACCTCTGCTTTTTGCCTCCCTAGGAATCTTCATCTCTCACATTCCAAAGGGTCATTCCTGGTATCAACATCACGACTACTAATGAAGGTAGAAACCAAAATATGTGGCTTTTAAAATATTTTGAAATTACTGTTGTTAGGCTACTCATCTTTCTTATATGGATACAACTGACTGTATCCACAGTACATTCACAACAGATAAAAAATACCTTAAATTAATTAATAAATCCCCTCATTCTTTACTTTCTAAATTCCAGCTTTCCTTTTCCCTCACCTGCACAGGAATCCGTTTTGCAATATCGAGGATCAGTTCCACATTTGCATAGTTATTGTTGTTTGGGCCTCCAGGTACTGGGACATAATGATCCGCCATCTTGATATATTCTACAAACAGAAAAAAGGCATTTAAAAAAATTTAGATTGCATGTCCAGCTGAACAGGGTATAAAAACCAAAAACTGATTAAAACGCAACTCAGGTAACATTTATATCACGGAGCAAATGCTGAAGTTTTATATTACACCCTAGCATGGGTTTGTTCTGTATTCTTCCTGAGAGTGCTCCCAAACCCAAGCCTGCCGGGAAGGTGAATCTGCTTGTTTAAGACGTGGGCTGTTTGCTTGGAATTTCACACACCCACACGCGCACACACACACACTTTTAGTGGCTTCTTGAGTGCCAATGCACCCCCATCCGACCCCTGAAAATTGGACAATGCTGCCCTGGGGCAACAGGTCCAAAAGATTTCGGTCCTAATGATCCAAAAAGTAACTGCATTTATTTGAAACAGAAATGGAAATAAATATTTTGAATATTCCTTTCAAAAATGGAAACCTTTACATTAACCACCTATTGGAAAAGCAGAATTAAATCAATTCATATTAGGAATCAAGTAGTGAGTAAAGGTATACCTGTCGGACTTTTAATCTTTTGATAGCTATTTTGAAGTTTTAATGTTCAACTGGAAACTGGTAAGCAACAACAGAAGCTTTTATTCAATTGTTTTTCTCCTCTAAAAGTTATTTGTGCTTGAAAGCTATAATCTTCTCTTTAAAGATTATTAAAATCTAAAAAACACACACGTACACAACAAAAAAGGAATGGGGGGGGGGGGAGAGGAATAAAATGGCTGCAGATGCACCACCTCCTGTTTGCAGGTCTCTGGGAGATGGGTGGTAAGCGCAGTTCCTTCCCTCTGGCTCCGTGGAGGCAGTGTCAGTCTTTTTATCTATTCTAATTCTTATGCTATCATTCCACTAAAGCAAAAAAGTCAAGTTTCCCTCCTCAGTGCATGAAGTTCAGCGAAGCAGATCTCATGCCCGACAGCATTGGGAATGCAGGCTGGTAGAGAATGGAAAAGCGAACAGAAACCAAAGCTACCGATGGGAACTGCTGGCTAGGGGCTAAAAGAGAGCTTTGCACATTCCAAGAACTGGACAGCCTTGCTGCTATCTGGCCATAAGCGGAACCATGAAAGTAATCACGCTTAAAATTATGCGACTGCATTGCGTGACTGATCATCAATAATCATTTTAGCCTTTCTAGAATTACAACACTTCAAAATGCAAGGGGAGCGGGTTGCACATTAATAAGTCAGGATAAAAAAGACATGCCTCAGAAACATGTTGGTTTCTCATGCATTTAAGGGATTTAACCTCAAATTCTCCCTGCAGCAATAGCTTCAACCTACAAGAAGAAAGCTACTCAAAGTCCTTCCGTTTTCCACAGCGTGACATTTGATTGGCACAGAAAACTCAGATGGAAAAGGGGCAAGCAATCAAACCCCGGTCTTCCAAGACTCACCTGCATTGGCCTTCAAGTCTTCAGGTGTCACCATGACCACGAAACGGATGGCACGCTCGTTCCGAAACATCTCGTAGGACCAGCGCCGGATGGACCGCATGCACTTCACTGCCGCAATCCCGTTGTTGGCAATGAGGACCTAAGTGAAACAGCACAGGGAGTGGGGTGCGTTTCCAACGTTCATGCCAGCCCGAGTTTCTCAATTCTTCCCACCCGGCCACCTTTCCTACTCAGCCACCGCCGCCTGATTCTGCTAAGAAACGAACTGATGGGCAACCTGCTTCTTGCCAGACACACAAGGGTATCTGTGGATTAGGGCACTAATCCAGCACTGCCATGGGAAGCCGGCCCACGGTGGAAGCCCCGGCTAAACCTGGGCAGCCCAGGAATGAGGAGCTATGGGCACAGGCCCCAGACATCTGCTGTCCCACTGCCGCTTCATGGTTAGCTGTTGATCACCCACTACTGGGAGGACAATAGCAATCCGTGGGCTCTCTCCTCCCCTGAAACTTAGGAAGTTGCCTTCTGTCAGATGCAACAGATCATTTGGCCGTCCTAGAAGAACTGTCCAGTCCAGATAGTCAACATTTAGCAAGCGGGTGCCACTAGATCCACTGAACTCTTTCGTTGGGTGCCCACCAAGCCCACTGTGCTCCCTGGTTTTTTGTTTTTTTTTTTGCTTTCTTGAGATTTGAAGAATTCATTCCCTTCTTTCTTTTATTATATTTCTATACCAGCCAATAGCCTAGGTAGTATTTCTGGGCCGGTTAGGGTTAGGGTTACAAAAACGGGGTATCCTGCTAAGACTTTGATGGTTGGAATGTGTTTAGGATGGACAAAAATTTGCTTATTTATCTGGCCAGGGCGACTTCTTTTATATTTTATATTTTGTATTTATTTTATATTGTTAATTTTAATTTTATATTGTTATTTTTGTATTTTATTGTATTTTATTGTGTTGTAAGCCGCCCCGAGGCTTCGGCAAGGGGCAGCATAGAAATGTTCTAATAAATAAATAAATAAATAAATAAATAAAGGATGAGATGTGCAAAAAAAAGTATGCAAAGAAAAGTTTTTCAAAATCGCCCTATTTTCAATGGAATTTTAGCCCTATAATAGGTTTAGGGGTGTGCACCAGGTTAGGGTTACGGTTACAAAAACAGGGTGTCCCGCTAAGATTCTGATGGTTGGAATGTGTTTAGAATGGGCACAAATGATGAGGTGCGCAGAAAAAGCTACACAAGGAAGGGTTTTTCAAAATCGCAAACATTCATATACAATGCCCAGAAAGAGAGAGAAAGTGTGCGTGCTGAAACATTCATTCCTTCTAAAGTGCCATTTTTAAATCATTCATTCTAGCTTTCAAAGGATGATTATGGGTTCTGGAGCTCAGACCACGTGTGGGCCTTGTGCAAGCTTCTGGGCCACTTATTTTCCCTTTGGCCACAGCCAGTTGGTTTCTGGAAGTTTGCATTTTGCAACTGGCAAATGGCAGCCACTTTATGAATGTGCCTGTCGCACCCTCTCAAAATCCCAGCTGTGCCCACCTTTCACCCTGAATGGTGGGGGCTGCCTGCAGCTTGGCTGCCTGGTCCTTCTCTATGGAGATGCTGGGGCTGCCCTGGGACCTTCCGCATGCCAAGCAGGGCTTCAGTCCTGAGCTCACCTTCCCCAGTGCTTCTCCAAGTGTTATGTACCTCCAGCAGGGGCATGCACTCCAGTTTTTGAGCCCCTGTACCTACCTATAATGCATGCACAAATCCACACACAAACACACACCCATATGTATGTGTGTGAGTGTTTGTGTGTATATAATCGGCGGTAGAGGCCCTTCTCCGGGAACCCTCCGTGAAAGAAATTAGGAGGGTGGGTACTCGGAGGAGGGCTTTTTCTGCGGTGGCGCCTAAGTTATGGAATGCGCTCCCCAGAGAGGTCCGCCTGGCGCCGTCGTTATTTGTTTTTCGGCGCCAGGCCAAGACCTTTTTATTTAAGCGGCATTTTAATTGTTAATATTATTGGATTTTATCTGGCCAGGGCGGCTTATTTTATATTGGTATTGTTGTATTTTTAACTTAATGCTTATATTTTTTTAATTTAATGTTATAATTATTTTTTAACTTATTGTTGTAAGCCGCCCCGAGGCTTCGGCGAATGGGGCAGCATAAAAATGTTTTAATACATAATAAATAAATAAATAAATAAATAAATAATATTAATGTATTGCTTTCTCATCTTAACAGCTTGCATATCCACTGACTGAATTAGTATAACTGATTTAGGGCAGGGTGGTCCAAGGTCCAACTTTTCATACCTCCAGGCCCACGTGAGAACTTCAACACCCAGGAGCTGCACAACTAACCACCTTTCTGTAGCCACATTCTGCAGCCACAGGCCAAGCACAAGGGCTGCTTCTCTGAAGTGGCCCATCCCTTTCTTCCCTGTCTCTCCCACTCGGAAATCTTCCCGTGTGACCCCCAGCTCCCCACTGCCTCCTTGCTTCTTGGAATCGACGCAGGTTGCATGTTGGATCACCTCAATTTAGGGTGAAATCTTTAGAAGGAAAAAAAATTGTTTTGCAATTGCCAGCACATCCAAGCATGATTGCCCGGAGAGCGCTAGCTTGATTCCTGTCTACTTGCCCATAGCTCTGCATCCTTTTCTATTATTACAGTATTTTTATTTTTTTTTATTTTTTTTATTTTCCAATTTATATCCTGCCTTTTTCCTAAGGGCTCAAGGCAGCTTACATCCTTCTCCTCCTCCATCTTATCCCCACAACAGCAACCCTGCGAGGTAGGTTGGGCTGAGAGTTTGTGACTGGCCCAAAGTCACCCAGTTGACTCCATGGCTGAGCGGGGACTAGAACCCAGATTTCTTTTCCACTTTTCTGAAATCAACCATGGCAGTTTATGAAGTTCAAACATAAAAGCCATAATCAGATGAAAGCACAATAAAATAGTAAAACACCCATTAAAAGCCATAACAACTATCTCCAAAAGTTTAACAATGGTGTCTTGACCCTGCTCTGAATACAGAGAAAGTGGGGACCAGCTGCAATGCCACAGGAAGTATTTTCCAGATTTAATATGCCACAGATTTGGCCCAAAAGCAACTCTAAATGCAGGGATAGCTACAATAACTAACGAGAAATTCCCTGTACATACACAATATACCTCAGAGTAGCATTCCTTCAGGGACAACATCATTTAACCTCTATGTTATTCCATAAAAATGCTGAGAAATGGCATCTCACCTTCTCGATGACTTTGGTCCCTCCAAAGCGAGTGACAAACTCTGCCGGGGATGCGACAGTAAAATCTCTCTGCAGCTCCACTTTCTTCCTGTCCCGGCCTTGCTTCATGAGGTGGAGACCAGACATACTTGGCCTGAGGGATAGAGGAGCGCAGTCACGGCAAGAGCGGTTACGCCAACCTTCTGGTGCTCCCCAGATGTGCAGCGCCGCAACTCCCATAATTTCCAGCCAGCGCAGCCCGATATATGTCCACCTTTAAATGCGATGCTCTGGACTGAACTCAGTGCGAACGAAGCGCTAGAGTGAGTGAACCTTGCAAACTGCTTACAGCCAGCGTTCTCTTAACGCAGCCTTTGTAGCCAGTGCATCGCAGCGCTGTCACATATTTTGCTTATGGTCCACAGCAAAATTATTTCCACATACTTAATTGCCCAGCCAGATCTTGCTGTGCCACCGCCGCCATCAGCATCAGCATCGGTACCTTAGCACAGGGCCTTACATGTTCAATTCCATCTGGCTGGTCTCAGCCCAGTGACAGAACCTGGCAAGATCTTCCTGAAGTTTGATCCTGTCACCCATGGGGTTAGCTTCATCTTCGGGTCTGCAACCCACCTCCTCTGCACTTGTATACCAATCCTTCATAAATATGCTGCACAGCACAGGGGCATCCCCGTGGTGATGCACAAGCCTGCCTTCAGTCTGGTGCCAAGCCATTTGTGAGCCCTTGGGTACAGCTGCTCAGCAAACTGTGGGTCCGCCTAACAGCAGTAGCATCCGACCAATATTTTACCACCCCATCAGCATGGGTGCCAGGGAAACTTTGCCAAATGTTTTGCCAAAATCAGGATATATTATGTCCGTGATGGTTCCATGATTTACCAGACTACAAATTCAGTCCATGTTGGCCTGGAGTAATCAACGCATTCTGCAGAAAAGGGCTTGTTTTGGTGTGGCAACCCAGTTGTGGAATGAATTTCCCTGAGAGGCTCACCTATGGTGCATCTTTCTGGCATCAGGGAAGACCTTCCTCTTCCCCAGGCATTTTAGTTTTTTTCCGTTTCTGTTGTTTTAAACCGTTTGCTTGTTTTAAATCTTTGCACTGCTAGGTTTTAGTTCAGGTGTTACTTCTTTCTTTGCACTGCAATTTCAAACCTTTGCAGAACATTTTTATGTTGTATGTTATGGTTTTAATTGTGGCAAATTGCCCAGAGAGTTTCAGCTATGTTTTATTCGTTATTCTCTTTACCAGCCATAATGAGTAGTTATTAGACAACAGTTAGCCCTCTCCAAAACAAGTTTTCTAGGTACAAGATTTATTATTAATTTTGAATTGATAAGTATCCAGCCATGCCATCACCGCTATCCCTAGACTCTCATGTACAACCTCACCTGTTCTTTGCATAAAAGGCTCCCTGAGGCAGCTTGGGATCACTTCACTTTTCTCTTCAGGCTCTGCTGTCTCTTCCAAGCAGAGCTTGATTTGTGGCAGTACAGCGCTTCTCAGCACCAGGCCCAAGCATGGATGAAGAAATCAAGGGAAGACCCCCTGCAAGGGTGTACAGGGGGCCTTCCACCTCATTATTGGCAGGGGAGAATGACTGGGCACCGGCCAAGGGCCCAGGGCCCAAGGAGGCCTACCAGCAACAGCCCCCCCGGACCCATTCTTTTGCTCTTTTGGAGGCTGCTTTTGTTTTTTGCTTTCTCCCTCCCACTCCCCCTCTCCTTTTGCGCCCACAGGCTGTCTTCAACAATCAGATGCATAAAATACGACAAAATACCATTTTTAAAGCATATCATTAAATTATCATTAGAAACCAAAATAAAAAATAACAGCAGTACACAGATTTGATATACAGTAACAGATTTAAAACACAGAAACGGAAAAACTAAAATGGCTGGGAGAACAGAAACCTGGTGCCTAAGACTGGAAAGCACAGGCAAGTTCCCCTGGGGAGTTCGTTCCACAACAGAAAAGCCCCGCTCCTTAGTGGCTGCCCACCTCACACTGGGGAAGACTGGAATAGGTCAAGGGTGGGCAGAAGGTCGAAAATAAAAATAAATAAATATCCTGATGGGACGTCAGTTCCCAAAAGCCCCTGCCTGCTTGGCCGATGGTCGGCACTGTTGAGAGCTGCGGTCCAAAATGCACGGACCTCTCTTTTCAACATAACAACTTCCAGTGTTCCCTTTCACTCAGAAGGTAGAAAGCAGATGGCCTGGTTTGCCAGAAAACGTTTCTCAGTTCACATGAGACAGAATTCCATGAAAGCGCTAGAGACCAAAAATATACCCACTGGAGGAGACTGAAGGGCAAGATTTGTGATCAGCCAAACAGATCTTGAAGTTAACACAGAATCTCTTTTGTACTGCATGGGGAAAGGGAGGCATGAGGCATGCAGAACAGCCTTCCCCAACCTAAGTCTCAGCCAGATGCTGCTGGATGCCAGCTTCCACTAGCCCAGGACGGCACAATCAGCGGTCAGGAGCGATGGAAGTTTAAGGCGTTATTATTATTATTATTTTTATTACATTTCTATGCTGCCCCTTGCCGAAGCCTCAGAGTTTTATAGCATCTGTTTTCTCAAGTTTTCTGGGTGGTTTACCAAACCGGTTTGAAACCATAAAATGCAATAGCACAACAAAATTTATATGCATTCCATATGTTTAAGACAGAAAAGTAAGGACAAAGAGGAAAGCCAGTAACAATGCAATAATCTAAAAATGCACCATTCTTCTTCTTTTTTGTAATGAAGGGCTAAAATGTCTCCGAAAATAAAAAGGCCAGTCAGTGTTGAACAGCCTTGTTGGAAGGGCATGCAGTGCCACCACTGAAAAGGCCCTCAGCTGAGCTGCCCAGACAAGGGCCCCCAAGGGTGATCTCAGAGTTCAGACAGGTATCCATGGAAGGGGACAATCCTTTTAGGTTGTAGGACAAAACCTTTACAGGGCATCAAGCTGAGAAGGGTGGATACAGAAGATGCATTCCATGGCACTTTCCAGTAGATCCAAATATAGCCTTACATCATCTTCCTCGAATTGGAGATGTTTTCAACTTCCTGACCACAGGCTATGTTGACAGAGGCCAACAGAAGCTGGTCCAGAACATCTACAGGATGTTAGTCTGGGGAAGACTAGCCCTACACGTACCAACAGTAGCTGTTTGTGACGTATCAGTGGCCTACAAAGGGACAGAGAACCAGTTATCTTCCAATGGAATGCCAGTTATATATTACTGTAGAAGAGATGAGGTACAGCAGTGAGAATGCGGGCCTGCAGAGAGCTGGCTACTCATCCCCTGAGCCGTGAAGCTGACTGGGCGGCGTTAAGTCAGTCACTGACTCTCAGCCCATCCTACCTTACTGGGTTGTTGTGAAAATAAATTAGGGAGGCACAGGAGGAGGATGTACACCTCCTTAGGGTCCTTGCAGGGAAAAGGATGGAAAATACACATAATAAATAAATGGATAAGATAATGCCATATATTTCATAATGTGCTTTCTGGACAGTTTACACACGTTATTTTCCTAATCCTTAGCATAACCACCCTGTAAAGAAAGGGTCGAACAGATTACTGGGTTGGGGGGGAGTCAACTGAGACACAGTCATCCCGATTTAAGTGCAAATCTTTTCTTAAGAGACCTAAACAATTAACAACTGCCTGCCAAATACGCTTACTTGGGGCTAACATCTCTCTCAAGCAGGTGTGCAGGTAAGCATGCTCAGAGCCCCACTGTCCACTTCATTTTATGCCACAGCCATTATGCTTTCTTAAAAACAACAACAAAAGCCCGGAACAACAGCTGATGGTTTCTTTCTTTCAGAACACACAGCACACCCCCCCTTCCCTGCAGAAAAAAAAAAAAACCGCTGAACCAGTTTCTCGAGCCTGGAATAAAAGGTTTTGCAGAAATCCCTTCTTGGCCCCCTTCTCCTAAAAAAAAAAAAAAAATTCCTCTTCCCATGCAATTCCCCACATGTAAAGTCAAATCCCAGCCTCCTCTGACCAGAAATGTCACTATCTTGCTCCACAACACAGGGGGAAAAAAAACACCCTGCAGTCAAGGATTTGATTTCAAAATCAAGCAGATGGAATTCTGTCCAATTCAGAGATTCGGTCCATCAGATCTAATGAGAAGAACCTTAAAACAGCCCTCCACCGTCAGGTCACATTCATAAATTTCTCTATCAAAGCCGACTCCTACCTTTGAAGCATGTGATATCGCACTTCCTGACTGCCTTCGGTTGTTTCTTCCATGCTGGCTCAGGACAGAAAACGGCGTGATGTGTTCTGTCTCCGCGATCCAGCCCCACTGCCACAGCAAGGGCTCCTCTTCTGCTGCTCCTGCAGCGTTACTCCGCCCCCCCCACCCCTCCAAAAAAGCTGTATTTTATTGGACACCCTGTCGTCTCAACCTTTGCGTTTCTAACCTTTGCTGCCCTGCTTTTCGGCTCTGCAAACATGCACACACGCCCCTCGTTCACCCACGCCCCCTTGCAATGAGGATTCTTAAATTCTCAGGCTGGGGAGAGGCAGAGAGGCAAGCAGCAAACTCTTGCTCTGCCTGGAGAGAGAGCGAATCGCTGATTGTGGGGGGGGGGGTGGAGCGGGGGAGAGAAAGAGCTACAGGTTATGTAACTGGGCTTAAGGGGGAAGTAAGAATTGCTTGTAGTGCTGTGAGGAGGGAGACCTAATCGGTACCGCACGCCGAACCAAGGATCGGAGACCTTTCAAAAGATTCTACCATCTTCCTGAAACTTGCTCCCGCGCCCCCCTGCCCAAAACAGGACATGGAGGAAGAGTTTTCCAGCACCTTTCCAGAGCAAAAGCTTTTCAATGTGATGAAAGTGACATGGCTTGAAATCTGAGTCAAGCTTTAGCCCACAAAAAAACCTATGCCACAATAAATCAGTCCTTACTTGAAATGCTGCGGTGCACTAACTGTAATAGATATTTTCCGTGCATTTTCAGAAACAGATTCATACTGCCTCCTATAGGGCAATGCATGAAAGGCTCACAGCAAACCCACACTGGATTTGTAAGGACTTTTAACCATCAAATCCACAAGTGAATCAAAGGGCTGAAGGAAGAAGGCAAAGGGGTTTCCCCAGTCATGGGTGCCAGCACCCCACAGTCAAGCCAGCCATGTTGCAATCTATCAAAATCCCCTGCCACACGCACAAACAAGAAGTTGGATTTGACTGTCTCTGTAAGCTGCATGAACAAGACTAGCATGCAAAATTTCGTATGCAACTCACAAGCCAAGACAAAATTCTTCTAAAGCCACCCCCACATCACAAATTTTTGCTCATGAATCTCTGAAATGTTCAACAGGCATTATGCATTCACTCCCAAGCACATCTTCACAACCACAAGGGCTAGAAACTTGCCTTGAAAACAAAACAAAACTATGTCGTCCACACAGTGCTCCTGAAAAGTAGGTTAGGCTGAGAAAAGTATGTCAAGCACTATCTAAGCAACTTTGAACTCAGAGCCTCTCCAGTCTCAAAGTTTCCACCGTATCGACTTCAAAAAGATAAGAAAACCTGTGCTAGAATCAGGCCAAGGACCACATGGCCCAGCACTCAGCTGTGCTCATGGGGAACCCATAAACAGAACAAACCCATGTTCCCCAGCAGCTGGTGCACACAAGTGTATTGCATCTGGTGGAAGCATGCAGCCATCATGTCTGTAACCACAGGAGTTTCTCGGCCCGTCTGAAAGCCACCCAAATCGGTGGCCATCATCTCATGGAAGTGAATTCCACAATTTAACCATGTGCTGTGTGAAGACATCCTTTTATCTGTGCTGCACCTCCCACCAGTCAGCTTCTAGGGATGATCCCGCTGGGGCCTAGTATTCTAAAAAAAAAAAACTTTCCTTGCCACTACAACCACCAAACAAGGACACACTAGGTGTTGTCCAAAAGACAAGAGGCGACACAATCGACTCTCACAATCTGCAATAATTGCCATGTCTGCGGGTCTGTTCGGGGTACCGAATCACAATATGCCGAGCTGTCTCTTTAACCGAGAAAATAGGAGTGACAGGCAAAAACTATGCAGGATGTGGTGAAAGGGGAAGAGAACCGTGTCCCTCCCTCTTTCATAATCCTAGAACCCAGTCGGGTCAACCCACGAAGTGGATGGTTGGGAGATTCAAAACAGATGGAAGAAAGCCTGGAATCACACGTCATAGTTAGACGATGGCATTCACTTGCAGGAGGTGCATTGGTGGCAACCGGTACAGACAGCTTTAAGAGGAGACCAGACAAGCTCCCTGAGAAGGCGGCGGCTGCCACTGGCTACCATATGCCTATATGCCGCCTCCGTGTCAACAGGACTGTGCCATCTCGTTTCTGGGGGAGAGGGTGCCGTTGCACTCCTATCCCATGGCGTGGTACAACCTGTTCTGGATGGGCTTGCACGCCCCCGAAGAAGCAGGTGTGTCGTCTGAGGATTCTCCCTGAGCCGTCTGCACCACCTGAAGCTCAGGTATCCTCAGGGGCACGGAGAGACAATGCCTTCTGCTAGCTTTGGCCGGTGGCACAGTGATGTCCCGTCTGGAGGAGGACAGCCTGGTTTCAGCAATATGCCCTGGTAATCTCTCGACTGCATGACTGCAATGCACGTTACACAGAGTAGCCTTTGATCGCCGCTCCGAGGCTGCAGCTTGTGCAACACACGGCAGCCAGGCTAATATCCAGGGCCAGCAGGTCTGAACGAATAAGTAAGTGTTCTCTCAGCCGGGTTGGTGGAATGGCCACCCCTCCCACCCCGCTCACCTCCGCTGCAGGCTGCAGGCTTGGCTGCTGCTGGCGAACGTTAATGAGAGACCCAGCGGCTCATTCTCCTTTCCACGCCATGAATAAAGGGTGAAAGAACAGAACAAACTATTGCACCCCTTCTACAGGTTCACTTGTGGGCTTCAGCATCAGAAGCCGAGCTGGTGGGCTATTCCTCGCCAGGCCAGCGTCTCCCGACCTGGAGTCCATCGGATGAATTGGTCCACAACTCCAGTTGATGCAGACGGCATGGCCAGAGGGAGGGGATGATGAGTGATACCAGCAGGGGCCCAAAACAGCAGGAGAGCACCAGGTCCGGCAAGGCTGTCCTGGGGTGTTATGAGATTTCTATCCTGCTTTTCTTCTTACAACGAACTCAAAGCGGCTTACATCATTCTCTTCTTCCTGCATTCCTTATCCCTGCAACAACAACCCTGTGAGGTAGGTAGGGATGAGAGTCTGCGACTAGCCCCAGGCTGGTTCCGTGGCTGAGCGGGGACTAGAATCCAGGCCCCCCGAGCCCCAGTCCCACGCGCTTAACCACCAACACTCTGAACCTCTACGGCCAGACAGTGTTGCCTGGCTCAGGCAAAGGGATGCCTTTGCAAGCTCACACCCTGCTTGGGAAACTGACTGGGGAAAGACTCTGGCCTGGCAACTCATCCCCTTTGCCAAGGCTGAACTGTGAAATCCACAGCAGCCTGACCCAGCGGCACCCGCCACCTGTGATGCACACCCTCTGGTCACGCAAGAGATACGCAACGTACTTGAGGCTTTTTTCCTTTGACTCAGGGCCAGTCCCAAGAGTTGGGCTCCTGCCAAGGGCTCAGACCCCAGCTGACAAGCCCCCCCCCCCCCAAGACACGGACCTTCTCTACCACTGCCACCTAGTTGCTTCACCTGCTACTTGTTCTGACCCAAATGAAGGTGGTGGTGAAGAAGAGGAGCAGGGGGTGCCATTGTATACATGCTCACTGGCTCTCTGGACCATACGCCCTCAAAAGAACTGGAGTTTGCACAAGTCTGAATGCAGAATGTATCCAAAGCTCGCTCCACTCCCCAAAATGTCCTCCAGATTTATTAGTGGCAGTTTCTCCTGCTCCTAAATTTATTTATCTCTTTATTGATTTATATCCTGCCTTTTTCCAACAAAGGGCTCAAGGCAGCTTACATCTCCTCCTCCACCTTATCCTAAAACAGCAACCCTGAGGCAGGTCGGGCTGAGAGTCTGCGACGGGCCCAAAGTCACCCAGTGGGCTCCATGGCTGAGCGGGGACTCGAACCCAGATCGTCTGAGTCCCAGTCCCACACTCTTCACCCCACTGCACCACACTGGCTCCAGGTTTGTCCATCATCCTAGGACTGTATCCCTAGATGTCCTGCCCATGCCTTCTCCACACAGGCACCTGGGAGTCACTGAGGCTTAGTTCCAGAGAGAGATGCACAGAAGGGTGCCATAAGGACAGAAGCTTCCCACACTGGGATTCTAACTAGCTTCAAGAAGGCACAACACTGAATTGCTGATGAAATGGCCTGGAAACACTGCAAATGGGTTGAAAAGGCATAACCAAATCCGGAAGAATGTTACGGATCTCTCCGAGTAAGAAAGCAAAATTGCCATCGGACGCACACTTGCCTGGAAGTATGCTTTCAAATAAATCGACCAGCAATGGTCCCTTATTTATATCTTGAAGTTTGAATGGCACTAGAGGAAAGATACAAGTAGACAGCCCTCTGAGAGGGACTGTTTAACTTGGAGCCCTGCACTTAGCAGGGGGTTGAACCCAATGGCCCTCTGGGCCCTTCCAACTCTACTATTCTATGACTATGATTCTAAGCAAAGCCTCCTCAGCGGTGCCCCAGACCTATGGAAATGCCTTTCAAGAGATCTACCGCTGGCTCCTCCTGTTGCTTTTAAGAGGATTTTAAAAACAGGCTTAGAACATTTTAATTAGACACTGCATTTGCTGCTAGCGTTAATTAAGAAGCATACAATATTGGCAAAAGGTTAAATTGTCCCTTCTAGCATCTCTCATTCGAGTGCAATGAAAAATAAGAAACAGTGCAATAAAGAAAGAGATATGAACTCTTACGGAAGAGAAGGAATAGCACAACAGAGAAATTAAACAGAATTGGGATCTAGTCAATTTTGGAACAGTTACAGGTCTTCTGGTTTAGCACCAACAAGCCGTTTTGATAATGTGGCTTTAAGAATATATGCTGCTATTTGCAGTTGTGCTTCAGAAAGCAGGGATTATCTAATTATTGATGAATCATCATGTATGTTCTGTTTGATAACAATAAATGTGGACAGACCATGGTGAGCCCGAGAGAAAATAATGTTTCATTTTCTCATTTCTCCTTGCAATACTTGTGTTGTAGGCCACTAAAGTGAACACTGGATAAACTGAATAAACGCACAGTAGTGGAGCTGAGGAGGAGAACTGGGAAAGAATTTAAAAAACTGAGAGTACATAACACAATTTGGGAGGGAGGCAAAGATAGAAAAGATTTGTCCACACAAATAACCCTGGCTGCAACAGATCGCGTTATCTTCAGGAACAAAACAAGAGCAAACAGATTGAGAAAGGAGTGTTCAAGGCTATTTTCCTATTGCGCACAAAGGTATATTCTGTTCCAAATTTTTCAGCATGTGGCAGCCAGATGTTCGATAAGCCCCTGTACCAGCCATTTCTCTCTCATGTAACTCTTCACACCTATCCCCCTCAGACAAGGTCAGTCTCAGAAAGAGAGCTGTCCAGAGAAGAATGGCTGCATTCAAAGTTTATACATTCTCCTTGCTTTTCTGTCCAACTTATTCAGAGCTGCTCACAAAAGCATGAGGGAAGGAGGGGCTGGGCCACAAAATCAATTTAAGACAGCATTAAACACACCCCAGAAGCTTTTAAAACTGGACCAGCGTTCAGAAATAAATTAGAATAGAAGCTCATTATTTATTATACCCCTGGAACTTAACATTAAATCGACCTTGCAAGGTCCAAGGAGGACAGTGTGAAGACCCCAGTCTGGAAGCAGGAGGGTTCATACCTCATATGGACAGCCAGGCCATCTTGGACGTTGGAAGGAACCAGGTCAGAAAGAGAGTCCGAACTGACCGAGACGGGCGACAGAGACTGCTCTTTGTCCTCCAGCAGATCTATCTTCACCAACGAACTCGTCTCATCCTCAGAGTTATCCTCCGATACTGACCCAATGATGAAGCGGGAGTGCACGCTCAGTTCCAACGGCTTGTCCACCGGAGCGGGATCACCCATTGTGCCTCCAAGGTAGGCCTGCACCACTAGCATGGAAACACGCACACAGTCTGAGCTTTTGGCACATTTGTCTGAATATACGGCAGGACTGAGAAAAAGCCAGGCCATTCTCAAAACGGCATTTAAACAATTGGCTGAGAATTAGCCCTTTGCAGTCCTCTAGCGACACTAGGGGAACAGAGAATCTGTACCCCCACCTCCTGTTGACAGCCAGGCCCTTTTCCAAGAGACTCCATTCCAATGCCCCCCCCCACCACCCAGTTTGCGTACTCTTCCTGTTCTCCAGTGTGCCAAAGCTACTCAAGCAGCTCAGTCCTCATTACTCTGGGGCTCCTGCCCTCACAAAACATACACACACACACAAGCACGTGCTTTGCGGCTTCTCCTGAAAATATTTTTGCAGTTCTGTAAACCTCGGGGTTAAAGACTCCTTGGCCTCTGGGTCAGTATGTGCAGTAGGTGGAGGTGTGAGCCTCTGACTAATTCAAAAATAGCACCCCAGAAGAGATAATACAAAGCACAGGGACCGGCAGTTAAATTATGCATAACAAACACACAGGATTTCAAAACTAAGAAAGTTAGAGAACAATCCTATGGACACTCTCTGAGGTCAGAGGAGATGAGCTCTGATTCCCTCCCGCTGCCCCTCGCAACCAGTGTAGAAAGAAGCATGCCAGCTGTTCTCCAAGGTTGGAAGAGCGAACTTGGAGGAAGGGGGCATTTGGGAGGGTGGGAAGGAAAGGAGACCAGTAAGCCCAGGATATGAGCTATCCTGATACCTCGTCAGCTTCTTCCCCTTAACATGCACACTCCAAGACACCCCAGATAGACAGGAAAAATGATGATGATCAATGATTATCGTTAGTATTATTGATGTGATTAGACTGCATTTGTATCCCATTTTGCTTCCTCTTGCAAGGAGCCCGAGGCAACTTACAAAATTCTCCTCTCTATTTTATTCTCACAGCAACAACCTTGTGAGGTAGGTTAGGTGGGGGGGGCAGTGACTGGCACAACGTCATCCTGTGTGTTTCATGGTTGAATGGGAACTGGAACCCAAATCTCCAGAGTCTTAAGCCAAGCACGCTTAAGCGCTATACAAAGCTGGCTCAAAAAAGCCCATCTAGGGAAGCTACAGGGCAAGCAGCTGGATGGGCAAATATTGCTTCCACAAAACTCCCCCTCTTACAGCCATCACAATAGGACTAGGGCTGTCATGCCAGTTGCAGAGTTCTTCTGATCACATGAAGTGGATTGTCTGGATCAGAACGTAAAGGGTTTTTTTTTTGTGGGGACGGGGGGTTCAGTATGTTAAACCCACAGAGTACACCGATAAGTCAAGCAGTAGCAGAAAGTATTAATAGAAGCTGACCTCTTGCGATCCTCGATATTTTAGTGGTTACCCACTGCCAGAATGAACTGAAAGGGAAAAGGGGGAAAAAAACAAGAGAGTTAGATGCAGGTGGACGCTGAGCCAGAACAACAGGAATGCACACCAAGAATGAATTTTCTCAAAACAAAATGCATAAAGTGGAGGATAATTCTGTAAGCTGCCCTCAGTTGCTTGTGGGGGAAAAAGCAGGTTATGAATAGATAACAAACAAAACATAATCTCTGAAACAAAAGAAAAGCAGCTGGAAAAAATGCGGCTTAAAATCCGCAAGGCCACAAGAAGCAGCTTGTAGCTCAGAGGCAATAGTCCCTCTGCATGCAGAAGGCCGGAGGTTTGCTTTGCGGCATCTCTAGTTAAAAGAATTGGTTAGCGGTTGATGCAGAAGACGGCTGTCTACGAGGAGAGAGATATGCCAAGATCAGACAACTAGGCAAGAGGAAACATGCAGAATGAGGGATGGATTCCATTCTGGAATATTCTATGTGGGAGAAACTTCCTGGAGGTACTTCTTGTCATACCAATAGGTGGGGCCATGACCCAAGCATATTTTAATTTAAATTACACCTATTACTATTCTGTATTTAACTTCTACACTGACCAATAGCTGAAGCTCTCTGGACATGAAACACGGATCAGAAAGACAAAAAGGTGCACAGTTTTTTCAATTTACATCATTTTAAAAACAATGTAAGTTCAGTACAAACTAGACATGTTAAAATTACTGAAAAAACACCCCTATCATAGCGTTAAATACCCTTAAATGCAATTCAATGCTTGGGAGAAGAAGGTAGTCATAACCTAGCACCAAAGGGTAACAGTCCGCACTGGGTGGACCTCAATGGGCAAAAGTGGCCCAGCTTTTTTTTTTCTTCCCCTTTCAGCCCAGTAACTGGAAAAGTGTTTTGCATTTCCTTATTTTAATCTTGTCCTCTCTGCTGCACAGAGCCAAAGCTCACATTCTAGAGCAGAAATCTTTTTTTTAATGTTCTAGTTAAAACAGTAAGCTAAGTTGCTTCCCTAGCTTCCCAAATGGTGATACAGGCCCTAAGCTGAGGGTTAAGTGCTCTTTATTCAAGGCAAGAGGTCTGCCATCCATAGACAGATGCGCCTTTCACATTCATATGTACCTGCATTTTTATTTATTTATTTATTAAAACATTTTTATGCCGCCCCATTCGCCGAAGCCTCGGGGCGGCTTACAACACTAAGTTAAAATAATTATAAATCAAAAATATAAACATTAAATTAAAAATACAAAAGTACAGTATAAAATAAGCCGCCCTGGCCAGATAAAATCCAATAATATTAACAGTTAAAATGCCGCTTGAATAAAAAGGTCTTCACCTGGCGCCGAAAAACAAGTAACGACGGCGTCAGGCGGACCTCTCTGGGGAGCGCATTCCATAGATTGGGCGCCACCGCAGAGAAAGCCCTCCTCCGAGTACCCACCCTCCTTATTTCTTTCACGGAGGGTTCCCGGAGAAGGGCCTCTCCCGCAGATCTCAAGGGGCGGCCAGGCATATATGGATGTAAGCGGTCGTTCAGGTAACCAGGACCCAAGCCGTTTAGGGCTTTATAGGTCATCACCAACACCTTGAATTGGGCCCGGACTTCAATGGGAAGCCAGTGAAGCTGACAGAGAACTGGAGTCATGTGAACACAATGCCCAGTCCCCGTCAGCAGCCTGGCAGCTCTATTTTGAACCAATTGAAGTATCCGGACCGTCTTCAAGGGTAGCCCCACGTAGAGCGCGTTGCAGAAGTCCAAACGGGAAGTCACCAGTGCATGTGTCTAGCAGCTGACTTTCATTTTCTTGAAAAGCTGGAATTCACAGGCAGCTGGATTCCACACCTAGTATCACACTCTGGGATCACACGGAAACTCAGCATTTGAAGTGGGCTCGGAGTATCTAAACTGCCGTAAGAGAAACAGTAAGCCTGCTTCTCTGTTGCACGATGTCTGCACGGATGCAGTTCTCCCATTTCCGTTCAGAGCCACCTTCCCCAGCCTGAGGCCCTCCAGATGTCTTAAGCCACTCGTCTTATAATATGGCCGGAGGATTTTGGAAGATCTAGTCCAAGACATCTGAAGGACCCTGGATTGGGGAAGGCTGGCTGAATCATCCTGAACATTCAGGCCTTTGCTGATTTTACTCTGCCTTAAAAACCTTGGGACTGTGGAATCCTGGCTGCGGGCAAGTTTGGGAAAGGCCTGGACAAGGCTAAACATGCCTCCGTGAAGCCTTCTGGGTGCCATAGACCTTAATCAGGAGGCCCCGTGTGGGTGGGTGTGTCACTGTGGTTGACAGCAGCGCAACAAAGGAATCTTGAGTTAGTCGTGTTGGCACAGGGCGCGTTGGCACTTGCAGCTCTGGGCTCAAAGGAGGCTTGAGCAAGGCCTGGGGTTTGGGGATAGCCTACTCCAGAGGTGGCTTCTGTGACTCCCACCTTGCTTTCTTCAGAAACGTACTAATTTTGTGCTTAGGAAGATTTGAAGGGACCTGCTATCCCGTTTGTTCATCTCTCTAGGCCTACTAAAATGAGCAAGGGACTAGAGCAATTCCCCTGCAAGGAATTTCTATTGTTTAGTTTCTAAAGAAGGTAAATAAGAGGTGGCATGATAACGATGTACGAAACTGCACATGGACGAAAGAAGGGGCTGCGAAGAGATTTTTCCCCGTTGATACTAGAATCCAATCAGAGTCATCCCATGAAGCTGGTTAGTGGGATATTCAGGGCACAGACCTAACCCCATATTGTCTATTCCCCAGTGCTTTGGGGTGGATTCTTTCCCACCCCTGCTTGGAGAAGTAAGTACTGGATCAAACTTGGAGCTCTACCGAGGTACGGCCCTTCCCCACGTTCTAAACTCTATGAAGTTTGCTTCACGACTCCACAACATTAGAAGGATAACTAACTCATTTAAGGGTGGCACAAGACTCTTCATTGTTCTTGCTCAAAGAGCCGTAATATTTTTATTGCAAAACGAGCCTTCAAGACTCACCGCTGCAGCAGTGCCCTAAAGCATTCTCTACAGTGGGCAGATCAGCAGCACAAAATGACGCTTGCTCCCTCCGAAGTAAACCCTGCTTGGTCCAACAGGATTTTTTGACTCCTAAGTGTGTTTAGGATCACAATCAGCGGGGTGATGAGCTCTGTTAATTTGCTGGTGAGGGAAGCGGGCTGCTTCTGCTGAAAGACCCTTGCCATTTCACACTGGTCTTCATGTAACTTATGGCACAGAGAGCCGACTTTCTCCCACAGGAACAACTGGCATCAAGCCATTTCAACTGGTATCAAGCCATTTCAGCTCAAAACTCACAGGCCAAGGACTGTCAAGGAGCATATCCCACACCCCATCAAATCCACCTTGTGATCTTCCTTGCCTACTGGGGACAAATGCATTCTCCATAACCACATGCAGACACATAATGATTGAATTGGGCTGCAGGTGGCCAGTGAGACATCTTTCTCCCATATGATAGACATGTTCTCTAGATGTTTCAAAGCAGGTAGCATAGATGAAGGTACTTGGGCAACTGCTGGACCATCTAGAATAGAAACAGACATCTCGGTATAAACTGGTATTAGGGCTGCCCAGTCTTGAAGCTTAGAATTGTGCCATGTGCTGTATGTGGTCCGGAAAATGACCAAGATCCTCAGAAAGAAGCATCAGAACCTAGATGCCAACAGCTGCATCAGGAGAAGAAAGTAAAAGGGCTGACAAGATGGAGGATGTTAAACCTGAAGAGCAGTTCCCTGCCAAAGAGCAAGGAGAAGGCTCAGGACAAGAGGCAGGCATCAGCTATTCTGCCTTGACAAGTAACGCGACTGGATTCAACCTCAGTGCAGTGTGGAGAAGGGAGAGCTAACAAACGGGATGATAGTAAGTAGGTGCAAATATGTCTTACACAGAAGCAATCCTGGTACCAGTGTAGGAGGTATCAAGACATGATCATACCTGGAAGAGCATCCAGCAATGCCAAAGGGACATGACTGCACTGGTACGAGACGGTTGGCAGTGAGGTGCCCATAGTGCTGTTGGACATAGCACTCATCTCCGTCTCTTCACACTCCCCAATCATCCCAGGACTATCCGTACTGATGGGACAGTGGCCGCTGGAAGTGTTGGTCAAAATCAAAGGGAGGAGGGAGATTTCTTCCTCTCTCTAGAGAAGCCATAGCCCCAGTCTCCTCTCTTGTCATGATATACCCGCCACACTCCTGGTACTGAGACGCAGATGTATCCCAAATTTGCCCTTTGGAGGTAGAGGTGATCAGAATTGGCTCTTGCAGTAATGCAGGCATCGGAGAAACCAAAACAGGTGGCACAAGAGGACGGTCCACTTCTTCATGAGATCCAGAATCCCACTTTTCCTTTTAGGGAGAGTCTACCTTTTATTCTCACCTTTTTTAGACACCTCCTAAGTGAGTGCTAGTGTGAGTGATCTCCCCAGGGTTGGTGGGCCAACTGGGCCCACGGCAGGGGCTTGAGATGGGTAGGATGCAAGACCAGGGAGACTGACAGGTGGGTGTCCTGACCGGGGGGGGGGGGGGGGGGAGGCCAGTTCCCGCTGAGCCATCACCTTCTTTACAGCCTCAACCCCTTCAGTGCACATTGCCAGGGATCTGCACAGTTGGCTCTGTTTCTACAAGCCTGTTCGGTGAAGGCCTGACAATAGGCACTTGCCATAATACCCCGGCCCTCTCCCTGACCAGCTACATCAAGCCAGTGGCCGTCCATTCAGTGAAGATGAATGATCAGGGGATGTCAATTTCACCAACAATTCCTCTTTATTTTAAAACCCCCTCCCAAAAAAAAAAAAAAGAACCACACTCAACTCATTTTTCAGTCTCTAACAGAAAAAGAGGATCCCTGAGAGGAAACCCTGGTGGCAGTTCGAGAAGAGCTGAGGGAAAAGGTGGGACCCCATGCAGGCGAAACATGAAGCTCCCGCTAAACTCCTCAGCGATGGAAGCGTCCTGAACTGAGGCTCCGTGCAGCTGCAAAGCTTGTGACTATGATGCATACAGACCAAAGGGAAGGACTACGGCTTGCGCACCGAGAGCTCCTTCTCTTAATGGGCAATCCTACGCGTGATTAGACCAAAAAATAAGTCCTCTTCCCCAGCCAGACATACTAGAAATCATAAGAATCTTTTTCTATCCACACATGCCTAGGTTTGCACCCTTAGCCACTACATTATGCTGGCTGAGAAAGGGTAGCTTTCTCAACAAGTTTACAGAGGAGGAAAAAGAGTCCACTATGGGCCAGGGCCAAGGCCAAGGCCAACAGCTCATTCAGTCAGCCGCCCTGGTCCTCACGAAACTGGTCTTCAACAGCTGGGACAGGGCCAACCGCTACACCACGGCCTCATCCAAGTTTGATCAGCCAGAGAAGCCTACCAATCAAGTCTATGCAAGTATATTATAGATCTTTAAGCTGCTGCTCATGTTCTACCTAGTCATAATTTTTCATTCATTTTAATACTGAAGTTTTGAACTTTAAAATTGCATTTTCTCATCCTCTATTTTATTATCTTAAGTACACAGCAAGAGGCATGGCATCAGATCAGCAGTCTGTCTAGTCTGGCATTCTGTGCTCACAGAAGCCAACCAGTTGGCCTACTGGGAATCCAACTAGCAGGATACAAATGCATTAGCACCTTCTTGGCCAGATTCCTCAACAAATGGTATACGTAGGCACTATTTATGGTACTGGCTTTAGCTATTATAAACCAGCCAGAAAGGTATGCAAATGCAATAAATATATAGATGAATCGCCACAGTAGTGAGGTGTTATTGCCTATCAGAGGCAGCATGCTGGGCTGGGTGGTGGTGTTACGCTCAGGTCCTACTTGTGGGCTTCCAGAACGTACCATAAAGAGGGGGAACAACCATTGGGAGGAACAAGAAAAGGTGGGAAGAAAGAGACAGAGCACGAATCTCAAGACAAACGCAACAATTAAAGAAGCAAGAAAGAAAATTGGGCACCCGTGTGCACCATCTCTCCTTCTATTGCCACCTGGCCTCCTCTTTTTTACCGCAGCCCAAGTTTCCTCAGGAATGCCTTGCAATTTAGGGCTGCTGGTAAGAAGGGGCAGGCACCCTGAGAAGCCAGTGCAAGGCAGCACGCCAACCCCATCTCTTCCACCATCACTACACCTACTGAATGCTTGCTTCTCGTTTTACACACACGCACATGCATCTTTTGTTCCAGGCCTGGCTGTTTGAAGCATGTTTTTTTCCTAATAAAAAGGCCAGGATTGGGATAGGCAAACTGAGGCAAGAGCAGAGTTATAAAGAGAGAGGAGGGCAGTTTTCTGCAGGTTCCTAGGGTCAGCTTTGGTTTATACTTCCAATACCAGAGCTTGCAAGTATAATTAAAAGAGCTTCTCTGAACAATGAGCCAAAAGCTATGGCAGCTATTCCATACATCTGCAGTTCAAAGAAAGGCATTCTGGGTCACGGCAGGCGGCATCCCATCAGGTGTGGAAGCTGGTACCTTTCCTTTTAGAGGCAGCTCTCCGAGGAACAAAGCGTTCAAGCGAGCAGTCTGCAGCAAGGGAAGCCCCTTCCTCAGTGGATGCTCAAAAAACAGGTGTCCATCACTTCTGGACAAGCTACAGACTCGCAAGAAATAAACCACTGTTGATACTGTTCCTCCCATACTAGCAATTCCTGCCAGGGAACAACCTGCCTTTTCCCAGTACATTAGAGATCACAGCAAGATTCCACAAAAGTACAGTGGTACCTCGGCTCATGAATGCCTCAGTTCATGACCAAATCGGGTCGCAAACAGAAATTTAGGGAAAAAATTCCTCGGGCCGCGAACTCTGCATTGGGGGACAACTGCGATCCCCCTTAAGCGCGCTCACAGTCGCACCCATCTTCCCCGCATGAGCGCACCCACGATTGTGCCCGTTTCCCCTCCCAGAGAGCCCGCGATCATGGCCATCTTCCCTGTGATAAAAAAAATTACGGAACAGATTAACCTTATTTACATTGAACCTTATGGGAAAATTTGACTTGGCTCACAACCAATTTGGGTCACGACCAGAGTCCTGGAACGGATCAAGTTCACGAGCCAAGGTACCACTGTAGCAAACATTAGCTATCCTCAGAAAGTAGCATGCTGATATTTTTTCTAAGCAGAGTGACCGCAGAGTTGCTTTGGTACCAACTCCAAGCCCAGACCAGACTGATATTCAGCTTCCAGTGGGGAGGGGGGTTCCCTATAGAAAAGGGACGTGGCAAGTGAAACATTGTTTACAAATTTTCACATCTCCTTGTCCATTAGTGTAGCAGTGAGCAAACTGTGTATACATGTGTGTACTTTTAACCTCAATCTCGAAAATGCGCCAATCAGAGACAGTTACAGGAGGCATTTTCTGAGCCCAGCGTCTTGGGGAGTGGGGGCTGTTGCGTTGTTGATGAGAGGAGAGGGGCCGAGTACCAAAACCGAACCAAACATACACCCCACCCAAATCCACCGATGCATACCCAGCTGGCCCAAACTTTCTTCATTTCAACACTATAAATTAAGGAGTGTGCATCTGTCCTGCTTGCAGCTGCTGTACTCAAACAGCCGGGTCTCAGAAATCTCTCGCAGACCAGCTTGCAAACCACAACCTGACCATCTGCCATCCAGATCTACCTTTTTCCTGCCTTCCCCAGACACCGAAAGGCCCTACAGATAAACACACCTGCAACATTAGACCCCAATTTCTTTAGGTGTAAAAGAAGGTGCACAAGACACAAAGCTCTCCGCACGTTTAAATAGGGAGGGCAAGTAATACAGCTCCCAGCATTCACCAGCCATTCACACAGCTGGCCGGTGAATGCTGGGAACTGTATGACTTTTTCCTCATCCCTATTACAACCACAGATAATAGCATCCTAAGCAACACAAGCCAGAATAAAATCAGCAGTGAGGGAAGAATGAATGGCGAGAGAGCAAGAAAAGAGAAATCTGGGCAGGGGTGAATCGGAAAGAGAGCTCAGGGGCTCCTCTCCGCATGGACTCTAATACATGCTTCCCTTCCTCCTCAGCTACACCATCTTTGCTCCATGCACCACACGATCCCATTACGCCTCTCCTCCCAACTCCCGCTCTCCATCCCCGGGTGCTGCTCACCTCCAGGCGCTCTCTGCGGGGAAGGGGGAGCTAGTCCTGTTGCCGCCAGGCCCGGAGCAGCAGGCTGGGGATGCCAACAACGTGGGAGATCCGGCTGGCGAAGGCTCTCCCATTCAGGTCGAGCGCCTGCGTGTGGAATTTGCCCCTCCTCTTTCCTCCCACTAGATGCCTCCACCTTCGGGCAAGCAGCGAGGGAAAAAAACCCTCTCCGCTTTCCCCCCGCCTGTCCCGCTTTCCCCGCTTCGCTTTTCTTCCTCCCCCTGCTACTCTGCATGCGAGCATCATCCACTGGAGTGGTGTGATGGAGCAGGTTACTCCAGATCAATGCCCTCTGACCTCCTCTTCTCCCATCACCACCACTTGGCCGCCCCGCCGCTCAGTCTCCGCAGCCTTTGCAGCTGCGCAGGCTCGCTCCTCATTGGCCGCCCGCCGCTCACGCCAAGGCGTGTGGCGAGGCGAGGAGGAAAGGGGGCGTGGCCGGCGAGACGCTGTGGCCTGAGCCGCTTCAGGCGCCCTCCCATTGGCCGCCCGGGGAGACACAACAGAGCAGGTGGGAGAGGCAACGCGAAGGGGGGGGTCTGCCTTCGCTCGGGCGAGAGCAGCATTGACTTGTTGGACCGCATCGTGGCCTCGCAGGCAGGCAGGCAGGCGAGCGCCGGCCGTGCTCACCGTGGCGCTTTGCAGCTGCGCTGCGCTGCCTGTTACCGCGTCTCTGGCCAGCCGCGCTGGGCTAGGCAGGGCCCGCGGACCGAGAGAGAGAGAGCAGCAGCAGCAGCAGCAGCAGCAACCACCGCGCGCAGATTTGCAGAGGCTGACTTGCATATGCTCTGCAGCGCCTCGGCCGCGTCGTGCATCTTGGTAAACGAGTCTACCCTCCTAGGAACACCCTGTTTGTACAAAGGGACGTATAAGCGTTGGGTTGCAGGAAATCTTAAGCAGGAGGATTCAAAGTGGCCAGAAAGATGCCACAGATGCGTGGCTGAAAGGACAGACCTCGGCCAGCTGAGATCTTCAGGGCCCCTGGACCTTTCTGTCAGCAAGTGCCCGTGGCCCACAGAGTTACGGGGCTAATGGGCTCGCCAAGATTCAGGAGCTTCTTCCCAAAACCACCTGTGGCTGGGAGTTTTATTTATTAGAGTTGTAGCCAAACTTTTTTTTCTGCAAGGAACCAAATCATTCTCCTCTTCACTTTGCCCTGACATCAGCCTTTTCGGGTGGGTTTGGGTGAGAGTCCATGACTGGCCAAAAGTCACAAATGAGCTTTGCAGTCTGACATGCGGAGGGTGCCAGGTAACTTCGCCTTGCAGAAAACATAAATGTAAGTCTTGGTTGCATCATTAGAATCATGGCTTTCTAAGAGTGCTGTCCTAGGGATTTCCCAGTGATAAAATCCTGGAGTTACAGGGCACAATCTTCCACTCTCCAGACAGAAGTCTGACAACTCCCAATATTTCGCAATGCTGCACTGGTCAGACCTCACGTCAAACACTTGACTACTTCTGGACAACGCATTTTAAAAATGATCCAGAGAAATCAGAGCAAATTCAGAGAAGGGCAACCACACTGTAGAGCAGAGCTGGGCACCGTACGGCCCGCGGGCCACATCCGGCCCGATGGCTGACCCTGACTGGCCCGCATGAGGTCGCTGGCAAATTACAAGTCAATGCAAATATATATCATCGTAATATAGATGCAGGCAAGACAACTGCACTGCTTTTATTTTAAAGGATCTGCTAAATTGAATTTATTGCTTTTCATGTAATGTTAATGTTTGTGTGAATATTCATTAAATAGTGTTGTTCTGTGCTCCACATTTTCATTGTAATGTTTCATTTACTGTTTTTATAGAGAGATATATTGAGCAGAGCTGTAAGTGTATTGGTCCGGCCCTTAACAACTGTCAAAGTTTCTCATGTGGCCCCACAGGAAAATTAATTGCCCACCCCTGCTGTAGAGGATGCTAGAAACTTAAGTCCTAGAAAATATTGAAAGGACTGGATATGTTTAACTTGCAGAAGAGAAGACGATGGCAGACAATAAGAGAAGCAAAGAATCATATTGAGGAAGTAACGAATGAGACCAACAATATATCAGAAATGTCTTTACCAGTAAATTTAAAATATATCAGAAAAAAGAAACCAGCTAGAGGCAACTGGACCACTGGATGATAATGGAATTAAAGGAGCACTCAAGCAGGATAAGAAGATTACAGAGAAGCCAGATGATTTTTAAAACTCTGTCTTCACAGCAGGCAATACAGAGCAGATGCGTGTTACTGACCCTGAGGAAGTAAGACTGAGGAATTAAGGCAGATAGTGTTATGTGCCACCAAGTCATCTTCATCCTGAATGAAAGCCCTCTAAAACGTCCTGCCAGGCAGGTAGTAATGAAAAAGATTACTTTCTTAACACCAATAATTCAACAAGTCTAGATTTTGTCCATACTAGAGTTCTTAAAGAGCTCAAATTGCTGACCTCCTTACCAAGATATTTAAGCTCAGCATTTGTACCAGAGGATTGGAGAATGGCCAATTTAACACCTATTTTTTAACAAGGGATCCAGGGAGAGACAGGGAATTACAGGAAGTTTAGAATAATAGAGTATTAGAGTTGGAAGGGGCCAGAGAGCCATTGTGTCTAACCCCCTGCACAGCACCAAGTTAAGTCATCCCTCTCAGATAGCTGTTCAATTCCATCTCCAATATCTCTTGTGCGGGGGTGCCCACAACCTCCCTAGGCCATTGGTTTCGTTGTCATACTGCCCTAACAATCAGGAAATGTTTACCTCTCTCCAGTTTGCTGTTGTATTGTATTGTATTGTATTGTATTGTATTGTATTGTATTGTATTGTATTTAGGGAACTTCTATGCCGCCCCATTCGCCAAAGCCTCGGGGCGGCTCACAATCATAAATAAATCAGAAAAGATTTCAGCCTACAGTTCTGAATAGACAGAAAAGACAACTTTGTTCTTTGAACATTACATTACAGTCCATTACTGTACATAATGGTTACACTAATTTATATATTTAAGTTAGTATATGCTTCCAAGTAAATCATAATGACAGATTTGGTATGGTGAACATGGGGGTTTCAACGTTCTGGAAAAAGAGGCAAACACCCTGTTGGTGAGCACTGTGGATCCACATGATCATTGTTCCATCTAGTCCACTTTTGTTAATTTTCTAATCAAGATGCCATGTGGCACTTGGACTTCTCCTTAGCTTGGTGGGCAGTAACAGACTCCAACCATTGTGTTCCTTATATATTGTGATTTATTTTATTGTGATTTCCTTATATATATTGTGAGTTATGGAATGCGCTCCCCAGAGAGGTCCGCCTGGCGCCGTCGTTATTTGTTTTTCGGTGCCAGGCGAAGACCTTTTTGTTTAAGCAGTATTTTAAATGTTAATATTATTGAATTTGGCCAGGGCGGCTTGTTTTATATTGTATGTTGTATATTATATATTTGTATTTTAATGTATATATTTTAAAATGTTATTTTAATTTATTGTTGTAAGCCGCCCCGAGGCGTCGGCGAATGGGGCGGCATAAAAATGTTTTAATAAATAAATAAATAAATAAAATATATCCTGCCTTTTCCCTACAAAGGGCTCAAAGCAGCTTACATCTTCTCTCCTCCTCCATCTTATCCCCACAACAACCCTGTGAGGTAGGTTGGGCTGAGAGGCTGTGGCTGGCCCAAAGTCACCCAGTTGGCTCCACAGCCAAGCGGGGACTAGAACCCGGATCCTCTGAGTCCCAGTCCCGTGCTCTTAACCACTACGCCACACCGGCTCTCCTTGCTCCATTTACAGTAATGCAGATGCTCTTGATGGTGCTATTAAGCTCATCCTCCTGTATTTGTGCAGAGATTATAGATCTTTAACAAGTAGTGCAACTATTTATCTTTAATGTATAATGCGACTCTGCCTCCCTTCTATCCTCCTTGAGCAGCCTGTGTCCTCCAGTTGCAGAATTCCACTCATGGGAGTCATCCCACCAAGTTTCAGTCATGCCTATCAGGTCAGATTCACCCTCCCATATTAAAGAGTTCCAAGTTCATGCTGTTTGTTTCTCATACTCCAGTATATAGATATCACACACTTTACACACTAGCTTCCTTCCTACATTTTTAGAAGACTATTACCGGGCACTGTTAGAGCTGTTCTCTGTTGTGGTGCACAAGTCTTTGTCTGTTGTTATGCCCAGGGGTACTTCTCCCTCCCCTGTACAATTCAGTTTAAAGCGTTCCTGATAAACTATTTCACGCTGTGGCCTTCTTGCCAGGGGTTGCAAGGGGCAACCCATTCTTTGTCACCATTATACCTGGTAGTGTATTCTGCAGACCCTCTCCCAAAAACTGGAAGGACTGAAGAAAAAAAAATTACCTGGACCTCAAAGTACTCAACTCTCCTCCCTAAAGCTTCAAAGTCTGACATGATAACTTAATAAAACCAATTGTTGTGTCTATTAAATGTGTAAAGGTTGTCCAAGTATCACACAATGCATATCTATAGCTGCCAAATGTTGCTCACAATTACCTGCCAACCTTGGTACTTATAACACTTTCTCAAAAAAATTGTCTCAGCTAGGGCTTTCTACATCTGTATTTTAATCTGTATTTACATTTGTTGTCATCAGATATACAAGCTATCTTTGCCAATTGTTTCAAAATATTTAAACCAAAGCCTATACTTTTTTCACAGCTTCTTGTCCACACCTATTAACCACCACCAGGATGCTTGTCCTATCCCTTTCTCTCCAACACACGGAAATGGTAGCAATTCCATTTTTATACATGCCTAGGATTGGACTACAAAATTAGCACTGCAGCTCGATCCTCCAAATACGTTTTGCATAAGTATCTCAATTTAAGGCACGATGTACCTTGTTCGTTGTACACAGCACCCACGCTGAAAGGCAGTATGTACTTTTAGAGACAGCAGTTCCTACACTGCACGTCTTGCAGGTGTCATCTTCCATCTTTTAAAATGTCTATTATTCACTTTCATTCTTTGTGCCTCCTTTCTACGAGATATTCGAATAGCCAGCACACACAGAGAGGCTTTTGTGTCTTTAGTCCCTTCCTCTGAACTTCCGAAATTCGTTCCGCAACTGCACACCCCTTAAGCAGACGAGAGGAGGAGGACGGGAGCCGCCCCGAGGTCCTCGCGATGCAGAGACGGGGCAGAAACCTCACAAATCCTTAAACGCCTCGCCCGCACCTACACGCAGCGCGCCCCCGCGAGGCTCATCCTCCTGCGCGTCCCCTCACGCCCCCCCCGCGAATCCTCGGCGGGCGGGCACGCGCCGCGGAAGGCGGGAAAAGGCGGGAGAGAAGGCGGAGGGCGCGCGCGCGGCGACGCGCACGGCCTCAACCCCAGCGCAGGCCTCCGCCGGGCCCGAGCACGCTTTGGGGGCGCGAGGGCGAGGGCGGCTGACTGAGGGAGGGCGCGCCGCGGCCTGCTTGCCTCGGAACGGACCCGGCTGAGCGGGGAGGGGGGGAGAGGGCAGCACGAGGGAAGCACCAGGCCTCAGCTGCCCGACCGCGCGGCGGGACAGGTAAAGGGGCCGAGGCGGCAGAGGAGGGGCGCGCTCGTGGTCCGCGGGGTGGGGGCACGCGAGAGAGAGAGAGAGAGAAATGGGGTGGGGCCTCCCCGCGTGATAAGGCGCTTGTGCGGGCGGAGCGCGCGCCCTCGGCACGTCGCGGGGAGGGAGGGCGAGGGCACGCGCACGTGCTCTGGCGGGTGGGCGGTCCTGCCGCTGGCATCGGCTGTGGGCGCGGGACGTGGGCGCGCCAGCGCGTTGTTATGACGTGGCTCGGCGCGGCGGATTGTGGGATGGTGACGGGGAGGGTTTGAATTGCTGGCGGAAGAAGGGCGCCAGGCCAAGGAAGGGCAGGCTTTTTGTCTTTTTTTAACGGTTAGTCCTCCAGAGCGGACCGCTTGGGATCGCTGGGATTTAAGGCAGTCGGGGCAGACGGAACTCCCCGCTCCTTTCGGTGGGTCTGCTCGAAGGAGCAAGCCGGCCTTGTAGATCGCGATGGGCTTGACCCGTTGATTTCAATGGGGCAGCTCTCAGGATGCGTAAATCAGCGTAACTGATTTACGCCCCACTGATTTCAGGGGGTCTGCTGTGAGGACAAAGTTACTGGGATCGTGACTGAATTGTCCTGAGCTCAACTCTGTGGTTGTGACAGCGATAACCATTTAAGTCCCCATTGATTAATACACAAAAGTTTATATTACTACAACAAGAAGGCAAGACTGACTTAAGTCCTGTTGAAATCAGTGGGTCTTAAATTATTATTGACAGGTCCCACTGAATTCAATCAGACTACTCTTACTATTTTTTAATTATTTTTTGCAGGTTTACTAAATCTGCATCCAACTCAAATCTGCATGCAAGTATTATGAGAGTAAAACATATCTTTCTCCACACTGCATAGTTTCGAACTACTTTACAAAGCATCTGATTGAGTGCTGAAAAAATATAACTCAGACTGCAAAGTTCACATGTTACACATTTGAGTGTCATCTGGCCATAGAATGCTGTTCCTATTAGGGAACAGAACTCCTAACTCAGGAGTTTGTTTTTTTCATTGCAATTCTTATATTCCACATTTCATGATAAAAATCCTTTCTAGGCAACTTAAAAAGATGATGAAGCTATATAAAACCACAACAATAAATACGAAACACAACTCAAAAGGATCATCCCCCAGTTTAGTAAAAGGCCATTTGGGGAAGGGGCAGAGGCCAGGAGCCTGAGATGAGCTTCACCTTCCCATCTGCCTCTCTTTCTACGTACCCTGTGCACAGGGCAGTTAATAGTCAATTGTCCTGTGAGAAAAAAGAGAGGCAGGTGTTTCCCTGTCTCTCTTCTGCTACATGGTTGGACTGGACCACTTATTTCCACCACAGAGAAATACTATTATGGAATTTACCACCCCAAGATGTAGTTGGGCCACTAACTAGGATCTGTATGAGGCCACCGGGGGAGAAGAGGACACTCCCCTTCCACTGTGCCCATGACTTGCTGAACTTTGCAGCCAAATCTAATGCCTGTATTTGCATTTTTCTTCCTCTGTCCCAGTGTCATTCTTTAAATTGCAAGCCTGTGGGAAGGGACTGTCTTATAAAATATCTTTGTTAGCTGCCTTGGAAGGCATTTTGGCTAAAAAGCAGGATAGCAATGCTATAAATAAATGCAAAAAAGTATTACCACAGTGAGAGCCAGTGAGGTTTAGTGTAAGACTGTTATCCCCTGGCATCTATCTCTCCTGTATGTTGAGATTTTTTACCTGGGCTTATGTAAGCCAATCTGCATGTGAGACCCTCTGCTTGTAAAACATGTGCCCCTTTTAACGGTATCAATCCTAAAATGCTAACTTTTAAAAATCAAACATCCCCTATGTTAATTTCTTCATTTACCTCTCAAATGAGGGCTTCCAGCTGCATCCCCAGACTCCAGCAAACAGAAGGATTCTTATTTTTTTCTAGGATCTTACAGGTTGCTTTTGTTTTTTCAGCAAGTGCGCAACTCTGAAAAGCTTGATTCAAGGAGATCTTGTTCTCTTTGAGTGCAACCTAGGAAGGAACATGGATCATCTGGCATCATTCAGCAGTAAGTTTCCAACACACTCTTTAAAAACAACACCTGACTCCTCAGTAGGCATTTAGCATGAGATGGCCTGAACCCAGTGAGATATGGATATGTTCTTCTCCATAATGACGTGACAAAAGTCAGTTCAGAATGGTTCCAAAGGGGAGCCATTGTTGCAGCAAAATCATCAGTCTTCTGCTACGTATGCCTGAAGCAGTACGGAGAGTTTCTAGTGTTTATACAGTTCATATAGTGTGTAAGGATCAGACGGAAATTAAGGCAGAACGAGACAACTGCATTATTTACAGTTGTCTTGCGCTGTAGTTGTGGGTAACACAAACATCCTGGCCCAAGTTCAATTAACATTTAAGCTAAGTCAATTAACAATTAAAATGTATGCCCCAACTCATTCCTCTGAAGTAGCCGGAAAAACATCACTTGCAAGTTCTAGCTGTCAATAAGTAAAGACTTAAACCCGAATAAAGATAGAGCAGGACTACAGCTCCCATCATACTACAGGACTGGCTGAGCTAGGAGGGGCTCCAGAAGCAGCCAGGCTTGTGTTGTTCACCTTCCAGCATGGTGCGACTTCCGGAAGGGTAGCCTAGTCTGTTCATTTTGCTGCAACAATCTCAAGCCACAATCCTGTGCATGTTTAGACAGAAAAATGTCCTATAATTCCAAGTACAGAATCATAGGATATGAGTGTTTAGTGGACTAGGATCCTGCACATCTGATGCATGAAGTCTTATCCTATGGGACCCAACTAGAAACACAGCAAAATGCATAATTACATCCCACATGTGGTTTTTAATGTAAATTAATAGGTGCCGGGAGTACCCTGGTTTTTGTCAGGATCACAGTGCACTGGGACAAGAGGATTAACCCTTGTTTCTCTGCTCCCCATCTTTTCCTCCAATAAAACTTCCTGTCTTGGAGGAAAACAATTTCCCACTGGAACCAATGGAAATTACCCTTCCCTTGCATCTTGAATCTTCCCTTGGGGGAGGTTTTTTCATGAGGACCAAAGCAAAGAAGGAAAGGGTTTTAATTTTCCTTTCCACATGCTGCAACCCCAGCAAAAAGGGGATATCACATTTTGTTTGACCCTAAATGGCCAGGTGAAATGAAGTGTTCTCCTGGATAATACTAGGCTGCCATTTCCTAATAGAGGGATTTTAAAGAGAGACTTTATTGTGAAATCACCCAGTTAGAGCTCATCAGTTTGTCATATGATTCTATCTTGACATGAATAAGGGCAATGATTTCCTGTTAAGTGACAAGTGCTAATTAGTTTAGTGATGCTAGGGTGAATGTGCTCTGGTACTTAAGAATGCTCCAGAACTTAATTGAATTCTGTCAGACTATTTTCTGCATCTCATTGCCATTTGATCAATAAATTGGTTAAGCCACAAGGTGCCACCAAATTCTTTTTTCTTCCTGTCCAGAATCTTTTGATCTTATGAATGCTATGACTAATTTTCCATGGCTATGTCATAAACCATTCCTTGGTTAGCTGTTACTGAATGGCTTTTGAACCTGACCAAGCAGACGCAATTGCTACAGCATGTAAACCCTTCACTGAACGTCGAGAATTGACTCTCCCAGTGCCCAACACATGGATACCTGCCCTTTGTCAGTTTCTGTGCTGATAGCAAATCAAGGAGTCTGCCTTGCTAAACGGTGCCCACGCTACATGTTTTCTTGGTCTTGCTGGCTTCACAGATGACCCTTTTGACAAACCGCCATGCCGAGGATGCTCCTCCTACCTTTCAGAACCTTACATAAAGTGTGCAGAGTGTGGGCCACCTCCTTTCTTGCTGTGCTTGCAGGTAAATTTCGTTTACAAATGGAGAGAGGGCAGCAGGAGGACTCTGTCGCCAAGTCTGTGACATCTAGCAGTGTGTTGTGGTTCGAGGGTGGGGCTGGGACTCGGGAGAAGCAGGTTCAGTGGCCATGAAGCTTACTGGGAAACTGTGAGCCAGTTGCTGGCTTCCACCCAAATGGTTCCTCACAAGGTTGTTGTGAGGATGAAACAGAGAAGAGGAGGAGGCTCATCGACACCACTTTGGGCTCCTTGGAAAAGAAGTCAGATAGAAATGTAACGAACAATACGTACCCCAAGAACACTGGAAGGCAGTTGGCCAGGCAACTGGAAATCACAGATGTCTGGCAGACAAGAGCCCCCAGCTGTTGCTTTTGGTTTGATAGTTGGCACTGCCTTACAGGTCCCCAGATGCCACAAAGTCTTGTGAGGATCTTCCGCAAGCAAAAATGGCTTCTTGACAACCTGGAACCATTAATCACAGTTAGCTCTATTACGTGCATGCAGGGCTGGTTCCAAACCCCAAGCTGCCCGTATTGCCATTTAAAGGTTTTATTACTCAACACCAATAAAAGGAGACTTCATGTTAGAAATGTTTCAGGCAATATGCTAGTGGGCAAATATTTATTTGTAATAAACAGCATATCTGGGGAAAAGGACAGGAATGCTTCCATTTACCTCTTTAGTCACTATAGCATCCATGATTCCTCAAACCTGTCTACAGAGAGGGAGGGAAAACTAATTTGATGGTCATATTCCTTGTTTTGCAGTGTTTCACAAGAGGATTTGAATACAAGAAACACCAGAGTGATCACACCTATGAAATAATGGTAAATCTCCAATTCTCATTCTCTCAGAATAAGAGAGAACTGTAGCTTGAACTCCCAGAAGATAGCGCCTACTAGAAGATTAACTAGACATTACTTTGTAGAATAATAATGATTTTATTTTAACTATGTTAAAATAAACCTAGTTAAACTAGGCAAACCAAGTTAACCTAGTTAATGATTTTAACTAGGCAATGAATGTTTGCTAATCATCTGTTACTCAGAACAATTATGCTTTTCATTCCACTGAAGCTCCCGAATGATTCCCCACTAAATAGTTTATTGTATTTTGTTTTCTTAGTCATGTCATGACACTTCTAGAATTGCAACCCGCAGATAAGCTAGTGAGGAGGTTCTTGATACATTAACAAAACTTTTATAAGCTAACAGTAATTATAGCTTGTGAGACAGTTTACATTACTTGACATCATTATTTTAAATTCCTCTGTATGGGGTGTGGAGCAACTACAGCCTTTAAACTCGCCTTCCCTAAGTTGACACCCTCCAGATCTGTTGCAGTCAATTCCCTATGTTCTCTAGCCTGCCATGCTGCCGGGGAGGATGCTGGGAGTTGTAGTCTAACCCATCTGGATAGTGCAGGTTTGGTGTCTAGACCTCAGCCGCTAGAACTTACCTGCATTTTTTGTTTGTACATCTCAGGATGCAATGAATATTTACAACTCTGCATATCAATTTTGGCTCATGGCCTCTGGAGGGAGTCATTGAGTTGCCTACACAGACACTATTTTGGACTTCTGCAAGGGCTGGAGTCTCTCAGTGGCACCCTTTCCTGAAATTCTCAAAACTACCAGAAAAAAACACTGCATGTATTCAGCACACTGTTGTGGTGGCATTCCTAAAGTAGCTTTAGCAATGAGAACAAGATCAGTCAACTTTTTAAAGCAAATGGTTGGATGTGTTTCGTCATCACACCAACTACCTGTGTCTATTGAATCACTTTTTCTAAAAGGCAGCGAGTGGAACAAGTGTTGCCTAGAAATGTAAGTTTTCCTGACTCAAACCTGGAAGATGCAACCACTCCTCCCTTTGTGGATACGACATACGACACGAGCCCGTAAAAGCTCGGAGAAATAAGCTCCAAGTCAGGAGTGTTACACCTGAACCCGTTCCAATGGTGGGCAGGTCAAAGGAAAAGGGAAGGACAAAAAGAAACAAAGAACAGCCCCATGTGTTGGCATAAAGGACTTACTGGCAGCAACAGAGCCTTAGGAGAAGCATTTCAACCTTTAGGATGAGGAAAAACCAGACAACAAGCTGGGGGGAAATGTGAGGCTGGGGAAGCTGGGCTGGAACCAAAGGAAGGTGGCATGACCACCTGGGGAGGGCCAGATTGAGATCTGGAGACGGAAGAGAGGGCAGCTTTGGCCTTGGTTTCCTATCTCTATTATAGGTGAATATTCAAGGAAAGTGGATGAAAGTAGTAAAAAATTGTTATATGTGTGCTTTAATATATTGTTTTGCCGCCTAATCTTTGGGCACAAGATAGGTTAAGAAACAAAGCCTACATTCTTGAATATGGGCTACTTGAATTCCATGCAAGTCCACTTAGGTTTTCAAACAGTCTGACTACATACACCTGGAATGACCTCCTTCAATCGTTTCCTCCCTCTCCAGACCTCCAACTTCCCTGTGCTGGATCCTACTTGGACAGCGCAAGAGGAAATGGCCCTCCTGGAAGCTGTGATGGACTGTGGCTTTGGAAACTGGTGAGAATTAATGCCTAATTAACCACTGGTATCTCTTTTGACATCTGCCAGTTTGCAGTGGGAATACTGTCCTCTTCCTCTTCCAGGCAGGATGTAGCCAATCAGATGAGCACCAAGTCGAAAGAGGAATGTGAAAAGCATTACATGAAACACTTCATCAACAACCCCCTCTTTGCATCATCATTATTAAACCTGAAGCAGGCGGAAGAGAGCCAGCACACCACAGCCATTCCGTTTTACTGTAAGTGCCCCTCTCAGTGAAAGATGCCGCTTCCCATTCCGTTGGGCCTATGGCGAGGAAGGGGCTTGCGGACACTTGAGCGAGGGCGCTAGGAAAAAATGCACATGCGAGCACTGGGGAGGCTTGTGTCACATGACTGACGAAAGGTGTGATCCTATGCAAGTTTAGGCAGAAAAACGACCTGTAACTTGTAGGATGTCCCAGGCAGGAGAGAGGGTTGTGGACCTTTTGGATGATCTAAACTTGCATAGGATTGGACCCTAAAGAACTAAGTTGTGGGGGGTTTTCTGTATTGGTACAAAGTCCAAAGATAAAGGGCCTCAGTGGAAGGCTCTTCCTCAGATACAGGAAAGGCCGCACCACACACCTTAGGTAACCCATTCTCAATCCTACACTGGGATGCAAAGAAGGTACCTGTCCATCACATCTCAGGGTATGAATGGCATGATAAGGGAACAGGTGGTCCTCTACGTACCCTGGAAACAAGCCATTTGGAGCTTTATCTTGCACTTGAGAAAGACCGATTGGGAAGTACAAAGGTATTTTAGTTATTTTTCATTCTGTTCTAAACTATAAGGCATCAACCCAAGTCCTCATTTCATCTCACTGTTTTGCTCAGAGTAGTGTCGCAATGGGATACAGAATAAGAACAGATATCAGATCATTGCTTTTGCTGCTTTTCTTACCCAGTCACGTTTAGACCGTTCAGCTCTCCCTGTCCCTTTTCTCAAACCCTGGCTGGGAATTGGGGAGATACTAAGAATTAGCTAAAAACAGGCATTCCTGTTGTTTTTCCAGCTTCTGAAGATCCTCCGAGACCTACCTTTGACTCCCTGCTCTCAAGGGATATGGCTGGATACATGCCAGCAAGGGCAGATTTCATTGAGGTAGGAATCACATTTGCTTTCCTCACCAAAGAGAAATGCAATTGCTGTTTTGCTTATGTAATTTCATCATTTCGTTTATATGGTTTTTCCATCAATCGATATTGATTGGAGCCGCTTACAAAAATGCGCTGTGAGCCAGGGCGGGTCACAAAGCATTGTCGAACATGACTGAAATGCCCGTTCGCAGTTAATCCTGCAGCTTAAAATCAGCTGCAGTTTCTGGAATGTTTTGAAAGGCCGTCCCATATACAACATATTGCATTGGCCTAACAGAAAGCTTATTTAATCTTCATTTTGTAGAATACTCTACAGCCCCTGTTGAAGGAATTCTATCATTTTTTAAATAAAGATATGCAGTTAACTACTTGTGATTCCTCTGTATGAGATCCCCACTGCCAGCTGCAATGTTTTTCTCATGTAATTCTGTTGTACAACTTATAGGACATTTTAAAATGATGACATCAGCAGTCTAGGGGCATTTTGTGGTGGGGGTGGAATATTTGAGCAAGCACAAAATGTGAAAAAACAAAAAAACCCACTTGGGTCTAGCTGGGGATCAGAAAGAATTCAAAACATTATTGTGATGGCCACCCAGAGAGCATTATGCTAACAGGCAGCTTTTATACAAATTTAATAAGTAAAATGGGTACAGCGGAGTTACTCTGTGTAAACAATTTGAGAGAGGGACTGCCAGAAGAGCAGGGACGGGGTATTCTTAGTGGCAAGTCCTGATGAGACAAGGGGTTTCTGCAAAATTCATCTCAGGATATGGAACTGGGCCTGTCACAACCAGTTGCCGGCTTGAGAAAAGTAAAATTAGATTGCTCCCGCTTAATGGAAGAAACTGTTCTACCAAAGTAAAGAATGAAAGATAGGCTTTTCGAGAGGTAGTTTAATTCTTCTAGCATTGCCTTTATTATACCTACTGTGCTGCTGCAATATGTATGCATGTTATATATTTAGACATGTATAGCCCACCTTCTATCCTCAAAAGCCCCCAAGGAAGATCACAGCATAATTGAAACCAATATAAAGTATAGAAATAAAATGAAACATTAAAATGTAAAGAAACTGAGAACTAATAAAAAATAATAAATAACTAAAAACTAGACCGATACTAAAATAATTCACACCAGCAAGAGGAAAATTAAAACAACCCCGACCCTTGCGGAGAAGCAATTTATGCATGCAAAAAGACCTACTTCTGGCCCTTTTCTGTCTCAACATGTGTAGGATTGCACTCTATTAATTTAGAAGCAGCTTGAAATAAAAAAGGGGCTGCTTGAAACGAACCCTTCCTTACTGTGCTGTGCATCGGTTAACTGCTCACAGCAGTTTAGTGACACCTCAGGACAGGCTACAAGTATCACAAGCCAGGAGCCGTCACAGCTCTAGCCCAGAGAAGGTGCACAGTTCCACCACTTGTGTGTCCTCAGCCAGGTGACCAGAAACAGGAGAGAGTCCCATGCACTGGTTGTGTGAATGCACCTTTTGTTCTGAATGTCAGGCCACAATGGCTTACGTAACATGAAGCAGCGCTTCTCTCAGCATCAGAAAACTTTAAAAAACAGTGGCGGAAGGTAGCGGTTCTGACACTAGCTGCAGCACGGCAGCAGCTATATTGCCGGGCCAGGGGAAATCTGAGAAGGATGTTTTCCCACCTGTGCCAGGGATCCAGCAGAGGAGGAATGGCTGCCCTGTGGCACGCCTGGCTGTAGCTGTTGTGTCCCCTGCACTTGTCCTTGAGGCATTCGCTGTCAGGGCCCTTCGGTAATTGAAATGTTCTGTCATTTTTACTGTCTCTGCCTTTCTGTTACATGAGCACTAACTGAGGACCTCCCTCCCTCCTCCTCTCTTTGATCTGCTTTCCACAGGAGTTTGACAATTATGCTGAATGGGATCTAAGAGATATAGATTTTGTGGAGGACGACTCCGAACTCTTACATGGTGAGTTCTTGTGCGCATCATTCACCGGCCTCCGTGCCGGTGCGCAGCGTCCGTTCGGCAAGCTTCTACAGGTGCAGGATGTTCCGTGGCATCCCTTCCGCCGTGTTGCGGCACAAATGTGGTTGCTTCATGAAGAACTTTGTCCCTTTCTCTTATGGATAAAGTTCTTTTTTTTATATATACACACACACACACACACACTGAATTTTTCTCCCCACCATTTTACTTTGCTTCACGCTCTCTGTGCATCACACATAGGGGCTTTTCTGTATTTATTTCTTTTTTCTTCACATACATTTGCGCCCAAACTATGTATTTTGTTTTATGGAACTGTTTTAGGAACATCCATCCCTTCGAAACATTTAAGATTTGTCTGTTGGCAGATACTTAACAATGTAAATTTTACTCTGGATGATTTAAAACAAGCCAGCAAGCAAACCATACACCAATTTTAGACCCCTTTGACACGTGCAGTCCCTGGGGTGGGAGCCGCCACAGCCCCATACTGGAGGCGCATACTTGGTTTGTTCAGAACCTCCCAACACAGTGCACCAACGCCAGAACATTTCTCGCAGCAAAATGTAAAACCAGAATCTCTGCTAACAAATTCAAGCACCACAGACACCAAACTATTGCACCTGCTGTGCTTTAAAAGAACACCAGATTGGCCTATGTGATCCAACTGAAATAAAAGCAGCATACAAGTAGTAAAGAGCCCCACCTTCACCAATGAGGGGGAAGCATCCAAAATCCACTCGGCTCACCATTTTATGCATGTTCAGAAAGAAAAAAAGGTCTATGAGAGGCTGGCTGGGGAATTCAGGGAGTTGTGGGACCTTTTCTGTGTCTAAACCTGCACAGGACTGTCCCCTAAACCGGTCCATGGACCGGCACCAGACCGTAGATTTCCTGCCAGTCCTCGGGGGAGCCACATCCCACTCACTGTGGATGGTACAGGGGCTGGCTGTGCTCCACCACCTCTTCCTTGGTTGGCATCACAGTCATAGGGGGCGTGCCAGTGCCACTGGGGGGGGGGATGGTAGGCAGGGAAGAGAGAGACAGCTTGGTGGGAGCCATGCTGCACCGATTTCAGTATTTTGTTCTTGGCATTTTTTGTTGCTCAGTTTCTGGTCGTTTTGGAGAATTCTCATTTTTTTTGGTATTGTGTCTGGAAACTAATACACAGAATACTGTATTATGTATATGGTGTTTTTTTGTTTCTGCCTCAGCAGTCTCCAAGGTGGTTCTCCTGTTTTCACTGGTCCCCAGCTGTGTAAAGGTTGAAAACCACTGCCCTGAACTATTAATCTGAAAGCAGCTTGAAACTGCAAGGTTTTCAAGGGATGATTTTTTAACAGAACAGCTCCTTCTCAGCAGGGGCCATACATACTTACCTAGCAAGGGAATTGCATAAGCAGAGAATGGCATGATCTTGATAGCGGGGCCACGTGGTCCTGGTATTCAGCAGCTCATAAAGCAGCAGCTCATTCCCTACTGGATGTGCACTTGGAGGGGGCTTTATTCTGCCTCCCCTGGAATGACTTACGGGATGCTGGTTTCTCTAATGTTTCAGAACATGATTTCGCTAGTCTGGCCCCGTTCCTGCTGGGGCCTCTGCCCTTTTTCATGCTATGATGAAAACAGGTTGTTGCAGAGGGGATTTGGGAGATAAGCTCGATGCTAATTTCCCTTATGAGGAATTTATTCTTTTGGTCTCTTTTTCTTCCTGCTGAACTTCCACAGCTTTGAAGATTGCGGTTGTAGATATCTACCATTCTAGGTTAAAGGAAAGGCAACGCAGGAAAAAGTGAGTTTTCAGCCATTTTCTCTTTTTACTTGTTCAAAAAGTGAATGGGTCTACTTGCAAAACCACAGTTAAGATGTTGAGTAACAGAAATTTCTAAGGGGTAGAGTGGACATGCCAGGGATCAGCTCTGCTGGTTATTCATTTACGTATAAAGCATGGTAGGGTCAGATGTTGACATCAGAATGGGCAAAGGGAGCGGAAAGGCAGAGGTTTGGACAACATGCCATGGTGAGGTAAGGCAGAGGTGGTGTGGTTTTACAACAGGCTTTAGGAAAACCCCTTTCAGCCCAGGGCCAAATTCTGCTTTGACGTGGTCTTTGGGAACACATTGCAGTGGTGGATGGGGGGAAATGCCTGCATGCCGTGCCTTTCAGCTCATACTCTACTAACTCAGCTTCAGGAGAAGCACTTCAGTCTTTCAGAATGGACAAAAAATATGCAACTAAATGGTGGTCGGGGAAAGTGGTGGGGACCAGGGGAGAGTGTGTGGCTGACTTGAGAACCCCAGAGCAATTGTTTGAATTCTTCAAAAGCGAAGTGGGATGCTGGGCCTGATGTTCTGCACCCCCATTCCCTGGTCTCAACACTTGACAACCACGGGTGTGTACTTACAGAATGGAATCCCACACACGGTTGTTGCCAAGCCTTTGCACATAAACAGAGCAAAAAATGGACGCACTCCCTTAGAACCCCAAAGGTATACTGGCTATTATGTGCATCTTCTGCAAGTAGCAACCCATCTACACACAAATGTGTCCAAGTCTCTCTTTGTTATTGCTTGTTTTTAACTGCATTAAATTTTAAACCTTGAATGCATTTGTATTTAGTGTATATGTATTATATTATCATTTGTATTTTACTATTCGTATTGCAATGTTTATTTTCTGGCCTGTTGTAAATCACCCAGAGAGCTTTGGTCGTAGGGCAGTATAGAAGTGAAATACAGAAAGTGGAGGAAGGAACAAGAGGAATAGCTATTCGTGACTTGATAGTGACCAACAAGGAAGACATAGCGGACAAAGTGGCAGCTACAGGGACCCTGGGGGAAAGTGACTGTGCCATGCTTGAATTTTTGATTCAAAAGGAAGCAAAAGCCAAATGTAGCCCAACGCGTACCCTGGATTTCAGGAAAGCCAATCTCAGTAAACTCAGAACAAGGATAAGCCAAGTCTTAATGGTTGTGGGCTCTCCCACTCTAGGGACATTCAAGATACAATTGAACAGCCGTCTGAGAAAGATGGTTTCACTTGGAGTCTTTCACCAAGCAAGGGGTTGGACCCAATGGGCCTCTGGTCCCTTCCAGCTCTATGAGTCTATGAAATAACAACAATGAAATATGTAGGCATCAGCACTCTTAATCCCATTCTCCAATTACTGCACTCCACAGACAATTTGCATCAGGAACTTGGCTACAATGAACCTGTACTCTTAAGTGTGCTTGATTAGCAACATGCAGCTGACAAGTTGGTTAATTAACTTTCTGTGTCATTTGTTCAGCCAGTTACATGACTCCCTATAGAATTACTTAATGGCCCTGTGAACAGAGATGTCTCATATTTTTCAAATGTCCTAGTTCAAATTGAGGTGCATGATTAAATATAAGTAACTCACCAGGAATTTTCTGCATCTCTTGTAAGAAGATCCTGAACTGGTACTGATCGCTTGATGGAAAGACTCCTATTGGAATACGCAATAGAATAACTTGAAGGACGGGTGCTTTGGAAGGATTCTCCTCACCTGTTCTTCACCTGCAATATTAAAACTTCTTTTAGTTTGTGTAACACGCAAGCATGCCAGAGTTGGAGAAACAACCAAGAGTCTCGTATCACCTTGTACACTAGCAAATTTATTTTGGCACGGCGTTTGGGGACTCTGTCCAAAGATGCTTATGCCAGAATTCAAATGATCGTCTCTAAGACAGTCCCCGACACTGCACTGTACACAAACTTCTCCAATGGTGTCCTCACTCAGACACCTGCAAAAGGTCGTTTTATTTCTGTATTCTTAACATGCATACATGGATTTGTATATATCCACAGCAATGAATACAGCATTTCTGCCCATGATTTGGCCTGTTCACAGTCACTCTCCCATGCTCTTGCTTGTGAAGAGCAGACCTGTGGTGCTGCCCTGGAGACAGCTATTCTTTATGTAGCTAGTCCTGTCTATGTCCATCTAGCCTTTCCTGGAAAACCTTTGAGGAACAGATCCTGCCATTTTCCCTGGACAGCTTTTCTGCAGTGAGAAGCCTGTTTATAGTTGGGAGCACACCTAATTCAGGGTGTACCCTTTTCATTACAGAATTATAAGAGACCATGGACTCATCAATCTCAGAAAGTTTCAGAGTGAGTACTGCGGTAGTCGGCCTTATCTTGAGCATCTTGAATCACACTGGTGTTTGTTACTTATTAAATTGTCTCTGGAGCATAGTGAAGAGGCCAGAATTCAAACTGAAGTTAGAATTTCAAGGGCTAGGCAACTGGTCATTCCCCCAGTATTTGGGCCTGCCCCTCCCATCAGCCCTGGCCAGCAGAGCCTTATGGTGAGGGATTATGGGAGTTGTAGGCCAACACTTTGGAAGGCCACTATTTGCCCATCCTGGAGTTAGATTTTTTTGGGTCCAGTGAGTTCTCTGAGCAGCTCAGTAGGTATGGGACCTGATCAGTTGCTTGGATAGGAGACTTCTAAGAGACCCATTTCAACAGCAGCATGCGAGTTATTTGTTTACAGAAAAAGCTAGGTACTTATAGGACACAATATTATTGTACCACAGCAGACAACGTGTTTAATGTCCACACGTCATGCTCAGCTGTGCCTCCTTTGACTTGTTAACAGAGTCATAGAAACATAGAAATAGAGCGAGTCAGAAGGGGTCTCCCCGGCCATCTAGTCTGACCCCCGGCTCCAGCCGGCTCCACTCACGATATGCCCACCATGTGCATGTCCAGCCTATCCTTGAACACCCGCACCGATGGGGCCTCAACCATCTCCATGGAAGCCCATTCCACACCCTCGGGGTCCCAACTGTCAGGAAGTGCTTCCTGACATCTAAATGGAACCTTGGTCTAACTGGCTCAGTTTCTCCCAGCAAGACCTTACTTGAACGCTTGGATTCTGCCACGCAGAAGCATCCAAAGCCATCCTTTTCCCTGCAGCCCCAATCGCCAAGTGCATAAAAAGTAAATGCCTCCACATCACAATGCAGCTACAGCCCGTGTGTGTTATAGGGTGTCCACAGGAAAGACTATGAATGCACATGTGGGCTAGCAGCATAGAGAACATTTCAGTGAGCCTATGGCAAGCATAGCACTTGGTTTCTGATGGTGATTTTGGTAAGAGACCAGAGCAGAGAGGAAGCCTGGGGAATAACATCCAACAAGCCACGGTTGACAGCAGGGAATTTTGACCTCTTCTGTCTGACCTTAACACCATGTGAAGACCATCCAACAGGAGGCAGCATCTTAACTCTTCACATTAAAGTAATCTTCTTGACTCTGTATTTCTCTCCTCGGATAAGAATTTTTCTGTCCACAACTGTCTTGCAGTTCTGGAAAGAAGATACCCAAAGGAGGTTCAAGATCTTTACGAGATGATGAGGCGCTTTGCAAGAATACTGGGACCAACAGAGCATGATAAATTCATAGAGAGCCATGCATGTAGGCATCTTGATTTTCTATTTATGTTCCTCTTGTAAGGGAGAGAGATGTGTCAGCTCCGTCGTGCTATAAAGAGTGTGGCTTCTCTGTCAGTGTAAGGAGATCTACGCAACCCCCACCACCAATTATCTTGGTATATAGAGAACTGCTCTTTAGAAAATGGTAGCACTTTTTTTTATCAAGGCAGAATCTGTTCAAGAATGCAAGTTTTGGAGCTGTACCAAGCTCTTAATGAGGGATTGGGGTGGTGCTTGTGTGTATAGACACACACACCACACACACACACACAGAGCCTTATTAATTCCCATCTCTCTTGCAATTACGTGGTGCACAGTTGGTTTCTTTTTGTTTGTTCAGGGAGTGAGTTTGTTTCTAAAGCTTTTAGCACTTCAAGTATAAAATACACAGACTGGTTTGGGCATTATAGCTGCTTTGGTTAGAAGAGGAAAGGCAATATATAAATAGCTTAATGACAAGCTGGTGTAAGGGCACCAAGGCTGTTGAAAGCTTTTGCATTTTTATTCCTCAGCACGCCTTTCAACGTACAACAACAACAACGAGGTCATGCTGTTTTTCTTTTAGGATAAGATCTCAGAGAGGGAAGTACTCCTGTCAGTGGAAATGGTCTCTTAGGGGACAGTCCTTTCTGGCTGCCTGTGACCTTCTAAATCCGGAAGGTTATGGGCATCCAAACGGACCATGGAGGGGAGGGCTGCTCTGCACCCCCTCCACCCTCAAAAACAAATATTCCCCCTTCCTCGTGCAGAGGAGAGGCTGAAGCCCCATCTGGATTCAGTGGAAGCCTGCAAGACCTCACTCCTCCCTGCCTCCTCTAACACCCCCAGTGCCTGTGCCAAGGACTGTTTCCTGCACCAGCCAAGAGGACAACAGGCGAGGTCCCCACTGCAACCTCAGTAGTCTTTATCAACAGATACAGAAACGCAACCAAAATGTCCATTGCTCCCCATGCACGGTTCTACACACTTGGCTATCCCAACAATCACAGGTTGATTTTCTTTACTGGCTGAAACCAGCCTTACTCAGGATGAAGTCACTATCTGTGATTTTCACTTCCTGGAGCAAAATATGGCACAGTTTAGATCTCCAAACAAATGACAGGTCTCTAGATGGTTGTGTAAGACACACCCACACAGAGTGGCAACCCTGAGCAAGATATTGCAGGATTCCAAATTGCACAGCTCCGTTCAAGCACCACTGCCCATCGGTCTCTTGCTCTAAATGCAGGAGATTTTAGCATCAGGAAACCAAGCTGGGCCTGTGCCCTTTAAAGTGGAGGAGCAAGGTACAGTAATTCCAGTGTCTGAACTAACATACAAATAACTTGGAGATTCCTTCCCTCATGGAAAAAGGCATATTGGGCAAATAAAGGCACAATCTGATACTTATTTAGAAAGAAAAAGGGCTTACAACTTGCAAAAAGGCATGCCCAGCAAGGCACGCTCAGAGTGGTAGGCCTTTTTTCTGCCTAAACATGCATAGGACTGCATCCTCAGTCGTACCGCACGATGTCATTTTCTTGGATGGCAGAACAGAACCCCTGAAGAAATGAGGTTTCTTCACATTCCTAAACATTAGGAGCTTTGCTGTCCTCCAGTCCTACCCTAGAAAGGGCTCGTGGCAATGCCTCAGTTCAGTGGACCTTCCTGGTTCTATATTTCTATGTTGGGAAATGTTGAGTCATGCGTAGCAGAATCCACAGCTTGCTTTTTTGTGAGCAGCTTTGCCTTGAAAGGTGCCTCACTCCTCCATCACCTAATCATCCATGTAGTTTGCATAATTAGCCATCCTAATTGGTCTATCCACATTCCAACAGAGGTCGTTTAAAACATGGGTCCCTGGATTTCCTCATGTTTTTCTCTGCTGAAAGAGCCGAGAAGCTGTTTCTGTGTTTCATACCAGTCATGTTCCTAGGAGTGGCGGTTTCTGCATAGTCATGGATCTAATTTTCTGACCTTTTTGTAACTAGTTATGCAGGCGAGGTAGCCTTTGATGTAATTAAGAGCACATTTCATTTGTGCATTGGAAAATGTGGCCATCAGTGGAATGGTTTGTCTTCTTCTCTGCCCAGCATATTATAGCAGAATGGAGTGTTATTTTTTAAATTTCTTTCCCTATAAGGAACCCAAGGCAACTGACATAATCTTCCTCCTCCTTTTCGTACAACCACTCCGTACAGCCAGCTAAGCTTAGAGTCACCTTACATTGTTGTGTAGTGTTTGTATCCCACCATTTTTCCCCTTGAGAGGAACCAAAGGCCACCTCATGGCTCAATTTTATCTTCACAACAACCCTGTGAGGTAGGTTAGGCTGAGCGTGAGTGACTGGCTGAATGCCACCCAGCAAGCTTCACGGCCGAGAGGGGACTGGAACCCAGATCTCCCCAGTCCCGGCCCACCACCCATTAGCCACACTGCTCTCCAGTCATTCATTATATATTTCACTGATCCTTAACAATATCCCTGCCTTTCAGCTCTAAGGGCAGCTCACAGCCGGAACACAGGAAGTGGGCCGCAGCTGAGAGCAGAGCGGTTGTCCCTGTAGCCTTGGCAGGGTCTTAGGCAGGAAGAGGGTCTTCCCCAATTCTCTCAACCTCCTACACGATCCTTTTCCTTGGAGGCTTGGGGGATCAAGCCAAGGCCCTTCTACATCCCAAATGGGTGTTTTGCCACTGATTCCTAGTCTATTGTTCTAAATTAGTAATTTATTTATTATTTAGACAGCTTATATGCTGCCCCCATTGCATAAGCCTCAGGGCGGCTTACAATCATTAAAATTCCGCATATAAATACCAAAAATAAAAATAAAAATCATAGAATAAATAAAATACATAAAATAGTGGAAACAGCCTGGGCAGTTTAAAATCAACAAATAAACCTTAACAATTAAAATAGTGTTTAAATAAAAAGGTCTTGGCCTGGCGCCGAAAAACAAATAATGATGGCACCAGGTGGACTTCTCTGGGGAGGGCATTCCATAGGTTGGGCACCACCGCAGAGAAAGGCCTCCTCCAGGTACTCGCCCTCCTAATACCCTTCACGGAGGGTTCCCGGAGAAGGGCCTCTGCTGCAGATCTCAAGGGGTGGCCGGGCATATATGGATGCAGGCGCTCCTTTAAGCAACCAGGACCTAAGCTGTTTAGAGCTTTGTAGGTCATAACCAGCACCTTGAATTGGGCCCGGACTTCAATGGGGAGCCAATGGAGCTGACGGAGGGCTGGGGTTATATGAGAACAACGCCCAGTCCCCATCAGCAGCCTGGCAGCTCTATTTTACACCAATTGAAGTATCCAGACCGTCTTCAAGGGCAGCCCCACGTAGAGCGCGTTACAGAAGTCTAATCGGGAAGTTATCAACGCGTGTTTCACTGTCGCCAGGCAGTCGTCCTCCAGGTAGGGGCGCAGTTGATGGATCAGCCGAAGCTGAAGGAAAGCGCTCCTCGCCACCGCTGTCACTTGAGCTTCCAAAGACAGCTCCGGGTCGAGGAGCACTCCCAAGCTGAGACCCTGTCCTTAAGAGGGAGTGCAACCCCATTCAGGACAAGGTCAAAGTCCCCCATCCCAAAGCCCGACCCACCTACCAACAGGACCTCCGTCTTGTCTGGATTGAGCTTCAGTTTATTGGCCCTCATCCAGCCCATTACCTCGGCCAGGCACCGGTTCAGCACAGCCACTGCCTCACCTGGATTGGTGGAAAACGAGAGGTAGAGCTGGGTATCATCAGCGTACTGATGATTCCGCAGCCCACACCTCCTGACGACCTCTCCCAGCGGTTTCATGTAGATGTTAAACAGCAACGGGGACAAAATGGACCCCTGCAGAACTCCATGGCATAGCTGCCATGGCGCAGAGCCATAGTCCCCTAGCACCACCTTCTGGAATCGGCCATTGAGACAGGAGCGGAACCACCACCACGCGGTGCCTCCGACCCCCAATCCCACTAGCCTATCCAGAAGGATACCATGGTCGATGGTATCGAAAGCCGCTGAGAGGTCCAGGAGAACCAACAGGGACGCACTCCCCCCGTCTTTCTCCCTGCACAGGTCATCGTACAAAAAATCGTATTTTAAAAGTAGACCACACAATAGAAATCCCCTCATCATTCCAATACTCTCCTCAGGTCCTGTTACGCCATGCGCACTGCAGATGAGGGGCTGAGTGCAAGAAAGAGCCATTCATCTCAAGCAAGGACCCCGTGTTCAGGTCTGCAACTCTCACAAGCCCTGCTCCTTGGCCAAGCTGGCTGGGGCATATGGGGGTTGCATCCAAAACACCTGGAGGGCACCAGGTTGCCTTGACCAGCCTTAGTGCCATCTAGCTAGGACACATGAACTTGGTTCCTGCGTGGCACCAATTAAAAATAAGATTAAATTGAATTAAAAATTAAATCAGCTGTCACGCCTGGTAATACAGGTAGCTTTGCATGCGCTTTTCAGGACTTGTGCTCCGTGTCGTCTTCACCTCTGAAGATACACTGGATCTGGGCAAGATGCCTCACATTCCTTTTTCACTTGCAATATAAGTCCATGGGGCATTTAATGAGGGCCACATGCAGGCCTTTGGCTTCACTTTGCTTGGGGCAGTTCAGAGCATTCCATGCCCTGCACATCTCCTCGCTCCGTTTCTCCCTCCTGACATGGGATCACAAAGAACACATGGCTTCCCCAGGCGCTGATGTCTGCTCACTGTCCATATGCTAGAAACTTGGCATCCCTGGATCTGTGGGATCCAGGTCCATCTTCAGATTCTGGGTTGAGCCAGTGTGGTGTAGTGTTCAAGAACGGAACTCCTGGCAGGGGGAAGTGGGTTGAAATCCCTTGAAAGGGAGCTAGTCCTCCTTTTTCACTCTGTCTCACAAAATGGTTGCAAGGTTCAAAGAACTTTATGTTATTGCTGTTTGAAGGAAGAGCCTTAACAAGAGCCATTGCCTAACCTACACTTGCTTGTTTCTTCTAAATTTTGCAAATGTTCTAATGGGCAAACAGTGGAGTTTGAGCTACGAAAGGAAATCAAGCGGCTGCAGGAATACAGGCTGGCAGGGATCACCAACTTCTGCAGTAAGTACATGCTGGACAAGTTAGCCAAGGCTTCATGGTGATACTTACAGAAAGGATACACTCGAAAAGTCATTTTCCTGTGAAATGTTCCATGAGCCAGGGAGTATCAGCTCATCGTGCCATTGGAGGAAAAACTGCCCTTCAAACAGATTCAAATCCTTAAATGTTAGGAGATGCCTCCGATAGTCATGGCTAAATTCTGCAACCGTGACCAGTTCTGTATTAGAGAATTGGCCGGCTGACTCACGAACCTCTGAGTGTCTTTCATCAGAAGGTTTACCATAATGACCTGTCTCGTCCTCCCTTACCAGTTTTCCCACTCTGCCCTCCCTCCCTCCAGGCAGCAGACTGTGTCATTCGGGCTTTTGGGCAACTTGAGCATTTCTGGGCCCCCAAATAGGTCTTGTTTCATTATCGTGGCCAGCTGAGCACGAACTCACTTCCATCCCAAAAGGGAAAGTACGCGTATCTCAGTAATCCACTGGCGGGATGAGGGGCCCTTGGCAATGCACCCCAGCAAATAGCAGAGCCGCTGTTTTCCAGCAAGTGCCATTTCCCCAGCTTCAGATGTTTTAGACTGCAACTTCCAGTATTCCTGACCATTGGTCATGTTGACTGGGGCTGATGGGAGCTGAAGTCCAGCACATCGAGAGGTTTAGCTAATGCAGTGCATGGGAGGGTGTTACAGCTACATTCATGTTGTATTGGGCATCCTTTGGTAGCTTCGGTGACACGATGGAAAAAAAGGCGGGTTGCTTACCTGTAACTGTCGTTCTTCGAGTGGCC